TTTGAAATATTTAGAAGGCTAAATTGCAGGTTGCCAGATAACACTATACTGTACTTACTCTAGGCTCTTATGTGCACATGTGAAACTCATGTGATACATAGAGGTAGAATACTGTTCACAACTCAAAGGGCTCCCATGTGGTTGATAAAGCAGCACAGAATTCAATTAGCCCTCAAAGTCAATTTTTACTAGTCCCTCCTCCCCAACTCAAATATTAATAGGACAATCCATCTGTTTTAGCGTGGCAGCAGCCCTACCAGCCTTAATAACGGCTCATCATTTGGACGAGGAAACTGTGACTTATATCTCATTAAAGGGACGTATGACAATGGCCGTCGTTAGAGAAACTGATGAACGAGGGGAGGGGCGAATACTAAATATTGTCTGTTGGGAGGTGCGCGTGACTAAGGAGTGTCTAAATACAACAGCGACGCCATTCTGTCTTCTCAGATTGCCTAACAGATGCTTCATGATTTCGTTGCTCTGAGTAACTCAAGCATCCCCTACAAATCTTGCATGCGTCAGGGGAGGCTACAATAAGCTTTGATGAACGGCCCACTTGTTCCTTCAGTTCGTACGCACATAATGGCAGGAAATGTGGCGAGAGAGAAAAAAATCCCATGATGGCCCAGGTTTATTAAACATGTCAGTAGTCGACAAGTAAGATGTTGAATTGATTACATGCAGTGAATGGAAGTGAATTAAAGTGTAGGTTTGCATTGTGTGTGGGAGAGAGAGTCTGGACCTTCTGTGCTGCTGTTCATTGTCTGTTTCGTGTTTAAGACTTGATTGCTTCTTAAAAGTAAACACGTATAGGGCTGGATAGTATCTGGATTTGGAATGCTTTTCTAATGGAGTACCAAGCCAACTTTTTTGTGGAAATGTGTCTGCTTTGTCTGGAATTTTCAAAGTATATATTGTAACTTGTCATACATGGTTTTTACTTTTGGGGAGGGGGCATAGGCTGTTTATACAGTTGCTATATTTCCATACGTGCTACTGTACATGATGAAGAGCAGGTTGCAAAATGGTGCTTTTATTAATGAGGTTATGAGGTTATGTAATCACCAGGGGTTGTCTGTCATCATGAAAATGTATTTGTAAAGCATTTATAAAAGCGGCCGAGGCTTATCAAAGTGCTGTGCAGCTTAGTGAAGAAGAGCAATAATAAAAGACAGAAATACAAAACAAACAAAATAAATAAATGTCTCTTGCTTCCTGGTGTTGAAAGCCAAAGAGAAAAGGTGCCTCTTAAGCCTACTCTACTCTTCTTGGTTTTACTCTAATAATAATAATAATAGATAAGATAAGATTTAGAGTTTCTTTTTTCGACTCACAGTGGGGAAATTTTGAAGTTGCAGCGCACATACAGGACAGTAGTAAGAGCACACAGGGAGCACACAAAAATATACAAAATAAGTATTAGCTATCTTAATAGCTACTACCTATAGCTACTAATAATAATGCATTCGCTTTATATCATGCTTTTTTGGACACTCAAAGACGCTTCACATGTTATTATTCATTCACTCCAAATGAGAAGCGAGGCCACCAGTATGTGCCACCAGCCCCTCTGACCACCACCAACCATTCACACACACACAAGACCCATTCTAGGCAATGTGGGTGAAGTCTCTTGCCGAGGGACACAACAGCAGTTTGCCACTTTACAGCCGCAGCCACCCCACTGTATTTCCCCCATCCCTGTTTAACTGGTACCATGAACTTTTTTGTCCCTTGCGACCCTGGTTCTATCCAGGTCGAGCTAGTACTAAAGTGGTGTAACCAGCAGTGATTGGCCAGAGTGCACCTAGACGCCATGGTAACCAAGGAATTTACACAAATACTGGAGTGTTGTGTGTAGGTTGGAAGGATACGGTACCAGATACTAACGTAAATGCAACCAGTAGAGTAGAGCCGAGTGCAGTAGAGAAAAGCCAAGTCTGGCTGGTGGAAATGGAGCTGAGTTTGAGTTTTAAAGTATTAATTTCTACAACATTTTTTAAAAAGCTCAGAAGGGATTCTTTATTAGATTTTTTTTTCAACTTGGACAAACACATTGGAGTCATTTTAACATTTTTATGATAAGAATATTATGAATCCTGAATCAAATCATTCTCATGGTTTATTATACCAATATTGTAATGTAAATCAGCTTCACTGCTGAATCACTATGAATCAGATTCAAACTGTCATTGCTCTGTTTGTGAAGAGAATGTTTTTGTCTCGAGTAATCTTTATACTTTGCATTTTGGTCCTGCTCCGTAATCATGAAATGAAGCAATGTGGAAAGTAGTGTGAAGAAAGAAAAAGCAAGCTCTACCACCAGCACTCATTAAATTCTGTGCACATAAAACTATAGCCACTCTTTGCTTCTAATTGTTCTATTTCTGGAGTAATGTAAAATGCTGCTTCTTTCCTCTTTAAACAATAGCCAAACGAATGGTAAACACATGCAGTGAATGTGTATGTGACGATACTGCAAGGCTTTACACTGGTGTTTACATAGTTTTGTGCTCAGAGCTGACAGAAGGGCCTGGTCCTCTCTCTGTCTGTGAGCACCAGCACAACTCACCCACAGTCATAAAGTGCCATCTTTTGGTCGACAGTGGAATTATTCTCCAGAAAATACTGTAGTGTGAAAGTGGTGCAGTGCAACAGCTGCAGGCTTGGGACTTCGCTGCTGAACATCATGTCTTGTTTCACGTTTTCGAAATGACTTATTTGAGCTATTCTTATTTGATCTTTTGAGTTGTGTTATGGTGATAAAAAAAAAGCACAAAAACAGTAGTTTCAGTCATGATGCAAGGAACAAAGGGTTGAACAAAGTATTTTACCTGATGAAGTAAAAAGCACTGTCAAAATGATTAAACATGCTGATACATATCATATTCATAATGTTTGAAAGAGAAGTATGTAAAAATCTGGCCAAAAGTGGTACTGCAACCTCTCCCACTCTCCCAGACTCAGGTTGCCAGATATGCAGACAAATCCAGCTGGGACCATAATAAGTGAATCGACAAGAGTTTTGTCAACAATAAAATCTATAATCAACACCTTTTTCACAAATGCCTTGAAAAAAATCCTTGTTTTATTCCTTGTTTTGTCGTTAATGATTTGAGAATCACAACAAGACCTTTTGTTCTGTGGCCACATGTTACTTTACCAGTGAGATTAGCTCAACGCAATGAGGTCTGGCCACCCGGATCACGGTCTTTCTGATTGGTAAAACGGTGGAGGGTGGGACATCGAAATGAAAACAATAACAACATTTAGGGGATGTAAAACTAATTTTGAAATCCAAATATCTCGGCTGAACTACTGTTATCAGTTAGTAGAACTATTCAAAAAGAACATGGTTTTACAGATTTTGACGGATTAGGGCCATTTAATGATTACTTGACATGAACATTTTACATATTGCTACTTTAAAGATTCCACAGCTTGTTACAAAAGTTACTTTTGCAATCCTAAACATCTTATTGAGCATACTTTTGTGAACATATGAGGATACTTTTGTGAAACATTTTAACTGTCTGCTTGTCCTTGGTTTTCTTAAATGATGTTTACATCCTTGTTTTAATATATAGATAAACATTTATTGTAACAGAAATGTTAGAGGACGGTTCTCTACAACTTTTTTGAAGTTCAATCTAAGCTCTCTTTTTCTAGGCTTGTACCAATATTCCTGATGGAGGAATCAATTTTTGATTGGGTCAATCTAAACGTTGTTGTTTTGCTGCAATGTCGCACAATATGGCCTTCAACTTTTCTACTTTGGAAACAAGCAAGAGACTTGACTAGGCTATGTTATAGATTATATTTGTAACAGCATAAGCTATAAAAACATCTCTTATGTTATATCGTACTGAGACATCTCCAAATAAAACTGCAAAAGTATCAGCTTCTGAAATGTTGCACAATGCAATTTTAACAGCAAGATCAAACAATACTTTCATATGATTAAGTAATACAATTTGACATACATGTTGGGAGCATATTAATAGGTTGTCTATGTCAGTAATTTTTCATTTAAAAAATGCTGTTGTTGTGTCCTTGGGCAAGACACTTAACCCCACCTTGCCTGAAGCCCACGGTGAAAGACCAAGGCTCCTGTGGACTCACCACCTGCAGGAGGATCAGTGAGGGGCTGGTGCTATGTGTACTGGGTGCAGCTCTGAGTGCCACCCCACGACCCAGAAATGGATTAAGGGGAAGAAAATGGATGGATGGATGGCTAGGCAATCAATACAATTAATCCAATTAATCTACATGATTGAAGTGTGAGGAGTGTCTAAATTGTGAAATCGAGGTCAAGATAATGTGTCTTTTGTCCTTTATACAGCAGGGCAATCTGCAAATAACAGAATGTTTACAAAAAAGGCACAATGTTGATTATGTTTGAGTATAGAATACTTCAGTGTACAATACTTTTATGATGTGGGAAAACATTTTAAAATGCATTTTAAATTCTAATGTTGAGCTGTTTTCATTTAGCAGTTCAGTGCCTCATCCAAAGAGGGTAATAAAGTCAAGATTTAACTTTAAGGTCATATCACCCAGCCCTAATAGTAAATGCTTAAGTATATGTATATTTTGACTGCCTTACCCAAGGTTTACCAGCGAGACAAGCAAGTGAATCTATGTGGATGTTTCTGTAAACAAGACATGACAATGCTGTTTTAAAACCGAGCAATGGACCAACATTGAGTTAGATACCTGTAATCTAATTTAAACAACTTTGAACTATTTTTTGTCATTTCTTAAGCTGGACTCAAGCATTTAGTGTAATGTGAACGGTTTGGGTGAAATACATGAAAATGGTTTAAATTTAAAAAAAATGGACAAATGATGGGTTTGATGGTGCTGTGGAGAGACCGTGACTGGTGTTAGTCCAGTGGTCTTCTCACAAACTTTGGGTAATTATTATTGCGTGCCAGTATCCTTGCCGGGACACTGTCTGGTTGTTGTCACTCACTGATGTGTTTGTTCATTTGTAGGGGGAAAAGGGTGACTCCGGCGTCCCAGGAGAGAAGGGAGACAGAGGAGATGCGGTGCGTATTTTCCAGCGGTGACATTTTACACCGTGCCATTGTCCCACATAGTCATTAACCAGGGCCTGCTGCTCCTCCCCACAGGGTCAGACAGGTGCAGATGGAGCTACTGGGATGAAAGGACAAAAAGTAAGTCACATCAATGTCAAGTGTCGTGCGCCATGATTTCCCCTCTGTCTGTGCGCCCTTAAAACCGCTCTGGTGTAAGTGCACAGCGCACACAGAGGTATAGAGCTCACACAGTTCAAGCACTGTGTAATTGGCAGCATATAGAGGCTAGACCTTTAGGGTGTTTTCTCCCAGTTTTGCTCTTCTTGAAAGCTTTTGGAAACATTACAAGAAGCACATTTGGAAGCAACCAAAGGAGTGAACATGAAATATCTCTGCTAGATGTTCACACTTGATTCCTTTTCCTCTCTTCAAAGCTTAAGTTGGTGTTGGGGAGAATACTTTGAAATTCTATTTAGTTACAGAATACGGAATGCGTATACATATGTACGTGCTTGGTCCGATCAGAAGATTGTATTCACACTCATTTGCAAAATGGTGAAAATGCAGAATCGGATGAAAACAGCTTTATTTTTGCATCAATTGTTCTGCTTTTTTAATATGGGTAATTAGAGCATAATTACACTAGGCCTGTAATTAACATTTTTGGAGTGTTGATGATTACAGAGTGAGAGATGTTTACTTTTCAATGAAAGTGAAAGAAAAGTGACAAACAGTAGGAACAACATTTTGGGTCTATTAGACTTCATTAAGCTAGTGCTCAATTATTTTCTGCCATCCAGTATTAAAAGACTTAATCATTATATTTTTTTATAGATCTACTTCCGCTAAGGAACACTTTGTGACTTTAGAGGTTACCAAGTGTTCCTTAGCGGAAGTAGATTTATTTAAAAATGTACCACTCTTTTTTAAACACAGAATGTGAAAGACAGAGCAGTGTGTGTATGTGTGTGTGTGCGTGTGTGTGTGTGTGTGTGTCTGGGTGTGTGTTTTTAGAACTGGGGAAATTATTCTGGGAAATGCACCAAACTTCACATCCAATTAAAAAAAAAAAACATATTAAAGTCCAATCTTTTTGTCTAGAGAGATGCTTTTAGATGAACAAAATATCACTTTCCCACATAGACATATCCTGTGCAGATGTCACAACATCAAATAAATATTAGGCATGTGTTTATAAAGTGAAAGAAATATAACCATTTATTTAACCCTTAGTGTAACCCTTTATTTTTATTCATGCGTAAACAACATTGAAACCTTGTGTCTCTTTCTTTGACAATGCCTAATTCAAAGACGTTTCACATTCATATGATTGCATGGCATGGCAAGTTTATTTGTATTGCCAGTGCATATACAAGGCAACTCAAAGTGATTATCAAAACAAGATTATACATACTCACACACAACATTATTGCACATTATAATCATAAATAATCACAGTACATTCAATTGTATGCACAGCTAAACAGAACTTGATTTGAACATTGTCAGAGTAGCAGCCTATATCACATTTTCAGGAAGATTGATCCAGATTTTAGCTGCATCTTTTCGAAATTCTGCCTTGGTCCGGATGACAAGTCACGGATGGCCTTTGGTGCAAGGCCATGGAGAGACTTGTGCACAAGCAGGGCTGATTTAAAGTCTATTCTCAGAGCCCCAGGAAGCCAAAGTTGTTATAACCGTATAAATCTTTGCTCATTGATTGATCTTAAGTCTTGACGTCCCCACCATTTTAAGAGCATATTCTTTTTTCCTGTTTTCACTCATGTAACATTTCTGCTGAATAATGCATGCTAGAAGCCCAGTAATGCTTTTTAACTGCTGGCCTTTATGCCCCCATGTGGTGACAAATTTGCACAGAGAAAATTATTAAGATAAGTGACATTATTGTTCGGAAATTGCTCGAGACTGCGCACTGCTGCTCCATGCCATTGTGGAAGAATGGAAATATGCCTTGTAAATTATGAATAGGGATGTGAAGGCTCCAAAACACAATGCATCACAATTAAGAGCTATCCAAAGTTCCCCGGAGCCCCCACTGTATCCATTACAAAGGGTTGTAAGCGTATAAGTGTATTCACGAACCAATTAAGTGCTGCAACTTGCCACACGCTGCACATGAACGCTCCCTGTTTGTTCTATTTCATCTCACAGTCTGTCATATTGTCCGTGCCTATTGAGTGTTTTTCACAAGTCTGGTCTTATTATTGTCCTCTATTGTGAAGTGTGGAAAGCAAAGTGTAGCTTGGAGGACTTGGATGGGAAAACTGCGATTTATTTGACCTTGTTTTAGTTTGTTTGTCAAGAATTATGACAATTGACTTACACAATGCCTTTCTCATCGTTAAGTCTACTTTCTGTGTTTAAAGTTGATGTGAAAGAAGTAAAAAAAAAATGATTTATCAAAGGAGAAAGAATACTAACACATAAACATTGTGGGTAGATGTCAGCAATGGGTGAAACAGCAAAAGATGACATACAGTCTTATATAGTCAACTTTGAAGTCGATGCTTAAAATAAAAGATTCATACACTCTTCTGTTACCACAATAATAAAAGTTCCAACTCCAAAAAAAGCTCAGATTCACATTATGTAATGCTAATGAGGATTTAAAAATTAAACAATGGAATTGAATTTTGCAGACAGGTTTTAGTTCTGGTGCCAGCCCTGGTCCTTCTGTGTAGAGTGTGCATGTTTCTCCATGTGTCCCCCGGGTTACCATGCACTAAAGTAAAATCCTCCATCTTAGGTAGTCCTATCAAGGGCATCAACATCTGAGGGTCCCCAGGCTCTGCACTGTGGCGACTGCTGCTCCTGATAGAGACCCTAGTGGCATCGCATGATGCATCAAATGCAGAGGTCAAATTTCCCTATGGAAAGTGGAGACAGTAAATTATTCCTAGTACGAAGTTTTTGGAACCCCTTTGTTGACTTTTCATCAGTGCAATTTGACAAGATGCAAAGGAAATTGCACTGACATAAAAAGTCCATGTCCAAATTAACCTTATTCCATTGAAAATGGAGTTTGCTGCAATGTGGACTGAATGAATTATTTTATTTTCCCTGTATTTATCGCATACAGAATTACATTTTTGTGTAACCATCACAATTGGTCATTTTTGAAAAAATGCTGCAGCCCCAGTATATACCAAGTTATTGAGGATTGTAAATATGTTTGGTTACTTTACAAGTTTTCATGTGTCCTCCAGGGAGATGTGGGTCCAGCTGGTCCTCCTGGTCCGGTAAGTACTGCACTTTATGTTCTAATGAGTTTGTTCAAATTGGCCGGTCTTCAGCTACAACACGATGTGAAAAGAGACAACACATAACTGATAAAGCGGTTTGTCAAGCAGCTCTGTACAAAACTTTCTATGCATAACATCGCCTGATGAATGGAAAGATTTGCACTGTTTTCCTTTTCTGTTACACATCAACAAATGATCAGTCATTTCCATCTCAGACAACTCAGTTTTTTCTACAAGTCTACTGTATTTTGAATTAAACTTGGGTTTATTTATTATACATTTTTAGCTCTGTGATTCCCGGACTATCTTCCCTCAGATGAACCGGTTTGTTACAGCCATTTGTCTGTGATGTTGTGATCCTTCAGTCATAAACACAAAAACGATTTGAATTTGAAATATTGTGCGATCAAAACAAAACAGAGAAAATGGATTTGGAGAAATTACTGCTAAGGATGTTAGTTCTCTTGGTGGGAGATGGAGGAGAGGGATAACAGAAATGCCTATAAAATGTGCAACAACACATTTAAAAAGTCAAAAAACACAAATCAGTTTTCAAATCTGCTAAGGTGCGGTAATTATTGCTAAAGGGGCGATTGTGATTGACAATCTCTTCCTTCAAATAAAGCAAAGTGGCATGGAAAAAACAGCTGTCACAAAGTTTGGCGGTTGACACGCGGATGACTTGGGTCTAATGGGTTTTGCACCGCTGCCTGTTTAGACTGAAGGTTTAAGACACGAGCTTGAAAACACTTCAGTGCCTTTCAGTCCTAATCTAATTCTTGTTAGTGCCGTATTCAAAGGGCTGACAAGTTGGAAATAAGACAAGTTAATGAGATAGTGAAACATATGTCAATCAATAGGCGATCAGTATAATGTGTTGTTTCTGAAAAGGTTATTGCTGTATGTAATATTGCTGTAAGTCAACTATATAGGAGCCAAATATGTGGTTTTCTTTGCGTAATTGGTCTTTCTGTCCATGAGGGGGCGCATTCATCTTTTATATGAATCATGAGCTCAGGGTTGAGTGCAGGTGTGACCCAGAAGGGCAAATTGGTTTTTGACCGCACAAGCGGAGTTTGTTTTTCACTGTGTCTCGTGTGATACTACTGTGGATCCTTTTAATAGCACTGTTAAATAAATGAAGATTATTGCATCGTACCCTCCAAGACTTGGAGGGTTTTATTGAGCACAACAGAGCAACCACAGCATAGCCGCTTAGCGCGTCATCAACAAGCCTGGGTCTACAGCCTCACACTAGCAGCATTGGGCTGGCTAGTATAAACTATGTCACTAAACTGGGTATTTGGTTTCATTCGTTTTATAAAAATTTTTGGGAGACAAATACTTTTATGAGAAAATCATGTTTTGTAGCAACACCATTTACTTAAAGGGACAGTATGTAATGTTGTAATTTTAGATAACATGTTAACATCTGCATGCTTCATATGTGTCCTCATATAACAGATCATTTTCAGAACCAGTAAGTTCAGAAAAGTATTTATGTTTTCAATCAGATTATACAATCAGAGAACAGAATGAAGCTCTCATTTGGGTTGTCAGTACGTTAGGTTAAATTCAGCTTTATAGTTTTTGATAACACAATTCACAAAAAGCATCACACACCCCAGCAGGTGGATGTCTCTCAGGCTGTACAATTCTGGGGTTTGGAGTTGGTGCAGCCTGTAAGTCGAGGCCAGGGGCGTCTAGTCCTCAGGTACAGGTCAAAAAGGCTGGGTTCAGGGATCCCATCATTACAGCCATTATATCGCCATCAAATAGACAATGGGACAGTGGGAGAATAGCAATAAACAGACTACAGCTGGAGTCAAAATTATGACAGACTCAGGGCACGGTCACATCGGTTTTTACAAGCGAACTGGGCCAAGTGGCCCGGATCGTCGCCACAGGGGTATGAAAACGGCCCGCGGTCACATGAACGTGTATTTGCAAACGTGTCAGAGTAACTAAGCTGTAGTACAACACTCGGTCCAGCTGGTGGCGCTAATACTAACTCCAGCGACGACCTCGTTGTCCTGGTTGAGTTTCCGTTCCTTTTCCTGTTTACATTCTGCTACTGTAGCGCTACCAGCTCAGTACGGATCTCGTTGTTTAGGTAAAGACGCATCTCACACTTGTCCACATTGCTCTGATGCAAAGTGCAGCAGTTCAGTGCGTAACGTGTGTGTGTGCGTGTGTGTGTGTGTCCGTGCCGCGGACACGAGTGCACACACACACACTCTCTTTAGTAACGAGCATAAGAGCACTGGGAAATGAAAGAATGAGAATGAAAGAATGAAAGGTGTGGAGTACAAGCAGAGTGGCCGGTGCCATGCAGGATACAAGTGTGTTGGTGTGTTTTGGCAATTAAATAGACTGATTCTTGAATGTCTGAAGTATTATCGCAATCACTGTGAGAGCGAGGGTCAGAACAGAGGGAATTATTAACGTAGGAAACGCTTCCCTTTGGCCCTGCAGCGACACACTCCCCTGCGCCCCTCGACCACGGTCAGGGGCTTATATGAAAGGTTTAACACAAACGGAGAATGCAAAATTGCTGGGAGAGTGTGTGAAAATGCCCGTCACAGCGGAAGACGTAATTTGAAGCACAATATCAATTCCCCACCACACCTCATCCCCCACTCCCGACCACCCGCCACACTGACCCCCCTCATCCGCGCTGCGAATTGTGCTCTGGCCCAAGTCTTGAACTGGGCAGTCCACATGCCGCAGTCACATGGGACCTAAAGCTCGGATGTAATTGCAAAGTGGGCCCAGGCCCACTTAAACCGGGCTTTAGGCTGCACATGTGACCGCAGCCTAAGTAGTAGTCAATAGTTTCCATACGCTTTAATTTTTTATCTAGAAATATATTGCATCAGATTTAAATCCCCTGTATCTAGTTACATATATAGTGTCATGTGTGTCGAGATATGCATTGTATCAGGCTCTGAAAGATATCCAGCCCTGCTTGTACTGTTGTTGTTGTTAAAATACTGTGTGTGTTTGTGAGAGAGCTTTATCAGTGCATTTTACCTAGACCTGCAATGTCACATGTCTCTGCTTTGATTAGAGACTGATCCGACAACAATTTAACATTCAGGCCCTCCTCCTTCACTTCATTTAACCTTTAATCCTTCAAACTGCTTTTGCTGTTGCTGGGATTTTGGATCCTTAGTCCCGCTCAAAGTATTTGATTGAACAGAGGCAAAGAAAAAAGAGCAAAGGGCAGGTCAACAAAATCTGTAGAATTTTGTTTGAATGGGGAGTTCTATATCATAATCTGCATATTCACTCAATGCTCCGTAGTGAAGATGCACACATGCTAGCAGTTTCCAGAACAACGTTTAGCCGCTTGATGGATGAGACTGCTTAAATATTTAGTGCTAGTCTCTGTCTGTGCTTTCCCTGTGGCAGAAAATTTGGCAGTTAGGCATTGATTTTCCTTACGCAGCAGAAGCCAGGCCTCACATCATTACCCGCTCTTCATAAAGCTTCTTGTGTTTATTAGTGACAGGAAGGAACAGTGCGTGGCCATCGTATCATCTGATGCCCTTCAAACTGCAAAATAGCCTTTTAGATTCAATACTTTCAACCCATTCATAGCTGGAAGAATACATTTTAGAATTAACTCTGTAAATCTGCAATGCAAAAACTATAATGAGCAAGTTTTACTGAATGTCTTGGAGAGGGGATGGTTTGGGGGCCTCAGGAACTCATCTCTGCTGAGTTTGGATAGGGTCCTATTGGTTAAACCATCCATCCATCCATCCATCCATTTTCTTCCCCTTAATCCATTTCTGCGTCGGGGGGGTGGCCAGAGCTGCACCCAGTACACAGAGCACCAGCCACACAGAGCACCAGCCACACAAAATAGGGCTTTCAAACAATACATTTTTTTTTGTTGATTAATTGCATAGTAATGGTGAGTTAACTCACGATTAATCGCATTTTTAACATTTTATTTCAAATCCACTCCAATTGAAGTTAAATGAGATTATCAAATGCAATGACACATTGTTCATACCAAATATACTTGAATCTGTTTGATTTGCTCACAACCTTTTACTTTTGGGCACAACCAACATGAGCTGTTAATGAACTGGAAAATGCACTACCTGCTTCAGTGGTGTATTTATTGCTGCACAGTTCCCCACAGGTTACGCAAAGACACGCACACAACATGCAGAGAAAAGTTCTGTGCGTGGCTGGTCTTGGATATGAACACGTTACCGCGGCACCATTCGCCGCGTTGTTGTCAAAGCGGCTACGGAGGAGGCGGACTTCAGTTCATACAGCAAACAACAGCAAGTGTCCCGCGCCGGTCACGCTACGTGCTTGACCTGCTTCTTTTAAAACTTGATTTCCCAGAAGACCTACCTGCTCTGTTGCCATCTTTTCCGTGGCATTCTGAGTGATATTATGGGATACATGGGCGGGTCATTCGGACATGCGTCAATACATTATTATTATTTTTAAGCGATTAATGAAAATGTTATTAAAGTGTGTTAACGCGATAATTTTGACAGCCAAGTGGGATCATTTTCCCACTTGTCGGTTTACAGCCAAGTGGGAAGCGGTTGTGATAAATATCAGTGTCTCTAAATGTAAGGCTAGTTCTCCACCAGACAAAAGGTGCCAAATCCCTTTCCTTAATAAAAGTGGTTCAAGTATCTCATTTTTTGAGATAAACTTTAACAGGGAGCCCAGTCAATGCTTGGAATACAACTGATGCCCCTCCCTTTGCAGCGTAGGCATCTGTTGGGGATAGGGCCACCTCAGGTGATCTGGATAAAATATCTGGCTTGACTGCTGACCCTGGATAAGTGAAGGAAAGCAGATATCAATGGATGTTGTTCGAAGACAATGATAGCATACACATTAGAACTACTGTAGCTACGTATATGCTATACTTTTGAATCTCACAATCACAAGAATACATCTACAAGTTTGTAAATAAAACCAATTGAACATTCCAGTTATCTATTGTGAGGTACTAGAGGCAGTGTTAGACATGTTCAGTTGTTCATTAAGGATAAGTATGGTTCCATTTGCACTTCTTGCTCCTCATTTATCACCAGGGATAAAAACATCCAAGTCTAAGCAGGGCCTAATTGCATACAGGGGTGAAACACGCGCTTACCTCAACAGTGTGAGCCAAATAACATTTAAACCTAATAGGTTCTGATGATTATAGACACACGATTACACATTACACAAGCATAGAATCTCATAATATATCCAGCTAACAACACTGGCTTCACTTTCAAGCATCATGTCCCAAACTTTTAATGATTTTCTTCATGATGGTCCCAGTGTTTCTTCTGTTAGAGATCTGCATAACCAAAACATATTTTTTATGTTTGGTTTTATTTTTTTGTAGGTGATGACAGCACATGGATTGAGATTGGTCTCTGAGACGGTAAGTGAAGTGAATAGTATACTACATAATCATGTTTTCATTGCTTTACAATATTTTAGAAAGGAGAACATAATCATAAATTAAGCTATTGCTTTAATTGATTCATATTTAAATATACAGTCATATTTTGTGTTCAGTGTTTAAAGGTTTTAAGTAAACGTTTTGGTTTATTTATTGAAGGAAAACATGAAGGAGCCAACCCTGAAAGGACAAAAGGGTGAACAGGTATGTTTGAAACCAGTTGTTATTAAATGTCTTTGGCCTGTATTTTGTTAAGAAATCCTTTTTTTGCCTAAAGTAGATCTGTAAAAGAGCACACTACACAGAGGCAACAGCACATATAACACAGCAACAACAACCAACCCCAAATCCAGTATCTCTTCTGTAAAACTTTCTTAAAACTCTTCTTAAGTAAAAACCTAACCTTCAATTGAGATATTCATAAAGGTCCTTGAGGAATTTTCCAAAATGTTGAACCCAGCTGGCAGCTTTGCACAAGAACTTTATGAAGTTGGGAATGACTATTGTCTAACGCTGTGCCTTTTAATTCTATAGGGAGAAACTGGAGCTCAAGGACCTTCAGGCTTCAAGGTATCAGTCCTGTATCTTTCATTGTGCACAAAATTTCCCCATTATTTAACAGGTGTCAAGAAATTGGAAGCAATATCGGATATCACAAAGTGATAGAGTGAAGAGTTTTATTGTTTTCTATTGCATGAAGCGGTGAGTGGGTTTGATTTTGGCAACACAAAACAGTTTCATTTCAGTTGCTGCATAGTTTAAGGGCAATGTTAAACTGGATAAGAACTCCCTGGAACGTACAATAATGATCACATTTATCTAAAAATCTGTTTAACAGGGAACTCCAGGACTCCCAGGGATGAAAGGAGATCCAGGACCAGAGGTAAGCCTTTGCTTTTACACTTCTATTATATGGTGTGGCTTTGAAATTGAACTTTACTAAAGTTAGCTTGCTATATTATGTTTCAAGCTAAAGTGCAACCTAAAGTGACCCCGGTAACAATGTGAAAGAATGCCTTAATAACAATCTAAACAATATTGATACAGTTGCCCGCGCCATCTGGCTCAGATGGAGGTGACAAACACATTTGACCACTATATCGTCAGTATGGACTCATTAGACTCAGTTCCCATGGCGATAGAGAGCGCTTCTGTACCTGTGAATTCTAAGTAATGAGACGGAAAGTGAGCTTGCACAACAAAGTATTTTTCTAAAGCGAAGCTGCTTGGTATGATGCGAGTAAATGCATATAAAAAACATTTTTTTTAAATGAGGAGCTTGGGAGACTCTCTATTGCTGCATTTAGCAAGCACAACTCTGTACCTATATTGAATAGTTGACAAAGGCGCCAGACACTGCTGTCGCACATAGACTGAAAAACAGGCAAAAATAATTGGTTTTCCTTTGTGTTTGGCCAGGGGAGACAAGGCCTGCTTGGCCCTGCTGGACTGCCCGGACTCCCCGGCGAGGCTGTAAGTATGCAGGCTCAGGCCACTTGATATATCGAGTCTCTGCCTTGTGTCCATTTTCCACACTCCTTTAGGTCATCTTTTCCTATATACAGCTACAATTTCACTTTTAAAATACCCATAAAACGAACAAAATGGAAATAAATAGCTTACTCATAGTTCATTTACTATATGCACTTAAGGAAATAACTGTCCAGTCATATTTCATTTTATTCAAAGACCACTAAACACACTGGGGATTTGAAATCTGCACAGACTTGTCAGATACAGAATGTCTGCACAGACTTACGTTCAAAGTCTATGGTGGACCCGCTTTAATGTGTATCAACCATTCCTAAAGGGATCTTAAAGATACAGAAAAGATAATCCATAATGGAGGAAATACATATTGTCGTCCTCTGAACTTGCCCCAAGGCTTACAGAGAGCTATCATGAGTTACTTAATGGATTAAAAAGCATTGTGATCGGGTGTCGGAGAAGTGAACACAACTTTGGAGACTTACTGTATATTGTGTGTTTGCCTTAAGCTAGCAGGGAAAACGTACTGCCAACGTGCCACTTTGTACAATCTTGTGCAATTTTTCCTCTTTGAATGTTCCATCAGCAAATGGCTGCCACGGTAGAGCTCACATTGTATGAACAGATAAAAGGTGGTGAGAGATGTCTGATATTTTACACAGTCGATCAGTAATCAAATTTAAAAATTAATTAGTGGGAAGTGTCAAATCTTCAGTGCTTGATGCTGGGAATGCAGGCATAGGCCCAATCTGCCCCCCACACCTGCTCCAGTAATGAGCATCTGTCTTTATTCAAACGCAGGGAGGGAAAATAGGCATTTCATAAATCCAGGCTAAAGGAAATGATGCTGGAGCAGGACGGCCCGCTGAAGCAGTGAGGAGGAGGAGGAGATATATGTGTGCAGGCGATGAAGGTCTGATGATAGATGTGTCTCTTTTCTACACTATTTACAGGGCTCGCCAGGGGAGGCCGGGGCGTCGGGGAGAGACGGACTGAAAGGAGAAAAGGTAGGTAAACTTCAAAATCCTCCTCTCTCCTCAAAGAGAAGTATAAAGCTATGATGTTTTATCGCAGATCCAACATGCTACTTGACTTGTGAGGACATCTTTCCAAATATGAGCTAGATTCAGGAAGATAGGGTTTGCTTTCGTCCCCCGCACCAGTATCTCATAGGACTATTGTTACAGTAAAATCCTCTTTTAGTTCCAATTCAAACTCAAAAACATTTGAAACCAGGCTTCTTCTAACAGTTGTTTATGCAGAAACATTCATAAATCCAATCCAAATGTAATGGATGGCTGATGGTGAGTAGAAGGGCTGATGGCACAGACTGGTTGCCAGACCTCTATCAGTCTGTCCTTGGGCAGTTGTGGCTAGTGGCTGAATAAGGCCATGTGTCTTTGGGTGTCATTTTATGCACATGTATGTAGTTTGTATTATTAGGCCAGTGTAACAAACAAATCAGCTTTAGACTGCAATCTGACATGTTTACATTACAATACGTTTACAATAAATTGTAAAGGTATTGTTTTTGTTGATATTACTATTTTTCTTCTCAGGGAGACTGTAGTGAAATAGTGGGACCACCGGGACCAAAAGGGGAGCCTGGCGAACCTGGAGGTGGTTATATGGTTTGTATTGGATATTTTTTATTCTGCAGCATATTTTGTTGAGGTTACAAAATGCAAATGTGGAGTGTTTATCATGAAGACATTGACAGTAACTTATGAGGCACGGATCATTGTCTGATACAAGCCTGAAGTGAAGCACAATGGTTCCCCAGCTGTGTGGCTCAGATGACATTATGGAGATGCAATGCTATTAAGTAATGTACCATAGGAAGAGCCTTCTGTAATCATACATCCTCCCGTTTTGGAGCTCAAGCACTTGCTTTTATGGCCATGGCTTTGCATATAGAAGCCATCATTACAACTCCCTCTTCTGCTCCCAGGCAGCCGGTTCACGCTACTATCTTCAATCACTCTTCAGCTTGGAGAAATCATCATGTTTGTTGTTTGCACATAGAAATGATGGGCCAGGTGACTTATGCATGCAGTCTCTAGATCTTTGAAGGGCGAAACAGTGTAAAAATCTGAGGACAGCAGTTGAAGTGGGCCACATAGCTCTGCTGATAAGGACTTGGAGAGAATCTTGTGCTAAACAGAGCAAAGGCTAAGCAAAGATTTTATGCTTGTTGAGTAAATGGGAACATGATAAAACCATCAGAGAAGACCGTCCTCATAAGGTGCAGTAAATAAACAAAGCAGAGCAGATGGTTGTGACTCAAATGTTCCATCCCTCACAAAATAGTAAATGTCACTTACACATTTAGAATTAATTATGCTCTTAGTCTTTGATCTTTAATTAATTATGATGCTTGTCTTTGATCTTTATTTTTTCCTAGAACACAATCCAGGACTGCAGTAATATAAATAAAAAAGGAAAAGACAACCTTTACGCATTAAAAATAAATTGAACTCAAAGAAAACTCAGTGGAGACTTAAACCAAATAGTCGAATCTCAAATTCAGGAGGAACCGTGTGGTTTTGGTCCCGATCGCAGAGCTCTGGACCAGCTCTATAGCTCCACCCTTCATCAGGTACTCCAGGGATCATGGTTGTTTGCCCAACCTATCCACACGGATCTGGAAAAGGCGTTCGACCATGTTCCCGGAGGGCTCTTTGTCCTTTGGGGGGTTTTCCCAGAGTACAGGGCCCGGAGTCAGAGCTGTGTTCACATTGTAGTGAGTAAGTCAGACCTGTTCCCAGTGCATGTTGGCCTCCCCCAAAGCTGCCCTATGTTACCGACACTGTTCACTCAGGTGTTCAAGGGAAGGATAGAGCGTGAGATTGACAGATGATGGGTGCAGCGTGTGCAGTGATGCCGCTGTGTCGGACTGTTGTGGTAAAGAAGGACCTTCGCACACTTATTCTCCACCAGCTTTGGAGCAGTTTCCCATTGTGGCCTTGGGGTTTCCAGCCCATACTCTGCACAGATGTTCCTGAGCACCAGGGCGAATTATATCATTTATACAGTATTTTATCATATTATATTATGTTATATTTTATATGCACACCTTTTATTGTTCCAGAAAAATGTTGATCTGTTGAATTGTATGTTAAATGACTGTTCCTGTTTGTGTTTCAGGCTGATGGCTTGCCCTTGACTAGAGGATCTCGTGGTCCTAAGGTACAACACTCAAAGAAAACACATTGATAGTAGTTGTATGATATTTATTTCTTAGACATGCACGTGTCTTGGCTTTGCAAACATCATCTAACGAAGCATCTGTTTATCCTGTATCTCTTTTTTTTTCTTTTTTCTGTTCTTTATTTTTTTTTACATGTGGGAATCCTCACATGTACAGGGGTGAAATTACATTCAGTGGAGCCAGAATAATGATGCATATTATTTGATTTGTGCCTGTATCAGGGCGAGAGAGGGGTCCCAGGACTGCCAGGAGACCATGGAGAGAAAGGCGACCCTGGACAGGGACTTCAAGGCTCACCGGTCAGTTTTATGATGTATCGATCGTCTGTCTCCCACATTCATTATTGACTTCAAACTATGCTGCTGAGAAATCCTCACTTTGGTTATTGGGACCAGAATTCATTCGATGGAGGCAGATGAAAATCATTAATGTGAGGGTCAAACTTAGGGTCTCATTATCTATGCTATGTACGCTGGTTTTAGCAGCGTTGATTGTTGGTGAATCTGCTTTCATTTCTGAGGATACTTGAAGACAGACAATCAATAGAGCAAAAGGTGTCTAACACAATTCCTTTATTGGATCTCAGCGCTGCAGGGCAGACGGTGTTAACAAGATGTATGATGTGTTTTAGGGCCCTGTGGGACCCCCAGGAAAGCCAGGAATACAGGTAAGCAGAGTCTTTGAACACACAAACACATTCTGTTTTCACAGACTTTATTGATGCATGCTCGGCTACTGTTTGTTTCCATCCTGCTTTAGTTGAATAAGATTATACTCTTCAAAGCTGAACTGCTCATAATCAGAGTTCTATTTTTATGTAGGGCTCCCGTGGTCCACCTGGTCCATCTGGCCCACCTGGTGCTCCAGGACGAGAGGTGAGTCAGAATAACAGTCTCTGCTAAATGGCAACGCACCGTGGTATATGAACCATGTATATGAACTAAAGTACCACCAGCTGAGATCTGTGTGAGCTGGACTCGGCATGTGTGCCTGGTGCCTGGAGAATGGCTAACACTTTTCTTTGTCCAATTAAAGGGCTCCCCTGGTAGATCAGGCCCACCAGGCCCCGCCGGACCCCCGGGTGAACCAGTGAGTCAGATTTTATTGTCTTGTTGCAGTTTGGCACCACTGGTCTCTACAAAGAGACACTACGCTACAGTCAAAGTTGATATTCAAAGTGCAGCTTGTTTTGGTAAAATGTTCACTAATCCTGCTGTGCAGTAAGCAGTACTCTCTAAAAAACATTGCTGTTTATGACAAATTGGCAGCACCCCATTGTTAGCTCATGTTTTTATTCTTTTTGGTTCTATACAAGCTTTGAGCAGGAACATTATTTTATGGAGATTTTGCTGCAGCAATAAGACTAAAAGAAGGCAACTGTTACATAAAAGGTTGTAAATGTATTATCTGTATGTCTTCAAAGAAATACTTCACAGTTCCTTACTGAATCCTGCACTCTGCTTACATTGGTCCTGTCAATGGACGTCCACGCTGTTATTATAATAATAATGCTAATCAGTTTTACATAAGGACAACCATTTTTGTTCTCATTTGAGTCCAAATCTTTGCGCAACACTGCCAAATCGACATACCAGATTCAGTCTCTGAATTTAGTTAGTTAGTTATTTTTATTTGAGCAATCTTAGTATGAATTTTGTGCGACTTCAAGAATATATAAAAGTTATAGTATATTTTACAGACTAAAACATGCCTGAAACGCTCTCAAGACAACTCTGAGTGTGTTAAAAGCTGTTATTCTCCCTCTTTAAAGTAATTTAAAGTGTATTTGTGACCCTTATTGTATTTATAGATCGCTTTGCCTATTCTTGGTGACATGGCTGCTCTACTAAAGGTAAGGTTTACTTGAATGTGCTTTTCACATACTTTAAAATTATTTATTTGGCACTGGGTATTGTATTGTTTGAATACCATATTTGTTTCTCTCTTGTTGACACAAGTCAAAACATTTGTGCAAAAGTTAAGTTATGATTAAGCAGACGTGGTATGTAATTTAGTATTGTTTGACAACTTTTTGCTTTCACTCAAAGTAAAAATGTCTGTCCAAATGGACTAATACAAGTGAGTGAAGGGATTGCAGGAGTGCTGCACTGGATCAAAGATAGTAAAAACACTTACAGGTGCTCGTCCAACTCGTGGGTTTTAGAAAACTCTGAAAACGTTGTTCTTTATCATTTGAACCAACGCGTTTCGACAAGAGTCTGGGAACACCACGTGACCACGCAATATTTTCAAAATACAGGTCTAATACAAGTTAGTGTTGTTGGCCATGCTTCTAAGCAAAATAAATCAGTGGCTTAGAATATTGTCATAAATTTTCCAGTTCAAAACACTTCAACAATTGTTCAATTGTTTAAGTGTTGTACAGGCAAGTGAATACAAATACTATTTCTCATATATTTAACAATAGGCATATTACTTTTTTGCATACACACTATTGTAGTTATTTACTTTCCTTACTAAAGTAAGGAAAATTCTTCAATACTTCAATTTTTAAGACTGTCTCTATACTTTTACTTAAGTACATAAGGCTAATACTTATGCCACCTCCACAATTAAGTCACAGTTCATTTTGGGACACTTCTGTCTTGATATATTTTAACAGTGCCCAAAAGTGGAGAACTTACTGCTGCTTCCACTGTCAGAGTTTTAATGCCGCGCTCTCCTGGAAGCTGCCGACGTAATCCAGACCTGAATCAAGAACAATGATATTTGGGATTCACACCTAAATGTCACAGTCAATGAGTTTGACAAAGTTCAGCTCTCACCCACACAAGAGGGGCTCCTGGTGGGTTCACATTATTTTGGTTCTGCAGACATTTACCGCACACTTTTTGTCAGTTGGGGTCTCGTTCCCTACCTGGGGGATGCGGCTTAATCAAATGCCAAATTGTAGTTCTCAATATGAACCTCCCAATGCAGAACGCATGCAGTGCTTGTGCCAAGATCCCAGGGCTGCCCGGGCTGAAGGGAGAGAAAGGCTCCAGAGGAGAACCGGGAGTGGAAGGCATGGTGGGAGAGAAGGTAAAACCCCTCAGGAACATCACACTTCATTTTCAACGTGCAACCTTCAAAACAGCATGAACTTATAAAACTAAAAATTAACTGTAATTCATTTTGATGAATAATAAAACCCCTTATTTTTTAATTTAATTTAATGAACCCTCAAGATTTTGTTGCATCTGAATGATGAAAAATGAAGGAAGATCCATCCATCCATCCATCCATTTTCTTCCGCTTTATCCGTTGCCGGGTCGCGGGGGCAGCAGTCTAAGCAGAGACGCCCAGACTTCCCTATCCACACACACCTCCTCCAGCTCGTCCGGGGGGACCCCAAGGCGTTCCCAGGCCAGCTGAGAGACATAGTCTCTCCAGCGTGTCCTGGGTCTTCCCCGGGGCCTCCTCCCGGTGGGACGTGCCCGGAACACCTCCCCAGGAAGGCGTCCAGGAGGCATCCTGAACAGATGCCCGAGCCACCTCAACTGGTTCCTCTCGACGTGGAGAAGCAGCGGCTCTACTCCGAGCTCCTCCCGTGTGACCGAGCTCCTCACCCTATCTCTAAGGGAGCGCCCAGCCACTCTGCGGAGGAAGCTCATTTCGACCGCTTGTATCCGCGATCTCGTTCTTTCGGTCATTACCCACAGCTCATGACCATAGGTGAGGGAGGGAACGAAGATTGACCGGTAAATTGAGAGCTTTGCCTTTCGGCTCAGCTCCCTCTTTACCACAACGGTCCGATACAGAGACCGCATCACTGCGCACGCTGCACCGATCCACCTGTCAATCTCACGCTCCATCCTCCCCTCACTCGTGAACAAGACCCCGAGATACTTGAACTCCTCCACTTGAGGAAGGACCTCTCCACCCACCTGGAGAGGGCAAGGCACCTTTTTCCGGTCGAGCACCATGGCCTCGGATTTGGAGGTGCTGATTCTCATCCCAGCCGCTTCACACTCGGCTGCAAACCGTCCCATGAAGGAAGATGCAATAGTTATATCTAAACATATACAACAACATTAGTTATATTTTCAATGGGAAGACATTCTTTGAATCCATTTTAAAATATTTTCAGGGTGATCCTGGTGTCAGGGGTCCCATGGGTAATCCTGGGAAGGAAGGCCCAAAGGTCAGTAGTTTTGTTGAAAGATCTATGTTTGTCATTGATAAGAGTTGATGTGTTCTGTTGTGTGAGTGAGTCAAGGCAGCAGAAAGTGTCATCAAATGTACCATCAGCCTCAGTTTGATACTTTATAGTTGTTGTTTTTTTCCACAGGGTGTGAAAGGTGAAAGAGGGTTTCCCGGCCCCATTGGAGATAAAGGTGATGAGGTGAGCCAAGAATCAAAATTATAATTTGATGGTAAAATTATAAGACACTTTCAGGAGGTTCTGCATATTCCATGAGCACTCCGTTTAAACGAGAACAAGTCATATTATATTTATTATGTTTATAGTTATGTGTTCCTTTTGTAAACTAAACTAAAATAATAAATAAAAAAAATCTGTTTTAAAGTGTGTTTGGATCTTATGCAGGGCCCAGCTGGAGTCCCAGGCCTCCCTGGAGCAGCCGGTCGGACTGGAGCCCCGGTAAGACTGTGAATGGGGCTGCGGCTTAATTAGAGCGTAACCATTGAGGAGGACAACACAACAGCTTTGTGAAGGTCATGTTTAACTGTACAATGTTTTGTTTACAGGGGATTATGGGTAGACTGGGTCCGATCGGACCACAAGGAGGAAAAGGAGAAAAGGTAACCCATTATTCAATTACCCCTGCTACCATTTTACCAATTACAAATTATAATACATTTTTAGCATTCAGTTCACCTTCCAATATGCTTTACTTACTTGAAAGGTCTTCAAAATACATCATATTGGTTCATTGTTCTTTGATATCCTTTTTTTTTATTAAGAATCATCATAAACAATTGATAGGATGTTGGTAAACCTATAAATTAAACTACATTGCTAACTTGTGCTTATGTTGTTCAGGGAAGCGAGGGTTCTCCAGGAAAGCCAGGGCTCCCCGGTCCTCCGGTGAGTGTCTGGATGGAAGTCTTTTCCATCACAATCCTGCAGTGATAACCCCCAAACATGACATATGTGTATTTGTTGTGTCTTAACTGCTTATTCTCTGATCTGTGTTGGTGATTTCAATGGTTTTGTTAAGTCCTCTGAGATGACTGCTGTTGTGATTTAGGGCTACGCAAGAATAAATTGTGTTGTAAATTGTATTGTACATGAAAGCGTTGTCAATATGGCCACAGGTTTTCCCATCAAATCAGTGATTATGTTTTCTCTGCTCAGGTGTCTTTCCAATTGACTTGCTTTATATATAAGGAACATACAGTATGCCATTTTTCCTCATGCTGGGTCCAACAAGAGAAACCTAACTGATAAACAACAGCAAATGTGATGAAATCAAGTTGACCTGGGCCTTGACTATGACTCATGGCCTTTTCCTTTTAAGAGGCCAGTGTGTAAGCTCTTCCAAAGGCAAATCTATAATTCATCAGGCTTCCCTTGAACCTCCTCGTGCCCCCCACACCTTCAGCTCATAAACAGCGCACTGGGAGGACACAAGATGGCTCAGTGGCCTGAAAAGGGCACAGTCGGCCACTTGCTTATAAATGAGAACCTTGGCTCTCAACATTTATAATAGCTACCATACAACACCATAGACCACAAACATACTCTTATAACCCAAAAATAGGACGACCAGTGAAGTTAACAGAAGTATCTTTGGGTCTTGAAACATATCATTCCTGCCACTGCCAAACACGCACCATAACTATGAATATAAACTACTGTATATTCAAACACAAATTATCTCTGTTTCACCGTTTAGCCAAAGAATACTTATTCAATAGTTATGAAAGAATGCATTTTTGGCCACATTACCACAGCCCTCCAACATTGTTTCTCAATAATATTCAACCCCTTTACACTTTTCAAACACTTGTTATATTTGAATTTATTTAAATCTAGTTATTATTTAATTATTTTCCTTTTGAACTCTACAATTCCATTTGTATGGTCTCCTAATGAGCTATTGATTCTTGAGAGGTAACTATCCTAGACCTTTTGAGGTAGTTACTGGGGTCGTTTGGCCTTTCTACTGTATGTTCTCCCTGTGTCTGCGTAGGTTTCCTCCAGGTGCTCCGGCTTCCCCTAGCATGTACAATAGTTCCCTGTGACTCTCACCCCCTATCTGGGGCCTGGACTCCCCTGAAAAAAGTTATTCTGAAATATCAGTGGATAAATAAATAAAAGGTTATTAAATAAACAAATACTGTACTTTTTGTGATAATTTCTCTTGGTTGTGTTTCAGGGCAATGGGATGGGCAGTATCTACAAGCTACAGGTAAGAATGACATACAGCATCAAAGTGACAAAGTGATCAAGGAACTGTGTTTTAAATGAGCTTGACCCGAATTTTAAAATACACACTGAGGTCATGAAATAAAAACTAAATCTCTTTGCAGAGCAGTGGAGCTATTTTAGGACCCCCTGGAGCTCCTGGTGCACCGGTAAGGATATGATCGCTTTGCTTGAAGCCAGTGCTCTGTGTTTTGTGGAGCAGCAGCAGCAGCACGTAGACACTGTAGCATCGAGAAGACCTGAATATCAAGTATTCTCTCTACCTCCGTAACATTCTGTGATTATTTTATGGAGATGTAGAATGTGTTCTGAGGTGACGGAGTAACACATTTTTGTATTTATTGTGAATAATCTTTTTGGAAAAGTCTTACCATGTAACATACTTATTGATATTATACTTATATCTATTTTAAATGCTACTACCAGCATATTACCAGCTTTTATGTGATGAAATAATGAATCTATCTCTCAAATAATGATCTTGAATCTGTATGCAGGGCACGAGACACAACAAATTATGTATTGTAATTGTTATTTTTGCTTATATAAATATATATATATTATTATTATTCATCTATTTTTTTTTTTGTTCAAACTTGACAGTTCTAACCACACAGAGCTGATTTGCCTATTACCTGCCCTAGCCCTTCTTATCAGACAGTTTGTAATCGGGATGGTGCGCTGCACTGTGTACTGCATCCATCACGGCCTCGCTGCTCCTCCCGGCCAATCAATAGTGAAGCATCTTCATCAATGTTAGGAGGGACAAGGGCACCTATATATCAATAAGTCCTTTTGGTGTGAAAAGATGCAGAGTGGCAGAAAATGTGAAATGGACGGGTGTTTGTGGAAAACGTCTTGCACTCTATCACCATTATGTACAAGAATGATTTATGAGGGGAAATTCAGCAAAAAATACAATAATATTTGCTATGAATTCAAGGGACATAGCATTGATCAGCCACACAGTATCATTTTAGACGGTTTTATCACTGCATTTGACACATTCATGAGAGTAATCTGTCCTCTCTCTGTTTCGTTTAAGGGTCCCAAAGGGGATGACGGGATTGTGGTGAGTTTTCATTGAAGTATATATCGTCATGTGTAATTATTTGTCTGTCTTATTTGTTGTTTATAAACGTAGGACAGGCGTCAGTTGCATTTACTATCAAAGCGTCTCTACAGAACAAGTCGATATACCCTCCAGCCTCTGCACTTAACCACCCTCTCAGTAGAGCTCAAGCACACAACAAAAAATGAGCATGTCTCCCGAAAACATGAAACCGTTGTACCATATTGTCTCGCCAGTGGCAACCCGCAACCTCCTTTTTTGCACTTCAAACGCCCCCACCCCCTCCTCCCCCTTTAGTGATTTCTCGAAAACAATCCGCACTACATTGAAACATGAAGCAGGTCGCCGCATGTGCCATCAACTTGAATTCCTTATCCTCATGGGGCCAATTGCATTTTTTATTGTTTTGTTGCACAGTGATTTTTCACCAGGATGTTAATTTGACATTTTAATAAATTGTACGCGTGGACCTGGGTGCAGTGGTTGGAATTGCCCCAATCTGTCTCACAGCTGATCCTCTGGCTACAGCCCTTTCTCCTCTCCTTTATAGCCACGCTCGCTTATTCACGACAATCTACATGTGTGACAATTACCTTCGCAATCCGTCTCTGTCAGAGCAGCTTTGGCCCTCTGTTCCTTGTAAAGGCATTTCGTCTTGGCAGCTTTAGCTAAGGTGTTGTATAGTGTGCTTGGAAATGGCTCTACTTTAGTCTGATTGTGATGGTGGAATAAGAGGACCTTTCGCTGCTTAATCAGATATTGAATGTGCAATGGGGTTGAAGCATTGTCCAAGATGAGTTAACCGTAATGTATTGACATGTGAAGGGCTTTTTTCAATACATGACCAAGTCTATCAGAATATGAGGCAAAAGTGGTGAAATTGGATTCACCTGCTTTCATGTCCTTTGATCGATTTGCTCTTTTACATTAACTATGTCTGACAGACTTATAATAAAACAATTTATCACTCACTGTCCACATACCAAATTGGCCATCCCTAGATAATAACCACGGCTGTTTGCTGCAAATGAGGCAAGGACTTCCAGCAATAACCCTTTGTTTTGTTTTGTAGGGTGAGCCAGGGCCCATGGGATTACCAGGGCTTGACGGGCTTCCTGGTGCCAAGGTGAGAAAACCTGTTTCCATGGAAATTTAAAGTCTTCTAGGCTTCCAAAGTCTGGCATGAAACTCATCTATCAGTGTTTAAAAGTGTAGTTTCAACGTTCTGCTTCCATGAAATATTGTTTCTGGTGCTAATTCTGGTGCTGCTTGAAATTGTATTTATGAAGCAAGTAGCAAAGGTTCCATATCATCAACCAATGTCGCCTCTTCAACAAGTGAGCTTGTTTTTTTTTTTATTTGCTTCAGGGAGACACTGGTTTACCTGGACCACATGGAATATCTGGTTCTACTGTAAGTAGGATTTTATAAATATTTCTTACAGGGTAACTTTTTTCTCATAAAAAATGTATAGATTTGAAAACAGACATTCATTGATTTACACACAGTTCTAAGAACTTAGCATAGAATATTAGCATATTTTTTTAATATATAATGCATATCCAATTATTAAAAAGTTACCAGTTTGTAATTAGCCGATATAATTGTCAAAGCGATAAATCGGTCGTTCCCTAAAATGATTTACTAAATACTTGAATAAAGCTGTAGAATTGAATCAATTTCAAAAATGCTGGTGAACACTAGAATTCATTGATGCTGGTTTATGTTGGTGTATTAAATTTAGAGGCTGAGAGGATATTTTAGGTTTTGTTGTGTGTGTGTGATTGACAGGGGAAACCCGGTGCGCGTGGAGAGCCTGGGATCCCAGGAGAGCCGGTGAGCTGCCTGTCTTTGAGCTGTTAGTCCTCGTGTCAGTCCTTTGTCACTGAGACTGATGCTCTGTCTGTTCTCAGGGCGAGCGGGGCCCCATTGGAGAGACTGGATTCCCTGGGCCTGAAGGACCCCAAGGTCCTCCTGTGAGGATGCTAAATTCATAATTGTGGCCAAACTTACATGTCTGTCCATCCTGTCAGACATCTGGAACTGTGCAGGGCAGGGCCTAGAATGAGCCTGGTGTGTGTGTGAATGGTTGGTGGTCGGAGAGGCCGATGGCACAGACTGGTTGCCTTGCTTCTGTCAGTGTGCCCCAGGGCAGCTGTGGCAAAAGTAGTAGTTTAACACCATTGAGTGAAATGTCATGTGATGCGTCTTTGAGTGTCCTGAAAGCGCTATACAGTATAAAACCAATAGATTATTATTATTATATATATATTTTTTTAAGTACATATTAATCTCCATTGATTCTACCCACCACTTTCCAATCAAGACCAAACTGAAGGTGTGCCTTCTAAGTAGCACTTATTTCTGTCAGATGGTTTGGCCATTGTTATTTAGGTATTCAAGGACAATATAGAGAGAATTCGTTGGCTAATACTTGTCCTGCTGATGATTACGTTACTCATTGTAATTACCATCAGAAATGGCTTCTGTAATTTTCCATGTATGTGCACAATGGGGCAGTATGCACTCAGCAATCAGGGTCATTATCCTTTTTGAGATATCTCATTAACTGTTGAGATTACTAGGAGTGCAACAGCGCAGATCCAATTGAAGTTTGGAGCTGATACTAAATGTCTTTGTTTGTGTTGTTCCTTTCGAACAGGGACGTGCTGGAAGAGATGGGACTCCTGGATACAAGGTGAAATCTGCAAATCCCTTATAGAGAAGTACTTTACATCATCTGTGCTACAAAAAGATGGCACAGCAGATTCTTATCCGACCGCGGGCAATAGCGTCCAGAGTGAATTAGGCTCATTTGCATTTCCAAGATTTGATAAAAACTAAATAGAATTTTCACTTTTAGGGGTCCTTTGGCTTTCATTCATTTTACCTCATTATATTCTTGCTGCTCCAAGCTAATGATGAAATGTTTGCCATGGAGCTCTCATGACACTCAAATTAAATACAACATTATTTTCTTCTGTTCTGGTGCACTTGGAACTAAACTAAATAATCTTTCTTTTGTATTTTGTGACTGATGACATGTTTCACACCATTTGCTCAAGTCAATGCTTTGTGACTCAAATAAGATAAAAGAATACCTACTATTGTTTTTTTACTTTTACAGTGTTAGACTAGAATGACATGTGTTTAAATCAGTAGTTTTCCATACAGATATTTCCAATTATACAGATATATGTTTATATATATGTACCAGAATCGGGGCTGCACTGATTCACATAAATGTCTTTTCTGAACCTTATTTATAACTTTATCATGCAGCAACAGTGCCATCTAGCAGGTAGCTCTGCACCTCTCCTCCTCACCTCGGGGAGGGACTATTCAGTGGGCAAGATGATAGATTTAAGCTTCACATCATGCTACAGGGAATACAATAGTCATGCAGATGAAACTAGGCAGGGGACTAGACGTCTACGAGATGCCTTCTTTAAAACCACATCATGCCATGTTGTCTTTTGCATGGCACCCGTAATCCACCAAGAAATTGATCGAAAGATGCTCTCAATGGGATTGGCAGTGAGTATGGTAAAAAGAGAAGCAATGCGGAGTGACAGGGAGAAATGGGTAGAGACTGGAAGTTGTGACACAAGCCAACAGGCAGTCTCCAAAGGACCTCCATATCGAGTGCTATAGAGTAGAGACAGTTGGAGAGAAAAGCAGGTGCCTCTCACAATTCAGCAAGACAGAAGCAGAAGGGGGATGACTTTGCAGAAGGTGAAATAGTATACAGGGAAATAATATACAAGCAATTCACCCAGGCCGGGAAATAGGCGATCAATGCACATAGTCTGTGTTTTGCAAAGTCGAAGAGCTTAGACAGTGAAGATATCAGAAACTTTTTCCAAATATAGATAGATAGCTTTATTTCAGACTTGCAGTCCAGAGCAAAACAGACAAACAAAACATGAGAAAGCCAATCCCAAATACATATTATTTTTATATGTGGCGTTAGAGCAGCAGAAAGTTCCTGGGTTTCCACCTCCACACAGGGCCTTTCTGTGTGAAGTTTGTATGCGTGGAGTTTGTATGTACAATTGTTCCAGCTGAATCTGACTGTGGGATGATGGATGCAGTTTAATCCGGAGAAATGTATTAATTAACGATAGACCTTGGGAAGAAAAGCTACTTTATGTTTCAGTAGCAAATGGGGAAGTAAATAAAATCAATTAAATCCATGTCATATACTGTATCAAAAGATGGCAAAGTTCAATAGATGGGGATTTTTAAGACCTATAATACATTTTGGTGACACCAAGACCAAACAACAGTAACAGTGCATGTTACATAACTCTAATAAACCATTAAAATACTGGCTCTTTTCTTCAGGGAGAAACGGGACGCCCTGGAGACAGAGGCACCAAAGGTGAACGAGTAAGTAACATGTGACTCAGCCTGACTCAAGAGTGGGCACATAATAAGTCTCATTTAAATAAAAAAGTATTCAGTGCTGCACTAGCAGGACTAATCCCACATGCACTAAAGCACTTGACCAGACCTGGCCTTCAAAAAGTGGCACTCAGAGGACAAAAGTCCAAATTCCCTGATACTGAATAAAGGAACATGCATAAGTACTTGATTAATCCATAACTAATACCGGCAACACTCAAAAAATTACAAATTCAATTGCAGAATTGACTTTAATCTCTTACTTATGTTTGCACCCTCTTACAAAATGATGCAAGTAAAAAATAATGTTAAAACCTAGTGCAATGCTTTAATGTTTGCAATTACAAACCGGGTCTTTTCCATAACTTTAGGGGGACCCAGGCATTCCCGGAGAGCGAGGTGTCCAGGGAGAGCGCGGCCGCACTGGTGATTCTGGTCCATCTGGACCCGTGGGACCAACAGGCCAAAAGGGAGACCAAGGTGCTCCAGGACAGTTGGCCAGCTCACACGTCTTGGTGAATGACATTTTGATTTTATGACTAAGAATGTGGTCATTCTTAATTCATTTTAAATTGTCCCTTGAGTTGATCCCTCACGTAATAAAACACGTCATGATCTAGATTTTACCCAGACTGGACTGTGTGACTGCATATTGATACCTTTTATAATATGGGGATAAGTACTGGTGAGCAATTGCAGGCATTATTCTAAGGTGAAAACACTGAACAGACCGGGACTAAAGAATATATTGATTTTAAGATTTAAAACAGTTGAGAGAGTTGTAGAGTAGCTAGAAATATGAATCTCTCTTTCGCTAATTGAGTATTAAGAGTCCATTATATTTTAGTCCTTTTCTGAACCCTTTCAGCTGCTCTGCCTTCTGAAGTTAAAATATAGCTTGGCTTTCATTCTTTGTGTGGAAAAATGACACAACCGCAACACTTTTCTGCATGAAACATCAAACAGGCCATTTGTAGAGAAGGTTTATTGTTCTTTCGCTGCTCCACACTTCCCACTCCTGATCAGCTCAGAGGCGGGAAGGTCAGGGAGAGATGGAGGATCGTGTGGGTGTGACTTCAGCTCAGCAGCGCCCCGGGTGTCACCAATATTATGCACCTAACACCATTCATTCACAAAGTTGCATAACACCAGCCAAAAAAACAAAAAGCATGGTTTAAAAAGCTGCTATTGTTTAAATTTTTAGCAGCGAGAGTGCAGTAAAACAGATTTTGATGAATTCTCACAAGAATAATAAGAAAATGTAGAATCATTAATTTTTTTGGAACATAATGTTTATTCTAACATAATTGTGGTCTTGGTGAAATGAATTACAATAAATAAAAAAAGTCTTTGTTTCAATATGTTTTTTGTTGGCTTTGATCAAAACCAGGGGGATCCTGGATTTTTGGAGGAACTGAAAACAATCATTCGAAATGAAGTTTTAAGGGTTGTGGAAGGTAAGATATCCAAATCCTATCTCATACATGTACTTTTCTCATTGCTAACTCATTGCATTTGACTTTTTCGCACATGTAGAAAAGGTGTCACATTCTTCCATGATGCAAAAGACGCCTGCTGGGATCTTAGCTGGTCACATTCAGGGGCCTCCAGGGCAACCGGGCAGAGACGGGTCACCAGGCCTCCCGGGACAGCCTGGAGAACCTGGTCAGCAAGGTTAGACCTGGAGTGTATGATCTGTGGTTGTTATTAACTGTCAATGCAGCCCATTACCTTTCTCTGATACAGTAACTGCTGTGAGTCCCTGCTGTAACAACTCTATTTAACACATATATTCAAGCTAACCTTTCAGAACATATTTTACAGGTTATTTCAGCCTCATTATTTCACATATTTTCGTAAAACAAAGGATAATTGAATAAGACTTAGGTTAGGATAGGTTAAGCCAATATTGGTTAGATTAACCTATTTATTGCTAATACATTTTACAATCTTTTGGTTGTTGGCCAATCAATCTAAGCACTGTGGGACACAGTGGTACAGCTGCTGTTGTATCGGGCCAAACTCTCATTGTGTTCTTTAGCAAGACTCTTCACCCACATTGCCTTTTGTGTGTTCAAATAGCCAGAAAACTGGTGAAATGGAACTAGTTCCTAGATCTCAAAACAGTTAACTTTTTCAGACTGAAAAGAAGAAAAGCAAGGTTCACCTTCACCCAGCTCAGCTCTGACCATCAAATAGTGACTCTTGAGGATCCTTCTTACAACAACAGTTTGACACTTTACAGCCGCAGCCGCTCCACTGTTGCACCTGGTGTTCCCAGAGGTTTCCCACCACAGCACTAACCAGACCCTGAGCTTAGCTTCCATAACACTGATGCAAATTTTCAAGGTAAACACTAGGGTTGTATTTCACTGCAAACTGATCATTCAGACCAATATATTGGTCAAATCAACCAATATTGTTTTAGCTGATTAGATCGGTAGTTTATCTCACCAATGTGGTTTAGAGTGTGCTTACGAGACCACTGAACTGGCACACCGCCATAAAACTCCCAAAGTGACCAGCACCAATTTCTAGCTGTAAAGAAAAGCATTTTGGTTCAAACACGGGTGACACAGAGGATTTGTGGGGTCTGGCACTTGTGTTTCGAATGGGATTCACGGGCATTTCTCTCTTGCTAGAGCCATATATCAAAGACGACTGAAGCAGAAGACAGTGGCTCGGGAAAATATGAAGACAAAAGAAGAGAAAGAGAAAGTATTATGAGAGTGGACAGGAAAGAGCCACACTGAAACTCTCTTCTGAAATAAACAAAAACACTACAGGAGTCAGGATAGAGGCGGGACGTCTTCATTTGAGAAGACTTTCTGTCTGATTGATGTACTACACCATAGGTGTTTTGTCATTATCATTAGTACTCTCTTTAGCTAAGCTGTCTTAAAGATGCACTGAGTAACTTTTCTGGTGGAGGGTACACCCCCTGCTTTTTTCATGGAGTTAGCTTTGCTATGACATTCAACAACTCTGAAGGCAAACAAGTGAATGCATTAGCACAAGATGGTGGTCACATTTTTTGTCGTATGATTCACCTTATTTATTCATGTAAAATGCATACATATGCTAGATGCCATGCTGTGTGTTATCTCCATTCCCCATAAAGACAGACGTGACAAACCATCAAACTGCAAAGTCACCCATTTTTAAATGGATTTCTGATGTAGTGCAGTTGTCTGTGAAGTCAATTAGGATTGCAGACTGCATTTTACTTTATTTTACTGCTGGATATTAGTCTGCCTTTGAGATTTTTTCCAAATTATCCTAAACCTTTATTCCATACACACGACTGATCCACCAGTCAATAAAATCAAATATTTTTGTGGATTGTTTAGGCGATCAGTGCAGACCACCTGTGTTAGAGTTTTGTATCTACCTCACAATATAAAGACCATTTCCTCTCTGATCTGTTTTGGTTGTACATGCTGCTGCAGAAGAGTATTACGAATGTTGCCACTGACTCAACATGACAGCGGTGTCTTAATGCAGTTTCCATAACCTTTATAAAAATGTTTTTTTTGGGTGTTTTTTTTAAGCTTCAAATATTGTTTTATAGTGGATTTTGTTGGAAACCTGCATTGAATATTTACAAAAAATAAAAAGTTAAATTATTTCTCATGAAAAATCAATTCAACAAGTTTCTTCATTCTTCCTTTGCTGGCCTGTGCCCACCGTCATCTGGGGAGCGAGATGGGGTAACATTTCCTCATTATTTCTCGACATACGCTGCTGGAGATCGTACTCTTTTGGGGGATCCAATTTAACTTATTTTCCAATACACCGCTGTGAATTGTTTATGAAGAAAAATACTTCAAGCATGTTTTTCTCACATGATTTGATTTCACACTGGGCTAAAGTTTGAAGTGGTGTTTGGAGTAGAGTGTACATAATTGCCATTTTCTTTTCCTTTCATTGTATGTAATTGTGTGATTTTTGACATAGTCTTCTTTGGAGTGAAATTGATTTGTGCAAACAAATAAGAGCAAGAAATAACCTGTATCTACAAACCTACTACAGTATATATATATATATATATATATATATATATATATATATGCTATTTTCAAATACACTTTCTAGTACAAATATTGTATTCAAATTACAACATCATCTTTGTATTAGTGGTTTGTAATTTTTTGTATTTATTCTTGTTGTGAATGTTTGTTATAATGCTTTTTTCGATATTGTATTTACAATTACAGTCTATATTTTATTATTTGTAGGAGTATAGCTAGTAAATCTGCCTTAGTTTTATTTTGTAAAATATAATGGCAAATGTCACTACCATAAGTTATTGTGCTCATCAGGTGTGACCCATATTCTATGTAGCTGAAGTCACAAGGCTGTTGTGCCATGCTGGCCTTTTATTGCATTGTCTTCAGTATATTTTGAAGATACGGGGCTCTTCTCTCCATGGACTGTCTACTTCCTGAATGAATGCCCGGAGCTCTGTGAGTGTTGAAAGAAGTCTCATTATTGCCACTGCCCCTCGCACTTTTGGAGCATTCATAAGGCTGTTTTTTCGTGTGATTTTCTGTGACATGTAAGCGATGAGGCATTTTCCCTTTGGGCCGTGGCAGTCCAATGCTCGATACCACTGTCAGAGCTTTGGATGCACTTTATGGGATGCTGGTCCGGGCTGAGACTCCATTATTTTAAGTGCCTAGTGGGGAAAGACTTTTGCACAGGCTCTTAAATTTGCACTTGGTATGCAGCTTGTTTAAACTGTAAAGACACAAAGGCTCTCTGCATGGAGGAGTCTTTGATGAATACATCCGCATGCATTTAGCTGTACAATGTCATGCAAATATGGGATTATAGGCATCATCGGTGTGAGCGACTAACTCTGACTTTGTACTTTTTTTCTCATTTTTCATGAACATAAAAGACGAGCATGTGATTTATCATAAGAGACTTTCTATAGTACAGCTCGTTGTTGCTTGTGTGGTGTGGACCTTTTGGTCTTTGCTGAGTGAATGTCTTTTGAACACATGATTTTGTTGAATTTCCAAATTGCCATAAATACATTAGTTGTTTTTGATGGGTCCAAAGTAAAAATGTCTATGATAGAATTGTTTTTAATGTAAAATAGCTTTGTTGTTCATTCAAAAATCTTCAAAGACAGTTGCTTGTGGTTTTTTTGTTGACAGGGCAGCGAAAGCCCGTGACACCTTCTCAATGGAACTAGCTAGTAGATGGTTTGTTTGATGATTTCTGTTTTGACAGGCCGTCTTTTATTATTCAAAGCTTTGGGATGAAAACTGAGAATGAGAGTAGCCTGTTTTCACACACACTATAGAGCTGTCTCTTCTCACAATAAGAGCTGGCTTGATGCTTGTGATGATGTTATTTAGCTCATCCAAATGGCTGTTTGGCTGATCTGAAGGTGTAACCCTAACACACTTGGCATTTTGGGTTTTGTGCTAATCTTTCTAACACACCTCTCAACCTTGGCTAATCCACCCTACATGTATTGCACAACAAAGACAAACCATTTTTTCCTTTGTATTTAGGATACAGAGGCCAGAAAGGAGAACGAGGTCAGATGGGTATGGCGCTCCCAGGAGATCCGGGACCTATGGGACCACCAGGTAAGCAACATTTTTGCATAACTGATTGTTGCATCATTATATTTTTTTGTATATTTTTTTCTATTCTCTGTCTTTATGTACCAAAGCTCCATTGAAAGGTATTTCAACCTTGTCATTCCATATCCTACTCAATAAAGATTCTATCACCATGCAGTTTTGCTAAAATGTTGTTGCCAAGTTGACATTACAACAGTGATATTAAAATCAGGTTGGAAGTTTTCACAAGACATTTGTTTTGTTCTTTGTGGTTTCATTTATTTTACCCTGCGCTGTGGTTGCCATAGGGCAGATGCAGGATCTCAGCAGGATGGGCCACATGCTGAAGAGTGGAGCCTCTTTGATATGCAGACCATAGAGCCTGCCAGACAGTGATTTCTGACAGAGAAATAAACTCATTCATCCAAATCTATTGCTTGTGCAATTTTTTGTATAATGCTATCTGGCATAATCAAGAAACCAGGATTACATCTTTTATTACGCACATCTTTCTACCATTCAAAACTTTTAGGTGAGCTAAGATACACAAAAAGACAGTGACTGATTGATGCTACTGCTTTTACAATATCTCTCAACACATTAATTTTGAGTGTGTTTATAGTACTTGATTTTGATTGTTGGGGAAAAAAACTCAGTTTGTTTCTATTAATCGAATAATTAATGAATTGTTTAATTTGACATTGTGAAAAAGATTCTGCAAACCTGCATTATAAAGAAAACCTCATCTTACGTTTTCTGTGTCTAGGACCCCCTGGCATCCCCTCTCATGGCCCCCCGGGACCCCCAGGGCCCCGTGGAGCTCCTGGAACGTGTGACCCCAGTGACTGCCTGCTTCCATCCCTATGAGCCCTCTTCATCTTGAGGCCACGGACGCCTCAGCCGGGACCTGCATCTTTGGCATTTTGGACCTCCTTCGTCAGTAGTGTTAGTATGCAGTTTGGGTTTTCCTCCTGGGGATGCTGTTAGGTTTGTTGTTTTGTTTTCAGTGCAACAAAGAGCCTTTTGAATAGTTATTTTATTGCATTTTGCTTTGTTTTTTTTATCCCCCACTGTGATATAATGCATTCCTTTTCAACTCTCTGTCGTTAAATACCATGAAATGAGCATTTTGTTGAGGGTTGCCCTGTCAGAAAGAAAAAACAAAACAGAAAATGATCTTAATTATTGTTTATTTGCCTTTTGATTTGGCACGTGTGTGCGCTCTTCTGTTGCAATTCAGATAAGCCATTTGGCAAAGATACATCTCCTAAATGTGTATGTGTTTGAAATGAGAGAGTGAGATGAATGTGTGTCTTTTATGTGTGGGTGTGAAGAAAAGATTTTTGAACTCATGCAACCAAAGTGCAGCAGTTATGTTTGATATGAAAATTATTTATTTAATGTTTGTTCTTTGAGAATGTACTTAAGTTATGGGACTGGTCATTGTAGTAAATGTAGCATGACTGTTTGAAAACATGATTCTGCTTCAGGATATTTGAGTGTTTTCTGTTGTAAATGTACTTGTACTTTGTCTCGATTTCAAACACATCTCTGAAGCTATTGCAATCACTGATGAAGGGTCTTTGCCCGTTCGGATCAGTCTCAGTCTCAGTCTATTTGGTACAACACACACGTCAAGGGCAATTGAAGCAAATGTACTTGAGAAGTCATTAGTCTTTGAGTGACCTCCTCTGTTGGCTTAATCAGACATTGTGCATTTTGTTTGTTTTGTTGTTGGCTAAAACAATGAAGCAAATTAGTGACATTAAAAAAACCATCACATTGTTTCTTCATGAAAATCCTTGAGTGGGGCGGATTAATTACATATTTTGGCAGAATTGTTCACTTTGATATAAAAGCATGAACATTGGCACTCATACTCTCTAAGGGATACTATTTTGGAAAAATATGTTGGCCACTCAAACATTCAACATGGCAGCCATAGAGGACACAGTTAGCATCCATCCATTTTCTTCCGCTTCATCCATTGCCGGGTTGCAGGGGAAGCAGTCTAAGCAGAGACGCCCAGACTTTCTTATCCACACACAATTCCACCAGCTCATCCGGGGGGACCCCAAGGCGGAGAGACGTCCATTCAGCGTGTTCTGGGTCTTCCCTGGGGTCTCCCCCCGGTGGGACATGCCCAGTTAGCCTAACATAGATTTTGTCCAATCTGGCCTAAAATTGTGTAATAAAATCTTTGTACCAATACAAGCAAAATAATCCATTACGTCTGTTCTTAAGTTAACTACATGGCCACAAGGAATTATTTGAATATGTTTTTTTGTTCACAATCTAGTCAGGTTACCAGTTCATTCACAAATACACAGGCTGCCTGTTGTCATATCTATGAGTGAATTGGTAACCTGATCCGACCAGGATTGCTCCCTAAAAAGCCAATTTAGAGAAATTCCATGATTTCCTAGAGGTCAACTGTCAAAAACACCCTCTGCATGATGAAATATTTTGATTGTTTCAACATTTTATTCAGCAATTTCGTAACAAATCACACAACTTTAGGTAATGCTTACTGTATCCTGTACGCTACCATATTGAAAAAATACTGCTTTACCATATTTTACTTTTTCCCAAAATAGTGACCCTTAGAGAGTACCAAATGTCACAAATGTTATTTACCAACGTGAACTAATATACTGCACTACTAAATAACATGTAATGTTTATGCACTGTGTAGTGGAAACCAATTCCTTTTGTTGGCCTTTGTCTATATTTTGCTTTCAGAAACTCAATAGGCAAATTGGACTACTTCACTTACAGTAAGCTCCTCCATCACTGAAACTACTTTACTTGAGTTATTTGAGTTATTATATTTTCTGTATGTAATTGAAACATTTGAGGGGTTTTTCTCTGTCTATGGCTTTGACACAGAAAGGAGACACCCATTATGTTGAAAAGTTGCTCCATGATATTATTTGATGTGTTCCCATTTGTCTAATAGCGACATTCTCAAAATCTTCATCTTCTTTGAGAAATATCGCTCTTGACATTTTTCATGAGTAAATGATAATAAGCTTGTACTATTTGCCTTTTTTAAGAGCTTAAATGGTGTTTCTATTATTTCAAAAAACTTGTATCTGTCCGATGTGAAATTTATGTGGCCGTTATTTGAAAATGTAACTTTTGGGTTTTATCTTTTTAAATGTGTAATTAAATCCTTTGGGCACAGTGCATCTGTCAAATAGACACACACACACACACACACACACATCTACACACATACACTCACACACACACACAAAATATAGTTCCATTTACCCCCAGAAGAAATATTTCCAAGCAATCCCTGTTCATGAATTCAGAAAACATTGTAGAAAGAGACAGACCCAATATGACTTCATTTGTGAGTCGAAGGAGCCACCTACTGGACATTTGTATGTTTCTTTAAAAAGGTTCAACAATACTGAAGAATGATGAGTTACGATGATTCAGGGTCACTATGACAATTCACCAAAACTAAGCAACAATTTGATACTTACTTTTCATTCATCCAAAATGTCTGAAAATGCTGAGACAAAAAATACAAACTAGTGATGGAGCTAAACCTTTTTGGAGATGAGGAACTAGTAATATGGATTTGGAATCACTGTTATCTTTTAAACATATACTGGAGTTGCAATTTAAGATAAAAAAGGGCCAATCAGTTTGTAGTCAGACTATGTATAATACAGGTTGATGTGTCTACTGTATGTTTTTTTTGATATTCAATACAATCAATTGTCATGTAATGGTGTATATAAGCTTACAATTAAATCAAGCTGATATTTGTTGTGGCATCAGGTTTAAATAGTTGTAGTCTGCTCTTGTTTCTCCTGTAACTTCAATGTTGTCACTAAACTTTCTTTGTGAACATCTACCTCAGTCCTGGTTTACCACATGTCTTTATAATGAGCTATTTTGAGATGAATATATTTTACATCATAAATTGTTGCCTTTGACTGACAAGCAGCTGCAATGTAGAAATGGTTCACAGTGAAGAAACGCTTAGGAGGGTTTGCTTTCACTATTTCAGAGGGCCTGTTTATTTTATTCTTCTCTCGCTGCATATCTTATTCATGTCTATTAACAATACTGCCTTACTGGTGTGCAATAAATATGACCCATAAATTTACCCAGTGTGCTTGTGTCTTTGATGTCCATGCACTGTAACAGACACAATGTTAAATTCAGACAAAATATCACAGAAAGTGGTTTGTATTAAATATAATTAACAATTCAAACAATTTACAGATTTACATCATGTTCTGTGTGACTTTGGTCAAATGGATTTTCTCCCGGTTTTTATTTGACCTGTGAAGCTGACAAACCAATTTGGTACATACACCCTGTACATACAACATACACATACTGTACACACACAACGTCAGTGAGAAGGCAATGGACTTAAAACAATTACAACTAATGTGACCTTGGATGTCTTTGGTCATGGAGATAGAGAAGCGTACTGCATGAAAGTTCATCAGAAAAAGTCCACAAGTTTAAATGGTCCAGCGTCACACAGAAACATGTGGAAAAGATGCTTCATCTTTTTCACACTACGGCGGTTCTTTCTGTTGGCGGTTCTCACAGGGGCCTGGAATAAGCTCCAGGGGAAGAAGTGTGACGGACATCTGCACTGTCTCTGCTGTTAGTTTCCTGCAGGTCCCTTTACGTCCAGGCCCTGCTGGGCAGCACCGGCTTGAAGATTGCAAGCTGATGGATCACAGTATCCATTAGGTCCAGCTGCTCCAGGTAATCCAGGTACACCAGACTGTCCCGGGACTCCAGGGGGGCCTCGCTGCCCATCACGCCCATCCCGACCATATCCAGGTTTACCAGCCTCACCTGTGATCAGTTATGTTGTTCAGACAGTAGCCTTTGATCAACTGCTGAAATTTTAAGAGACAATCTACTAACCAGGAAGACCAGGTGGTCCCGGCTGACCCTTAGGTCCACGGACTGGAGGCCCTCGGGCTCCTCTGTCACCCAATTCACCTGTTGGAAATTAATCAGAGAATTTTGGATGTAAAAACGCCTGAGAGTGAAGTTAGTGTCTTTTCCGTGAATTGTGTTACCCTTTGGCCCTTTGTTGCCTAATGCCCCTGGTGGACCCTTTAGACCAGGCAGTCCTCGGGCCCCAGCATGTCCGGGGAAGCCATTGTCGCCGGGAGGTCCAGGAGGTCCAGGGGGTCCAGGTTTGCCAGGTAAACCAGCAACACCTGACTCCGGTCTTCGCAAACTGGCAGCCAACTGAGCCAACTGTTCTGTTAGACACAGCCACACACAGGTGTGAGACACACAGGTGCATATATAGTGTGTGTATGAGTTCTCATGTCATTGAACACTGACACACTGCCATTTTTCACAACATTGGTGCAATATAACAGTTGTGTGATTGCAGGCTCATTCTGAAAGCCCAGAAGAATTCTTAAGAAGCAATGGTCCAACAGTTTCTGCAGAGGAGGTGTGTGGTCACAACATCACTCAAGCTGCAGCTGTTTTTCTTCCTTTTCCGTTTACAAGGTTAGTCAATTGTGAAAAAGAAGGGTAATACTCTTCATAGGGAGCAATCAGTGACAGAAAATGTATGCTCACGGTTAAAAGGGTGTGATATTAATTTCATGTGGCTCTGAACGGCTGGTGTTTTTTACTCCAAGTATTTGAGTTCCTGATGAAAATGCATACAGGAGCTGCAAGTCTGCACAACTTACAAAAGAGAGAATTTCTTTCCTGAGCAGACTCTACTTGGAGCAGGGGATCTCAGGTCTACTGGAGGTGAAATGAATGTTTCAGCACATTGAGTATAAAAAAGTCATGAGAATAGGAGATGAGCCAAAAAGACATAAAAGTAAAGAATGGGGGAGAACAGTGGTTGAAGGTTCAGAGGAACATTTCTAAAGCTCAGGGAAGTCATTCATCCCCAAATAAACAAATATGTTAGATTATGAGACTTCAGTTTGTACAGTATGCAGCAAACTGGACGATCGATGGGATGGGGCAGGAGCAGCTGACCGTGTGGCAGTGTAATGAGGCATTGTGGCGATGATTAAAGTCATGAAATCAGGCACAGGGGAATGATGAATGGGGTTAAAGGCCCACTGTTCACACCTTGCATGACGCGCATACAAACTTGCTTGATGTGCTGATCACTTGGTTCTTTGCCCTGGACAGAGAAATTTCTGACACAGTTCAACATTTTTACATAAAGATATAAAACAGTTAGTTACATGAAAACAAGCATCCGGGATGTATAACTCTCTAATATTGTTTATTAACATGAATCAAATGTTAGATAATAAGTTTTATCTTCCAATTGGTCTCCAGTCTGCAGTGAACAAGAGAAGTCAATGATTTGGCTAGCATTGATTCAGATTTATGTACTGTCAAAACGGAAGCAGATAAATATCAAAAATAGAGTCAAGAGTCACTTAAGAAGATAATTACCTTCATAAAAGGCAATGGGAATCATTTTGGCAAATAAAATGTTAATATTATCTTGAAAACCCACAGCAAAATATTGCAGACTGTTTTGGCCTATTTTAGCTCTTGACATAGAAGCCACAGACATTATTTTTTGCTGGACATACCGCTGGCCCCTGGGATCCTCTGGACCCTGGTAGACCCCTGTTGCCCTGCATGCCCCTTGGCCCGGGTGAACCGGCAGGTCCCTCGATTCCAGGCTGACCTCGACTTCCCTCTGGACCTCTTTTGCCGGGCTCACCAGGGGTACCGACCTACAGAGACAAATGGAAACACATTAGGGCAATTCACGAAGTGCTGCATATTTGTCACTGCTTTGGCATAATAAAATCTGTTATGATGCTGAAACTCACCTCTCCTTTAGCCCCTGGCTCCCCTGCATCACCCTAAGAGACATGTATAAAATGAACCATTAATAACAAAGCATTTTAGAAGCTACATACTGTACAGGGTCATTGAAAACGACGTCATAACTTACAACATCTCCTTTGTCTCCTGCAGTTCCTTCATCACCTTGAGATCCCTGTTGATAAACAACAATATAAAGATAAAACACATCTGAAAATAATAAAGTTATACGTCTGAAATGATATCTACCTGTTCTCCCTTAGGACCACCATCACCACGCTCTCCCTGTAACATGCAAACAAATGATCACTCAGGCCACTGTGCACCTGACAGGATGTTTTATTGGTCCACACAAGAGGAAGCTAATCAGCCTATTGTGGCCATTTATCTTACCAACTCTCCTTCTTTTTACTAAAACAATGGCCTTTAAAAGCTGTCAAATGGCATTTGTCTTTGACTTACCCTCTCTCCTTTTATTCCAGGAAGACCTGGGGGACCGGGGAGACCTGGCAGTCCGGGGTCACCTTTTGGTCCCTATGACAAAAAAGAACACACTAAAACAAGGACACTTACATCCAACCAGAAACTTCTATTCAACAGTTAACTACATTGTTAGATTAAAGTTGATAAAACATTTTTTATGGCATTACTTGGCTGAAGGGTGCATTGCGCAAATGTTCGTAAAATTACCTGCTTGCTGCCATAGATGTTATTGTTTTGTTTAGAATATTTCTCAGTATGGTTTAAAACGTGTACAACTTTGTACAAACCAATCATTGGTGATACAAATGACTAGCCTGTCCATAATTATGTAATTGGAAAAATGTTTGTAGAAAAGTCCAGGCAAAACATTTCGATAAACCAAAACAAACAAACAAAATGTCCATATTATTGTAACAATATATTTTACCCTTCTTTCTGAACATCACATTTTAGCTGAAGTGACTGTGTGCTGGAGGGTGCCACACACTGCCTAACCATGAGAGGAATGCCAGTGGAACAGAGGGCCCATTCAGCTCCTGCTTTAGTCTCCCCTTACTGTGAAAATAGACCTTGTGTGAGATCCGGACAGGGCTATTCTCTGAGAAATTCCTCTCAAACAACGACTGAGGGTTAAAGCAGCCAGGTTTCCATCTCTGTTGCAATATGCAGGTGAAAATGGTAACTAAGTGGCTCTAGTTTTTTTTACTAGCGCCTGTAAGTAGTTTCTAGTAAACATATAATATTATCTATCTTCAATAAATAGGTAAATCAATAAATAAATAGACTTCAAATAAGTATTACCAAGAGTAAGAGTAGTAATTATGATTTTATCTAGTCACAAATGAGAAACAAACTGTAAAGTAGTATAATATAATACTGTGAACAGTATCATCTACAGTGTGTTTTGTTTGTGTCTTGTACGTCATGAGAGTACCGTACCCTGGCCCCGTGTTTGCCAGCAGGACCTGTAGGACCTTGTTCTCCAATATCTCCCTGAGTGGTGGAGGGAATCAAACATTGTTAGTGAAAAAGGCACAATAATTGAAATGTGAAAGATGAGACTTACAGGTCCACCGATGGGTCCAAGAGGCCCCACCTCTCCCTGATCCCCTCGCTCTCCCTGTGCACGACACCATACAGTCATAAGACGGCCCGTATATCCTCTTATCCTCTTTGTATTTACAACTTACAGTTTTTCCTGCAGAGCCCATTGTTCCAGGGAGTCCAGGTTCTCCTGAATCTCCCTAAACAGAATATTTGTTTAAGATTTGAATTGTGATAAAAAACATTGTGTAAAAATGAATTAAAATGTTGTTTTAAATACCTTAGGACCACCCAATCCTTTTGGTCCTGGAACACCAGGCAACCCCTGAAAACAAATAAAGTGAAACAAGGGGTCAACATTTCCAGATTATAAGATCACGGCCATGGCCCAGTCATTTGTGTTGTAGAAAGACAAGAGGATTCATATTCATCACTAAATATGTGAATTACATGACTTATTATCTTGGTCTGTTTACTTTCACAGAGCAGCACATAAGCTGCATAGCTCTAGGTCGTTCAGGTGTATTCAATCATCGACAGTGACTGCAGTCAGAGGTCACACTTACAGGAAATCCCTGAACCCCCACGTCTCCCGGAGCTCCGGCCTTCCCAACGACCCCCTGTGGAAACACGGACCAGGAAAACACTTTTATGCAACACATTGTCTTACATACATTTAATGATGCATGAAAGAAAGAGTGTTACCTTTGCTCCAGGCATCCCAGGAATACCTTCACGGCCATCAACCCCAGGAAGACCCTACAAGACAATCAAATATAAAATAATAAAGAAACATAAGGACTTATCTTTATTTGTGGAAATAGATTCTTACACCCTCTCCTTTAGGGCCTGGCACCCCTGTTATTCCTCTTGGCCCTTGGACACCCTAAAATAACATTGAATGTTAAATCAAATGTATCCATCCTAGTATCATCGTTTACATTTGTGTTTATGATGACTTACCCCTTCACCTTTAGGACCTGCCTCACCCATCACGCCCCTCTGACCTTGATCTCCCTGAAACACATAAGAATTTATTAAAGAATTTCATAATTTTGCACTGTTTGATTAATAGATACAGTTTATATCGATAGACATACAGTTGCTCCGGCGACTCCCTGTAGACCTGGATCTCCATCGAGACCTCGCGCTCCCTACAAGACCACAACATGTTAATTAATACAACTACTTTTTGCTAATGTATAGCTTGAGAACAGAAAGCTGAACATAAACAACATTTACCATCTCTCCCTTGGGCCCCAACATCCCAGTGGCTCCGCGGATTCCCTGAGGACCCTACATTAGCAAAGCAAATCATCAAGTCCCTCAGAAATCAGCAGAAAACCAGTAATTAACAAATATTTATATCTTAAGTGGTAAATTTCTCACTGTTGGTCCTTGGGCTCCAACCTCCCCTGGGATCCCCTGCTCTCCTTCCTCTCCCTGAAAATAAGAGAAACAACTACATGAACAAAAAATGAATAAGAGAAAAAGCCAGGTGCATTGCAATTATATTGTAGAGTATTTTATGATTTACTGCCCACATTAGAAGGAAAACATATCTATTTGTACCATGAGTGAGTTAATTACATCAAATTAGTGCTCAATAATATGTTATGAATTACAAATAATGTACAAGTTTACCCTGACTCTGTGGGTATCCATGAGGACAGATAGAAGTATTTACAGCAAGTACATTGCCTTTTATAAAGCATCACTAAATATACATGTATGACATCAGTTTAAAATTATATCCCTTTCAAATTCTATTTAAGCAAACCTTTCACCATTATAACCCACGGAATGACTCTATAAATGTATGTCTATAAAAGCTGATAAACAAGAACAGTCAAAAATATTAACCCCCTTATCAACGATGAAGAATGTGAACATATATTATTATACATATATTATGTACATATTAATGGAGGGGCACAACATTTTATGAATTCTAAGAACTTTAAGAATTCAGGACCACTTAGGATCCCTTGAAATAAGGCAAAACAATGTTCATGGTTGGAAATTAACAAGGTTCCAAGTAGAATTTCAATATGCTAAGAAGAATTGGGAAAAAACAAAAAAACAAACAAATTGGCTCTAGTTAAATTGAAAACAAGGCTCAGGACAGCGGGGGTCACAGTCATAAGCAACGTTCTTTACAACATCTGGTCATAACCAGCGGCCATGTAACGCCCCTACAGCTCTTACAGCTCCTTTTCCACTGGAGGAAAAAGCTCCACATCATTATGCCACCCCCACATTGTGGAAAGAGAAAACATCTCAGGTGGGATCTGTTTGTCGCCAGTAACATTGGAAACCCTCTGTACCACCGTTGTTACATTTGTTCTCATCATAGAATGTGCTTCTTTCATCTTTCAATGTCCCATGTTTGATGCTCCGAGTCCAAACGGAAACGTCTTTGGTGTTCAAGGAGACAGAGCCTTTGAAGACCTTTTTTGAGTCTCCACAGACCCCGATTATGCAGTTCAACCCAACCATGTTCAGAAAGATTTTTTGCTTTTGTCATCAGAACATAATTTCAACTTCTTGACAGAAACATTTTCTTTAGTGGCACAGATTTTGCCATTTCAATGTGGTTCTAATCTTTGGATTGGTAGTAAAACAAACAAGAGCTTGCAGTTTAGGTGTAATTTTCAAAACTTGTTGCATATTGGAACTTTGTTAATATCTAGCCATGCAAGATATGTTTCCTTCCATCAAAGCCAAGATTGTACCAGTGGTGAGGGAGCTCTCGAGAGTTTGTGAGACGACCTGCATAGGACAAGCCTGGGTTTGGATTTGATCTGAAAAATACTACTAATTATGGGTATAAACCCTATACAAAACATATGGTTGGTTCTCTAATAACTAAAAACGATGTTAAATGTTGATAAAAAATCTTGATACCTATCGCAAAAATGACAATTCCTAGCTGTGGTGGTGGTGTCTTGTGGTACATGCATAATATACATTGTTCATCTTATTCCATGTGAGCTTTCCGGTCCATATACAGTAAAAGGATATCAGGAAAATGGTCCTTTTAAAAGAAACTTTCAGCGAAGGGGAAAATCATTGTTAGGAACTAATGCAGACAGACAGTAAATCATAAGCTGGTGCTGGTGATAAAGGGAGATAGACCAGGCTCATTTCCATTTAAATAGTGCATGAACACACTATGGGGAGAGCCAGTTGTGCTACAATATCATTTCAAATAAATCATCCTAAATACAGGGAGTCAACGGAACTAAACCCAGTCTGGTTTCTCCCTCCAAAAAAAAAAAAATACGTCTAGTCCCATTGGTCTTAGAAAATCCCCTAAAGAGCCAAAATGGACATTGATTATTGTCTGTGTTGTTCTGACTCTTACCTTGTGGCCTTGTTTTCCAGGTTCCCCTGCTTCACCCTTTACACCTTTGTGACCCTAGAGAAATATCAAACAGTCATCTACAACAAATACTATTATTGATTTTAGTGCACCACACAAATAGAATGTGCACCTTCATGCCAGGGAGTCCAGGGTGCCCTGTCATTCCCGGTGGGCAAGAATTTGGACACTACACAACAGAAAAATGTTTTCAAATTATAACAATATATTCAACAAGAAAAATGTACATTTTAAAAATAAAATACCATGTCAGTACTGCCCAAGGCCCCAGCTGCTCCCTTAACAAGAAATACATGTTCACAAAGATGCATTAGTTTTCATGTTTCAATGCATTTCCTAAAATGTCAAAAATAACTTTTGTGTCACTTACTCTGGGTCCCTGTGGTCCACGAGGTCCAGCTGGCCCTCTCACTCCCATGGCTCCCTGTAGAGCAGAGGAACAATGTCATGTAAGGTATTAGAAACATTATTATAAACATAAAAATGCACCACATATTCTATGTCAATTAATTTTACAATATTCAATTTTAAATTCTCTTATTGGAAACTCCTGGTTACCACTGTAAATAATATTATTTGGAGTCAAACCTTTATTCTTAGTTTTTATACTTACAGGTGGTCCGACTTTTCCGACTTCCCCTGCTAATCCTCCAGGCCCAGGTGGTCCCTTCAGAGAACAGATTTTTAATCAGCAATTCATGACATTTTCAGGATGTTAGGTTTTCCAAAAGTACTTACGGGGGGTCCATCAGGCCCAACGCCCTATTAAAATATGAAGATATAAGAATAGAACATGAAACAAGTCTGGCTTCCATGCATTTATGATTATGGTAAAATACTTACAGCTGATCCACGAGGCCCAGATTTTCCAGGTTCACCCTAAATAAAGTCATAGAAGCATCAATAGATAGAAAAACAGACTTGGATGCAGATGACAGACGTTAACATTCCAAAGGATTATCACATGACTGAACTGGGCACACTTGACTCAGCAATGTTTGGCTTAATGAGAACTGATGTAGAGTCTTCATTCCCCATGGAGATTACATGGAGACTTGCTGGATTAACTCTCATTTGTCATAAGAAATTGGTTAATGCACCGCAGCTCTTCTCTACGCCAACAGAGCGGACAGCCGACACTTGGCACCGTTTCTTCATGTTTCTGCAGCAGCAATGACAGGCTCATTAGTCACTTACTTTCTGTCCAATGGGGCCATCAGGTCCGGGATCTCCGACAGGGCCAGTAAGTCCCTGAAGAAGAGAATTATTAAAAGTTTAAAACATCTCAGGAATTGTCAAAGGCCTTGAGTCCAATGTTGCACCATCACTGAATACAGTTGTGGGTGGGACTTGTGAAATCCATATTCATAGAACATGCTCCTCCTCCAAACATTTAGTAGGCTCTGCAGTCTGATATCGGCCACTGTTTTTTACATCATAGAATGGCATAGAACATTTCAGTATAATTGCTTAACAGGCAGAGAGGAAAGGGCAGAGGCCAACACTCTTGGAGCCAGCATTCCTTCAGCCTAACTTAAACAAATCCCCCAGACACACACAACTATTCCTCACGGTTTTGAGGATTCTCAACAGCAGATATGACCAGCAGCGAAAACACAGTGCTGCCATTGTTTCTCAAAAATATTGCAATGCTATGTGAAAAATTAAACTTGTGGTGTAATAATCCCACAAATACAATAATGTATTGTTTTGTTGTTGAATGGGGAATGTGAATGACATGACTGAAAATGTATTGTAGCAGAGGGGAGGGGTATTCCTTCTTGGTGGGAGGATCTCTTTAGAGGAAGTATTGCCTTCAGTATTTTAAGGTATCTCAAGAGGAGGTAATAGAAGAACATAAAATATTTTTTTCTTTTCACTCACATCATTTCCAGGAAGTCCAGGTAATCCAGTAGAGCCGGGTTTACCAGCATCACCATCGGGCCCCTAGATACAAATTGCAGACACTTCAGTGCTTCACAAAAGGACAGGACTTTTCTTTAAAAATAATTGACTAAACTCACTGGTGGTCCATCTTCCCCATATACGCCCCTTTCCCCCTGCAATGGATTGTTCAATTAGTTTTAAAGACTCTTCTGGACGTGCTGACATAGAACAATCAAAAGAAACTCACATCAATGCCGTCAATTCCCGGAACACCTGCAGGTCCAGGGGGGCCTGGACTTCTCTGAAAGACGTATCATATTTGAATTGACGTAATAAAAAAAAAACATAATCGAAATCATCTAAACATGAGTAAATGAGAAATGTGTATAGAAAAGTGAGAACATATGTGTTATTCATTTTCATAGACAATGTTATGGAAGACGAAGAAATACAGAAAAAGCGCAACAAAGCAACATTTGCTGCATGTGGTGTTGGTGCACAATAACGCAATAAGCAGGAAACTTAACATGGCACCATAATTCACACCTGCCCTGCGGTAACTTCGGCCTGTGGAGACAAAACACTACACGAAGGCACAATAATGGATCTTACTTGCGCAGAGCAGATGAGCACAAGTTGCAGAAGGAGCGCTAAAAGCGGCCCTCGTAAGCCGGGGCCCCGTGCCATCATCTCCCCGTGGACTGGAAAGGTAAATGCTGTACTCCTGACCGTGGGCTTTGTTGGGCTGAAGGAGCCCCCGACAAAACAATCCAACTGAACCCACTTGAGTTATCAGACCGTCCGGGCTCCGGCCTCATGTTTATTCATGCTGCTCTGAACACAGACGCGGATTGGCGGGTTTGTCCCAGGGAACAGAAGGGGTGGGTCATCGCCAGGACACCAACACCAACAGGCTGAGAAGCTCTGTTATTGTCTTGTTTTATGCAGGTGCATTCCGTTATCGTTACAATTCCTTGCAAGAATCGGAGTTTTGTCTTACCTGGGTCGTGGCTGAGAGATCAATGCAGGCTCCGGTTCGGGCTTGGGCCACATCACAGTGGATCAACATGGACTGGAGTTCAAACTACAGAATATAATGAATGAATGGACCGAGCCAACAATAGCCATTAATCAAATGTTATAAAGCCAACTTATCTGAATTATATATTTTCATTTTACATTCAATCCATAGTCCTGGTTTAGACTAGATTTAAGAACACTGTACCCAAGAGGCCTATATTTCCGCGCTCTTTTTTTTTTCTTAGCTCAACAATTATGGGCATGTAAGTTAATTGTGGGCCGACTGTGTGTGCAAAAATGCTGTGTTTTAGCTTTATTGTAGTTATTGTATGTTTTATTAAGAAGTAACTTTCAAATGTGTATATGAATATCAAACAACATCGTAGGGGTATTGTAAGCCATTCAGATGCACAAACTGCATATTTTCTGCACAGTTGGTTGGTATAACTTTTTATGACACATTTTAAAGTAAGCATACTATGCCTGACATGTCTGTTTCTTTCAGACTTACTGGAACTGCCAAAACTGGATTATCCTGGAGTTTTCCTATCATGGTGAAGCCATCCATGCTGACTTTATGTCTTGGAGGAATATCCAGGGTGCCAATCAGAACACAGTCAACCAGCAGGGAGACTGAGTCCTTTCTAACATCCAGTAGTATCAGGTGCCAGTTGTTGTTGAAAAGTGAAGGTAGGGGACCAAAGACCACCGTGTGCTTCCTGGAGTCTGCCCCAATGGAAGTAAACTGTAGACACTGAGACTCCCCATTGAGACTCACTGCGAGCTCTTCCTCTCCTGTCACATCCTGCATCTGCCAGATATTCCACTTTTTACTTATGGTGTTTTCAGTCATTCGCAACTCAGTCACAAAGGCAAACTCCTCTGGTAGGCCTAAAGGATAAGCAGACCTAAAGGATACACAAATAAAAAGTAAATACTTTGGTAATACTATAAAACATCTTTATCATGTAAAAAACTAGCATAAGTAAAATCAAGACAGTATGCACACAGAGGAACAGAGTCACTTAAAAGTTCTGTCTTTGGTCATTCATTTTGTATTTGATTTGTTATTTGGACTTTAATATGTGATGCGCCAAATTTATATTCTGAAGGCATGTATAAGTAAGTATGTAAGTTCGTAGTTAAGTAAGTATGTAATTAAGTCACTTGTCAAGGCATATTTGACTTGGAAGTTCTCATGTTCAGCACCATGGACAGGGTAAGCGGTGTTGTCCAGTCTTTACCACTAGGTGGCACTGTTCATCTAGTTTAAGCAGCAGTAGCAGTAGTAACAGAAGTAGAAGCAGACACAGCAGCAGGTTACCTTGTGTTTAGCCTGAAGTTAAAGGTTGACCCAATGTTGTAGGCAACATGTTGAGGAGAAGATCCAGGAACCTTCTGAACAATGCCTCTTCGTGCAAGTTCCATGATATGGAATTGTGACATAATGTAAAACCCTGGGGAGTCATTGTGCATTACTTGAGTATGACATAAGTAGTATATTATGTATTCATTTATTTTGCCCTTGAAACATGCAAACTTATTATTCATCGTTTTGGAATTGAAAAAAAAAAAGATTTTGCACTAAGTGCTCCAGAGCAGCATTTTGGAAATTCTTTTGTTTGTGGAATAAGCTCTAGAAAAGGGCTTTGAATATATGAACTGATATCCCGCAGCCTAAAGAACCTAGCAAATTGTCACTACATAAAATATGATTGCCCTTCTAGTACATTTAGAATATTTTGTTGGAAAATGAATATACAGTATATATATATATGGCCAATAGTCAAATTCCAAATTAATACGTGATATAAGTGATATTTCATATAATAGTCCATAAATAGGACATAAGATAAACCTTTATTAGTCTTTATTACATACATAATGACTGTAAAGTAACTGCAGTACAGAATGACATGTTTGCTTGGACAATATTTGAATAATTTGTCTTGAGTTGGAAAAACCTGGGAATGTTTCACGTCCAACGCTGACTGGAGGACACGTGGACTGCTTGTCTAAATGAATACCAATATCAGGAGAAAATCTCACAGCTATAAGAAGAAGGAAAATAAATAGGTAATTATCAGACACACTGTCGGTGTTGGGAGTAACTCATAAAAAACAAGTACAGTTAATATGATTTTATTGTTGTTGAAGTTATTAAGTGATATTACATATTATCTGCGTGTCTCAAGTTACATGCAACTTTGATATAAGTGCAGTGATAATCCAAAAACATGAAGCATGGCAATGGAAAGATCAACTGCAAATGGAATTACCTTCACTATTAACAATACAGTTGAGAAAAAGAGGCAATAGTTTATACAATTTGAGTGAGATAAAAAAGGGAGATTTCTAGACTCTTAAACAATCATTTGAAATGACACCTAATAACATAGAACCATCTTCCACACAAACAACATCAATGAATCATATGTAAATGTGACAAAAAATCATCAAAATAGACAGTCATATCTATGTAGTACAAATTTGAAGTGCCTCCCAAACTTGTACATTGTAAAACTTGGTGTGAGTGTGTTCACTCAGTGGGAGCATAGTGTGGTTGTGAAGCTGCACATGTTTATTGAATAAATATTAGACCAGTGTGTTCAGGGCTGTGCTTTTAACACTTCAGCTCCAAATCATAAACTGGAGAGGAACCTAAATGGTATGTGATCCTCATCCTCACACTATAGGAGGGAAGCTGATATAATAAAACAGATGGATTATCTAAGTGAAGTATCACAGGAACACCAATTTGAAGATAGCAACCAAATACGGCCTTTACCATTGTGTATGTAAACAATAGTCTAATCAAGACAGATTGACAAAAAATATTTTTTTTTTGCATTCAAACTAGCATTTTAAAAACATGCATTGGTAATTGCAGCTTACTTACTTTGACCATGAAGCCCGGTGCAAAGATACAGTGGCATCTCATGTAAGGACAGCATTAACATGATTATGTACCTGAGGATAACATAATCTTTCTATTGTTGTTCTATTGTTAAAATTAGAACCAAGGGGGAAAAACCCCCATTTAATTTACCTTTTGACTAGTTCCATGTCAATGAAGAGAAATGAGAATCCTTAACTTCTTCTTGGCAGAGTAAAGCTGCTTGTCACAGAGGACTTCTTATAGCCATGGCCCTCATGTATTTGTCATGTGTCAATACCATCAACACTTCACTGTGTCAATCTCACATCCCTGTGTTGTTCACACTGGAAGATGCACTTCCTCTGAACATCACTTCAAAAGAGCAATTGTCAGTCTTGACTTTTGTCCAGTAGTATCCATGATATATTCTGCTTTTTTGGACATGTGTTGACCCAGTGCAACAACATTAGAGCAGAGATCGTGTCCTGGGTCATCCTCCCAAAGGGACATCATCAGCAGAGGCTCAACCCTGAGCTCACCCTTTGAATGCAGTATATGACAGGATGGCTATGTTTGATTTCTGAATATAGAATGGATTCATATCAATACATAGCTATATTAATGAACATGGAAATCAATAATAGACTAGGCTAAACATTAATAGGCTGTAGCAAACTCGGACAGTGGTAAAATAAGTATGAACACTGTTACGAATAGTGCCTATTGCATGATAAAACATGTTTAACTAACGACATTATCATCAGTCTGTATATTCTATTTCTACATCATGAGCTATTAATGGCGGTAATAAGAGTTGAATGAAAGTTGGTGTGAGTTGCACATAGCGCTGAGGAGGCGTGTGTGACGCGCAGTGCAGCTGGAGCCTGCTGCTGTCAGCTTGACTTCTGCTGCCCTGGGCTATTAGCTCTGTTCAGCCCAATACAGGGGCATGTGTTGATTCGTTTTATGAGTACTATCTAACATTCACCTCACTCGGGACTTGCGCAGCTGCTGGAGTATTTTCAATCCTGTGATCCAAAACAGTTTTGCTACGTGAGACGCAAACAGAGCTAACGTTGGTTAGCTAGCTAATGTTAGCTAGCTAATGTTAGCTTACCAACGTAATGGTAAGTAGTGCTAGGGCTAATGTTACACCGGTGATCTGGTTTTGCATAGCTAGCGTTTTTATGCTAACAGAAAGTCTACAGTCAAATGGCTGTACGTCGTATGAGTATGTATGCTTGTTTTGAGGATAGACTATGTTAGTGTTTCTTCATGTGGGTATTCTGGTGATGTGTGGCCTTTTGCATAAATTCAACTACAGTAACTATACGCTGCAGAACTGCAGATTGACCACCCACCCTGTCATCGTGATTTATTATCAACAAGATCTTTCAGTTGATTTTTCCTTGTCCTAATATCTTGAACTAATATGACCCCTTGTTACTTCCCGTGCAATGTCTTGGGCAACTTTCATCATTATAATTGTGTAACCTGTGTTGTCAGCTATCTAGTGAGTAGTGGTAGTAAGGAACACTGTTGAAAAGTTGTACTATATGGTGACCTAACTAGATGGATTGCCTATGGTAATGATTAGTTTATGCATGAATAATTTACAGGGCATATTTTATCATAACCTACCATAACCATAACCATCATAACCTACTCGATGTGTTCATAAAACAATCCAGAATAGTTTCATTCTTTTGAATGCAATTTAAATTACTGTATTCATTGTCTGCTTCTATGGTAAATAAATGCTCTTTGTTTGCTTAGTTTTGCCTTTGGCTCTGTATGCAAGTGTCCAATTTCATATAACAACCATCACACTTTCCGTATCAACAGACGTGTCACCTGTTGCAAAATCCTGTTGCAATTTGCCATGCGCTTTCTTTACATATAGTTCATTAAGAATATGATATTTTTTTGTCCTCAGGCCATGAGATGTATCCCAGGTGACGTAAGGCAGCAGTGCCTGTAGAGCTAAAGATGACTGAAATCCAGGCCACTCTGGAGTTTTCTGTGGAACTCCACAAATTTTACAATGTTGACCTGTTTCAACGCGGGTGAGTTTTCACTGTATTTGTAAATTAGTTAATTTACATTATACTTCACAGATTAATATGCTTACCATTTCTGGAAAGGATTATGAAAAGTGATCCTTTACTGAGCTAAATCTTCACCAGTCACAACGCAGTGGTTACCGCAGTTGTTTGCCTTTCCTTTCTTATCGTTTTTGGTTATTGTATACCTGCATATTTGGCCTGCTTACACCTTTATAGAGCCATGTCTCCAAATAGAGCAGCATCTCCAAAACGAGGGGTAATGCATCTTTCCGCAGCACATCAGTTTTAACAGCTCAGGTTTACTACATGAGTGACTGCAAAAGAAAGTGCTCATTATATATTTATTGACACTGCAGTGTTGTTTTTCCTACAGCTAACTGCTGCATTTTGTTCTGGATGCATCACTTATCCTTTAAGGCCCGTAATTGTGAAACTGATATATTATCCACCTGTTACCAAGGTAGTGAAGTGAAAACAAGAAAAAACAATAAACATGTGTAATGGTGATCTCTCAGATTCTACCAGATCCGAGGCAGTATCAAAGTGCCTCCCAGAGTTCCACACAAAGTTGAGGCCAGTCTCCTACATCCAGAAGGTAATTTACCTGTACTGTTTTATGAATGACTTTGGCACCGTGTAAATGACATTGTTATTTAGGTTCAGATTTGGCATTTCCCGCTTCCGTGCAAGATGATGTAATAAGCAGCAAAACATTCCAAATTCTGTACAAAAACGAAGAGGTGGTGATCAACGATGTTCTCATATTCAAAGTCATGATGCTTCTGGATGAGAAGAAGGTACATACATAGTTTAATATAAGTAGGGATTATAAACATACCATATTTGTATATTTTTTCATATCAGGTGGAGGAAACCCTGAATGAAACAGATTTTCAGCTATTTCTAGATTTGTACTTTACTGATGGAGACTACACGTATGTATATACTTAAAATTGTATTGATCCTTTTATTGTTTTGATTGTTCTTATTTTATCTTTATTCTAGACCCGATGATCCAAATTCTTTGCAAAGTATTAGTGGGCGCTCCCTTCGTTTGCACTTTAGCCTTCAGAAAGGCATCCATCAACACATCAATGTCATGTTTGACTATTTTCACCTCTCTGTCATCTCTGTTGCCATCCACGCCTCTCTTGTGGCCCTACACCAACCTCTTGTCAGGTCAGCCCCTTGTATGTAAAGCCTACATTTCTCCAAGGAAAATATAATTCACTGTCTTCTTTGTTGATCTAGTTTTCCTCGACCTGTGAAACCCACGTGGTTAAATCGTAATGCTCCCGCTCAAAGCAAAGATTCTCTGATTCCACCTCTGGAAAGTGTGGTGTTTGGAAGTGGTTATGTAAAGCAGGTGTCACCAGATGTAAGTTAAGCCATCTTCAAATGTCCTTTAAAAGTATTAGTTATAGACATAACTTCAGTATAGTCTTTTTGATTGAACACAGATTACCAGTCGTTTGCATGACTCAGAATACCAAAGTAAACAATAGCAGTGAAAATATGCATATAAAAGGGTGTGACGCTTTCTTAAGAACTTTGTAGAGAACACTGCCATAACATTCACAGGAATATGGTTGAACTTTTCATTTATTAATCTGTCCGTCTTGTCCAGGGTCGAACTTTTGTGATCTCTGAGCACTGTCTTCAGCATGCCCACAGTCTGCATCAAAACCTCTGCTCCAACCTCTTAGCTGCTTACCAAGGTCTTTTTGGATACTTCACCGATATCACAAAGGATCTGCCTTCCTCCCATCGCATAGAATTAGGTAACGTCATCTTCTTTTTTGCTTCCGTCACATTTTGCTTGAGTCTCTAATTGTAAATTATTCCCCCATGCCTCTCCATTGGTTTGCATCAAATGAAATGGAATTAAAGATGCAGTAAGCGATTTTGTTAGCTTAGCCGTAGCACCAACTCAAAACCACTCCCCCCTCCCCTCTCCACCAAACCAAACATCCAGATTCCAGCATTATCTTTTCTCTGTCACAACAGGGAGACGTGAAATTGGCATTTTCTGTTCAGCCATTTAAGGTTTTAGAAAATAATCCGATAACTCAGGTGTGCGCACTTGTGAGAAACCGGTTGAAGGGAGTAAACGCATCCCATTGGTTCGTTGGGGATGAACAAATCCCATTGGTTTATTGTTATCGGTCCGCTCAAAAATATTTTTTATGAATTTTTGGAGACTATATGCATCTGGCCAATTCCATTACTATTTGAAAACATATGATTACTTGACTACTTTTAGGGTTTCGGGACGTTTTCCCACAATATTTAAAAAAAAAAATGCGTCTGGAAAAAAACACTGACTGCATCTTTAATTATTGATTATGGCATTGTTTTATATCAGTTTTATTTGATTTGTCTGTTTTTTTTATTGTGTTCATAAAATGTCACTAAATACATTGCCTCCTAATACATTGTATTAACAAATAACTAAAGTTGAAACTAAAAAAACAAATTAAGCCAGAATCAATAGGATAACTTTAACAAAACATTACCAGAATATAATAATGGAAAGCATTTATCACTGATCAGATTGAACAGTACAAAAAGGTTAAACATCCCTATATGTGCAATCTTGCTAGCAAAACCCAGCATGCAAGTCCTTTATGAGCGAGTTCTCAGAAGACCCTATCCCCGAAGTCAAAGACACGTCTACATAGGTATGTGCAGAACCTCAAACTAGAGTCACTCTCTTCCCTCTTTTCTTCAGTTTCAACACTTTGACAACACTATCCAAAGGTTTCCTCCCTGTGGTTTAATCATCTTTTTATATCAGAAATCAGTGGCCATTGATAGTCACGTCTTTGGCCATTTTTTGATTATGGCATTCCTCACGCCATCTTAACCTAATTGCAGGTTCTTCATATTCCTTTCAGTTTCCACAAAATGTAAACTTTTTGTTCTTCCCTCCTTTAGAACAACATGACTTAGAAGCACGTTTAGTTGATTTATGTGAACAGATCAAGGTAAGTTCAATCTTGTGTTTATTTTACACCTGATAATTCATTATTGGGAAATAACTAAATCAAGTTTCTTTACAGACAAAAGCAGAGTCTCCTGATGAGCTGGCAGAGCTGGTAAACATGAACCTGGCCCAACTGTGCTCACTGCTAATGGCTCTGTGGGGTCAGTTTTTAGAGGTGGTTTCTCTTCAAGAGCATGTTGCTGCTATATTGGCTATGGAACATCATGCATTAAGAGTAAGTTTTATAGGCTGTTGAACTTTACTAGTGTTTATAAGACTCACTAAATACAAACAGATTTGTGTTTGTAGGTTAGGCGATTTGCTGAGGCTTTCTTTTGTTTGGAGCACCCCAGGCAATCTGCTCTGGCATATCAGGAGCTTCAGTAAGTATTGAGTTGGCATTTGCTGTTCTAGACGCATAGTTTTGCCGCATCAAGTTAGCACTTGTTACTAACATACTTTCTATTTCATAATGTCTCACTTAGTGCGCACAGTCACCAGCAAATGACTAACGCAATCAAAAGTTCCAGCTATTTCCTGTCTCTGCCGCCACTTCCTGTAGAATGTGTGGACCTGGATGGTGACGTCAACTCCCTGCCAATCATTTTTGAGGATAGATATCTTGATTCCGTCATCGAAGGTTAGAAATCACACGCTTACACCGTTATCTTTGCAATATTTCATCCTTGAAAGGATTGTCTTGTGATTTCTACATCTCTATACATATCAAGATCGAGATGGACCATGGCTCGGGGTGAACAATACACGCAGTGGTTTGATGTCTGGAAAAAGTGAAAAGTCTAACTGTAAGGAGTCCAGCGCTTCAGCGAGCCCCATACCTGAATCCCGGTGCAGCTCAGAAGACAACACCTGGCCAGACTATGATCCGCCTCCTAAATCCAAAGGAAAGTCTGTCAAAACAAAGAAATGTTCCAAGACTGAGAGCTCTAAAAAACTAATTCGAGAGGGCTCAAAGGACTCTGTTGTTCTTGTTGGTTATAAGAACCTTAAAGCTCCATTTAGTGAAACCAAACAAAAGGAGAGAGACTGTCCTCCTAACCCAGAGAATTGTGCAGAACAATCTGATCCAAGTAGCAGTGTAAAGGTTGAACCTTGTGTGGAAAGGGCTGTTCAACCTCTCTCTGAAGACAGTGGTAAACCATCTGCTTGTGAGGGAGAGTTAAAAATGACTACAAACTTTGATGCACAGAACAAATCCCAGGCAGGTACTGGGGCTTTATCCTGTAACCAAGCGTCAACCAAATGCCAAGGGGACACGTCGGACCCAAACTTGTTACAGTGGTCTGGAATCAAGCAAATTGAGGTGAAACCAAGTAACAAGGACCCATACCAGGGAGAGAAAGTCACTGTTATACTACCTGGTAGAACTGAAAGGGCTTGTAGCAGTAATATTTCTGATATTAGTGACACAACTCTTTGTGACTCTCTTTTGGACTCTGTCTTTGTCAATGAGCCACCATGTAACAGTCAGTTTTTTCAGCCTTCAATGCAAGTGAAAGGTGAATGTAATAGAATGCCTGATGTTCGAGCCCCTAGTGCCTCCTCCCGCTTGTCTGATTCTGGGATTGAAAGTGAGCCTAGTTCTTTTGCTCAGTTCACTCCAGGACTTCAGACTTTAGCAGGACAAAGCGCCTCAGAGCCAGGAACAGTTTTCCACCAAACAGAGAAAGCAATTTTGAGTCCTCCATTGCGCTTTGTTCAGCAAATGCTAAACCCAGAGAACGCAAGTGTGGTTAGTGGAGTCCAGTCGTCTCTCACCTCCATCACATCTTTACCCTCCGATGAAGATGGCGATGGCCCTTTAAGAGATTTGAGTGGACCAGAGAGGAAGTCCAGTGTGCTGGTGCAGGAACAAAGTTTGATTTTCTCTGGAGCCAATGCTTACCAGACTTGCACTGTGATAAATGACACCTTGCTCTCCAAACCTACATGTGACCTTGAAACAGATCCTAAATTACTAGTTTTTTCAGAACATGAGGGTACTGCTCAGCCTGAAGGTAAAGAATCCCACAGTGAAGCCCACACTACCTGCCCCTCCAGTAACTCTGGTACAAGCAGCACAGACATGGTGAAGCGCGGGATGGTAGAAAATTACTTTGGCTCATGTTCAAGTACAGATGTGTCCGAGATCAGTCCCATAGAAACATCGGCTGTGACTCTGGGAATCCAGGCTAGACCTCAGGTTGAAGACGACGAGGATGAGCCAGAGAGTGAGATGATTGAAAATGGCTATTATGAAAAAGAGGATGGCTATGCTTTTCTCAATGGTGTCACTGACGAGGAGCAAAATGAAACCGCCAGTACTTCTGCTTTGGAGACAAGTCATTTATTTGAACATCACAGTCCTCACAGCATGAGTGAGTTCTCGACACTTCCAAAATTAGCTTCTCATGCTTCTGGACGCAGTTCAGAAAGACCCTCTTGTGCATCCTCCATTTTTTCTAGCCTGAAGTGGTACGAATGCACCTCCACACCACAGATGAAAGCGTAAGGTTTTTTTGTCTCATTCAATATTGTATATTACTTTCTATGAGGATGATTCAATGTAGCACATTTGATTTTATTTATTATGAAGGTTCATCAAAGCTAAAGAGGAAATGAAGCAGCTAAGACTCCCTGGCTTCTTATACAGTGAAGTCCCTGAGCTGGCGTCCACCGTGCCCTATTTCAGTTTAGAGGAGGATGAAAGTTGCACAGAGGGCATCCACCTCATAGTCTGCGTCCATGGGCTGGATGGTGAGAGGAGACACATGCGTTGATGTTTTTTTAAAAATGCATTGAGTGACATTTTCTTTTTGGACAGGCAACAGTGCAGATCTTAGACTAGTCAAAACGTACCTAGAGCTTGGACTCCCTGGTGCACGTATAGACTTTCTCATGTCTGAGAGAAATCAGGTGATTTGTTTGTGTTAATATTTATTTATGTATTTAATTTTAACTTTGTATTGAATATTGCATTTATTCCTTTTTCAACAGAATGACACATTTGCTGACTTTGAATCCATGACAGATAGGCTACTAGATGAAATAATTCAGTACATCCAAATTTACAATCTCACAGTATCTAAGATAAGGTAAGTGACTAAACTATGAAAAAAGGACATCCTCTATATTTTTTTCTGCATTCTATTTTGTTGTTGTGTTGCATTTTTAGCTTTGTAGGTCATTCTTTGGGAAACCTCATTGTACGCTCAGTGTTGACTCGTCCGAGGTTTAAATGTTACTTGAGCCGGCTGCACACTTTTCTTTCACTTTCTGGACCTCACCTCGGCACTTTGTACAACAGCTCGGCTCTTGTAAACACAGGTATCATTTGTAACAATGTATAGAGACTGTAGCAATGATTATATTTTTAATTTGAAGGATTAATTTTCCAGGCCTTTGGTTTATGCAAAAGTGGAAGAAGTCCGGATCACTTCTGCAGCTCACGTGTCGGGATCACTCTGATCCTCGTCAAACATTCCTCTATAAGCTCAGCAAAAAATCAGGTTAATTTTCTTTTTTCATTTGCTCTATACATTATTATATATACTTACATTACACAATACAATGTATTCTTGTATAGCCCTAAATCACAACAGCAGTCATCTCAGAGGACTTAACAAAGCCATTGAAATCACCAACACAGATCAGAGAATCAACAGTTAAGACACAAAACATATAGAATACATATGTATTGGTCCATAGGGAGAGAACAACATACCCATGAATGTTGTAGAATGTTAAAGTGTCCTGGATCATCACCACAGTCCTTCTTGTTAGACACCAACTATCCAACAGACCCTCCTGCATCGGCAAGGAAAAACTCTAAAACCCCTTTTACATTGCTATGTACCATCTTCTAGGTCTACAGTATTTCAAGAATGTGGTGCTTGTGGGCTCCCTGCAGGATCGTTACGTGCCATACCATTCGGCTCGTATAGAGATGTGCAAAACTGCTTTGAAGGATAAACAGACAGGTAACACAAACATTGAATCTTAACAAACAGATCCTGATTCTTTTTTTGCAAGTCGATGTTTATAGCACTTTCAGACATATTATTGAAATTACCAATTGACAAGGATGGTTAATTAAAAGACTGATTTAAATAAAGAGATCTGAATCACTTTGTGGTAAAAAATTGTCAAATTATTATGTAGCCACTGCTGCCCTAGGGCACACACACACACACACGCCCCAGATTCATACTAGGAATATACTGTACGAATGTAACTAACGCCTGTGTATTTGGCTTTATTCCAGGCCCTGTGTATGCTGAGATGATAGAGAATTTGCTGCTGCCTGTACTTCAGAACAAAGACTGTAATCTTGTGCGATACGATGTCATTCACGCTCTGCCCAACACGGCCAACTCTCTGATCGGTCGGGCTGCTCACATTGCAGTTCTGGATTCTGAGATCTTCCTGGAGAAGTTCTTCCTGGTTGCTGGCCTTAAGTTCTTTCAGTAACTGGACAGAAAGCCAATACCTCACTCCAAATTAACCTCTTTGATTAAGGTCTGGATTATTCATATGGTTTTAATGCTAATACTTTGCTAAGTTATGATGGGAGTGACATTATTTTTGTGGTATAATGAAATCCACCACGCACATAGCGCATTGTTATTGTGTTTTTAATTACCTTTTAAGTTATTTTAAGTTATGTATGCTTGTATTAACATTGTTCCCCATGTTTTATTTTGTATTTTTTAATGTTTTAATAATTAACAAATTATTTTACATTATGAACTGGAAATAGCTGCTAATAAGTAAATAACGTTTTTTTTTAGGTTTCCCAAGTCAATCTGCACATAATTCTTGCTGTTGCATAACGTCACAAATACATTTTTACTCTTTAGTACATTAATTTGCGCCATTCTATGAATATGTGGACAATGAATTGCGCAGACAAGTTTTAATTTGTACAAATCCCTTTTGTAATAACAGGTTTTTAATACTATGTATCATGGTAAATTGCAATGATTGTTGCTTGGACTTAGGTGGTAAGTGGTAACACTTGATAAAGTTGTTTTTTCCATTGCAACATTACGCACAAAACTTGCCCAACCTGGTGTTGAAAGGGAGAAAGCTTTGCCAACTACACGACTTACAGGGGCTCAACTGCATTTCTTAATTGCAAAAAAAGCACATTATTAATAATTTTAAGTTGAAATTGTTTTCTACAGTATCTGCTTGGTAACTATTGGTGATTATATTTAAATGGAAAATATTGTCTGGGAAAATTATCTTTGGCGAATGTTTATACGTCATTTTACTCTTGTCATTAAAATGTATTAACGATAATGTACATCTGGCATTTCGGTCTGTAAATATGCAGTTCACACTACACCTGACCACTAGATGTCCTAGTCCCTCACATATTGTAATAGCCTTGTATGCAAATATCTTTACATAAATCTATGTTATCTATAATACGTTTGCATTTCTGTTCATCTCTCTGATTTTTCTAAATAGAATTTTTTTACATTAGGAGGCGCAGTTTGGAGTGAACCAATAGACATACAATATATTAGGACATTTACATCATTGCCTTCGTATTTCTTTTTACAAGATACATTACTATATTCATATTAAACATTTCCGTTCAAATAAAACTACTTAAGTGACCTATACTTGTATTTTAACATCGGAATAATAACAGAAGCCCTATATAAAAGTATGTGTGAAGTTGTGACCCCCGCGTCTGCTGCAAGTGGTTCGGTCCAATCTCTCGTTTGTAACAAGTGTTGAAGAAGTTGCAACACGCGATGATGGGGTGGAGGGGATAGACGGTTGTCCTCATTAACGCTGTCAACAATTCATTCAGAAGAAACACGCGTTTTCATCTCCATAATGTACGGGAGAACTTGTGAGAGACTTTCTGATTATGTGAGGGTATGTACAAGTCTTCTTTTCGTTTGTTTGGCTAATGCACTGTGGTAATATAGATTTAGATGATGCACTTGATGCATATTTATCAGTATTTAAAGGATTCCTGTTCTCTGCTGTTCCGTGGTCACCTCTCGTAATAACGGGTCTGTGGTAAAGCGCTTTACTACAATAACTCGTTTTTTCAATGTGAAGTTCCACGCTACTTACAACTTTAAATAGCATAAGCACAAAACAGACTTATGGAAGCTAAAAGAAGCGCCTAATCTTTTACACTGTCCGAGCCAAACATGTTGCTTTTAAAACGAACATGTTTCTCAATGGATTTGTTTTTGTACGTGCTAATTATGTTATGGAGTCATTGAATGTAATTAAAATATCCTCCATGGGGTTTGATTCACGCAGAAAGAATGCTTTACCCCCCTAGTCATTGGAGCTCGCCCACCACCACCTCATTGTTTTCAAGTGGGATGAGTTGGCTGTGCTGTTTACTGGGATCACCCCCACCCAAGTTTTAGCGGGCACTTAGAGCTTGTAGTAGTAGTCCAAAGCTATGGTGTTATTTTTCTTACAAGCAACCCTGTGCTCAGAATTAGGGATTATAACTGTGCTGAGCAGGATTTAAAGCAGATGGCTGCTCTCATGTGATGCAAGGGTCATGTTCATTACATACCATAATAATGAGAGACACTTATATCGAATCACATAAGAAGTAAGCTTTTTGAAGACTGATCTCTTGTGTATATAGTACATTTATGGAATAAAAAATATTGCATAATGTATTTTTGTACACATTCTGTGTTGTCAATTTTTTTTAGAGTAGGGGTTGTCAAAGATCTATACCAACTGGTATTAAAACTATATTACTATATCAAGTTACAAAATTTGTCTACCCCTTTATTGTTCCATTTCTGGGTTGGGGGGGTGGCAATCAGAGCTGCCACCTAAGTCTCAATGCACCAGTCCTTCCTGATTGTCCTGCAGGTGGTGGGTCCACAGGAAGATGGCTTCTCCATCATCGACGACATGGCCTTGGTCTTTCAGCAGGGGCCTCAGGCAATGTGGGGTTAAGTGTCTTGCCCAGGAACACAACAACGTCAGACTTCAGTGGAAGCAGATGACATGGGTCGTTGTGGGCTCGAATAAATGCAGTGGTAGCCAAATTGGCATTGTTTTGCATTGTGACAACACAATGTCAGACTATGGGGAGATATTTCAATGTTTTAAGATGGTTGTGTACATATCCTGTTTAGAATAATTCTGCAGTAAAAACAATTATCTTTTATATAGTCAGGTGGCTTGTAGTGCCTCGAATGTAACGCTGTTCTAGTAGTATGCTTCATTGTTATGGTTATTTTGCAACAAAAACCGCTTTTGTTTTGATATAAATGTCCATCCCGTCAGTGTTAGAAGTATAGTATGTGCTTTTCAGTCTAAGAGTTTTCTTGTAATAAGACATACAAGAGAAGTAAGTAATAAGTAAGTTTGACTCCATGAAGAAGTCCGTTGCGTTCTAGAATTTCAGGTTGTGTTTGTGTCTGCTCTGACGTGTGGGCGCTGTCTGGGCACGTTTGCACATCATATTCTGTAAGAAAAGCTGCTTGTCTTTCCGAGCCAAGACGAGCTATCCCAGTGGTTCCCATAGATCTTGAGATATGATGTTACACACTTTAATTTGTGTTTTGAACTTTTTTTTTTTTACAAACCCGACTTACTGGAAGTTAAGTCCCCAAGGGCTTAAACTCAATATTAAAAGACTCATGGAGCACATACAAATAGTTCAGTAACAGGTCACATTTTTGGTAAATGCAAATTGAATTCTATCCTTTTCTATGTGATTGCAGCTGTTTTTCATGATCCATTCTAGGTATTATTGTTTTTATTATTTCCATTATAGTATTGAGTTGGATTTAGAGGGATAAGAGGCGGCACACGGGAGTAATTACAGTGATTAATTGATTCTAAAACCTTAATCAGATGAGTCTCGTACCAGTTGGGGAAAATCCCACCGGGTCAACAACTGATTACTGGTAGTTGCTTGGTTTTTACTTATTTTTCCTGGCATAACGCCGAAACGTCGCAATTTAAATAAATATTTTTTAATTTGCAAGTAAGACAGTGTGCGGGATTATTCTCTCTCTGACTTATTTTTCCTGTAACATTATCATTCCAGATTTAACATGGATCTGGACCTACCCTGAAGTAGGACGTGTTAGATTGATGAGACTGTTTTTATGAGAACATACTCCTCCAGCGTATGCAATCATGTCAGTCAAGTTCGACAGGACAATTTGTGTTCTTCTTCCCAACAAAGACCAGCTGGACATCAAAGTTGGGGTGAGCAATGTGATAACTTGAAATCTGTTGGCTATAAAAATGTATATTACAACTTTTTTTTAATGCTAATTTCAGCCAAGGTCCACAGGGCAGGATGTCTTCAATCATGTAGCGGAGCGTCTTGGAATCAAAGAGCTGCACTTCTTTGGTCTCACTGTTGTCAAAGGTGAGTCGTTGTATTGGTGTGTCGAGAAATGCAGACACGGCAGCGGGGATTGCACCTGTACATGGTTTATTTTTGAGTCCCTCCAGATTTGTAAATCATTTGTGCCAATGTGCATAAGAACAGAGATGTCCTCACTTGAGATATAAATGGCTCATGCTTGAGATACAGTATAGATACTGTAGTAACAAAGATGTACAGTGCTTCAGATAATAATGTTTAGCAGTAATATAGATATAACTCAGTACAAAATATTCTGGTCAATTACACAGATGCTACTGTATATGTGGACTATAAATATATATATTATTTTAATATTAATTTAAACCTCAAATCTTAATCGCAACCTTTCTCTTTCCCCAATAGTGGGCAACAATGTTTTGCCTCCAAACAAAGTCAATTTGCTATTCCTGTCTGAGTAATTCAACGATGTAATCCTTTTCAGCCTGTTCCGTACATTACGTTTCCTCTGCGCTCTTTGTTGAAAAAAAAATGTTGAAACGCTTTGCTAATCTTGTGGGGCTCATCCCTAAAACAAGCAGTCTTTTGTTTTTGTGGTGTTGGTTCAGCGATCACTTAGGCCTGGATTCCTGCACTATTAAGTTCATTAAGCTAGGAATGCACCAAAGCATTCCTTCTCTCACTGAGGGGAGGGACAGGGCGATAATGGCAAAGGGAGCGTAGAGGGGAGAGCATGTAAGAGTGGTGCGGGATCGGTCATGACACAAAAGAACATCTTTGTCAAAGGAGATGAGGTTATGGAGGGATGATTCAACGAAGGCAAATGGAAACACGATAGGGATGAAATTATGAAATAGCTTCTCAAGTCTGACAGTAAAGTTGAGCAAAACTGATAAAATGGATGACATGGATTCCAGAGTCATGAATCATGGATCCTGGAAAATGCAAGATCCTTTCCAGACCACCTTTTGAAAGAAGCTCTGCATCACCTGTAATATTGCACAAAACGCAATAATTAATGGAAAGGCAAATGTATTTGTATAGATAAATAATCATTTTATATGAAAGAGTGAAGTTACAACATTTCAGTTGTATGCACCGCTAAATAAAAAAAGATGTTCAAATCCTGGTTAAAAACAGGGTAAAAGCCTGTCTTACATTTTCCAGCGAAATTACAATAAATTTATCATGAATTCTTTATTGTTGTTGTTGCATGTTCTTCAGCAGTGGGGGTTGCGAGCTGATTGTGTCTATCCTATTATCAATGCACACAGAGGTAGACGCCATCTAGTGGTGGGATAGGTGAATTAAGGCTGTATTGAGTCATTCGATTTAATTAGAACTAATCGATTTGTGGAAATGTTGACTATAATCTATTCCTTTTTTTGTCAATTAATTGAGTTGTTTTTTTTAAAAAAGTGTACATATTCCATTGACTATTTTTCTTGAACCTGCTGTGAAGAGGTTTTTGGGACACATAAATTTCAAACTTTTTTCTTTTTTTTTTCAACCAAACAAATGGATGATTAAAATTTGCTCGGATAGCCAAATGACAAATAAGGACTGTAGGACATTATTGCTGTCTGTTCTCTTTAGTAAAGTTTAGATGACACTTTTCTGTTTTTATTTTTGTAGACAATGAACATCTTTACATTGATATGGAAGACAGATTGACCAAGTATTTCCCCAAAGAGTGGAAACAAGAAAATGGAAAGGTAATGGAATCCACTGGCATGGATCCGCTGACATATCAGATAACTAAAATGTGTATTATTGTTACAGGCTTTGCTGAAGAAACCGTTACCTTTGGTGCTCTGTCTCAAGGTGCAGTACTATGTGGAGAATGGAAGACTTCTTGGGTATGTGTGGACTAGCACTTTGCTTGCCGTCAGTTTTTGTTTTGGTTTGGAATGTTTTCTTTCTGTCAGCCTCTTTATAAAATCCTCCAATCTTATTATGTCCTGTACCAGTGAACGCAAAGCACGCCATCTGTACTACTCAGACCTGCGTGAGCGAGTGCTGCGCTCTGAATGCCGTCAGCAAGAAGAGGTGTATTTTCAGTTGGTGGGTTACGCCTTACAAGCTGACCTCGGGGACCATCCACCTCCAAACCAAGACCTGGAGTCCTACTTTGAACCCAAGAATTACTTTCCTCCATGGGTAGGGTTTGCACTTTTAAGTGTACAAATTGATTTAATATTTCTGTAATTACTTCACTTCTTTCAATTTTCATCTTTTGTAGATCATTGCAAAGCGTGGCATAGATTATCTATTGTGCCATGGTCCTAAGGTTCATCAGGATCTGTGGGGAATGTCCTCCCGGGATGCCACCTTGCTCTTTATCAGAGAGTCCTGTCGATTGGAGGATGTCCCTGTCACGTTTTACAAACTGCAAAAGGTCAAACATTTTTTATTGAAAGTCATAGTTGGATTCTAAATGTATTATATATCCCATATATCATCTTATTCTTCCCAAGACATGAGCAGATGAATTGATGCAATCATCGCTACTGTATGAGCATGTTGCATAATGGTTTATCTGCTATAGTTTATTCTCCTCCCTAGTTCAACTGCTGAGTGATATTTTGAATAGTTGCCCATGCATTGCGTAATGTGCCTTCACTTTTAATTTGTTGTTCGCAGCAGCACTGGTACGGGGTTAACCGTGGAATGGCTTATCTAAACCTTTCAAATGCTTCCCTGACATGTACTCATTCATTGTACAGGACAGAAAGGCTGAGAAAGGAACTGCGCTGCTTGGTCTGACCTTGCGAGGAATGCAAGTCTATCAGGTATGTGCATATGCTGCTGTTGTAAATACTCACTTGTGCTCTGATGTGGGGCCTGCAAACCTGCATTTTCTCAAAGATTAAACCTGTGGAGTCCTATATAACTCTGAACAGTGGTGTGAGGAATGTGTGGGCTACCACCAGTGGCCAAGCCCCAGAGATAGGGTCCGTCTGCAGCCTGTCAGTGTTTGATCTGTTCGTCAGGGGCCATCTGGGGATTAGGGCTCCAGGCCTGACTGATTAAAGAGCCAGCAGACCGTGAGATACCTCAAGAAATCCATGGTCTTTTGCCAAAGCCAGGCTGCACCTGTACAAAACACAATTGATTATTGTTAATACGCGTTAAAAGATTTTGTATCTTCAGTCACGGTTCTTTACTTTTTTTTGTGTTTTTTAGGAAGTGAATAACATACGGCAGTTGGTGTATGATTTCCCCTGGTCACATGTTGGTCGTCTAACTTTTCTGGTATGTGCTAAATCTCGTTGAAGAGCTTTAGCCCTTTGTTGTTTTGTTGAATTGTTTTTTTAATGTTTTTTTTTTTTTTTTTTTTTTCATGTTAAGGGTAAGAAATTTGAGATCCAGCCAGATGGTTTGCCGTCTGCAAGAAAGCTTGTGTATTACACTGGGTCATCATTTCGTTCTCGACATCTTCTCCTGCACCTGAGCAGCTGTCATCGCCTCTACCTCAGCCTCCAACACGCTCTAAAACACCTACGGCAGCTGGAAGAGACTGAAGGTAGGACAAAAACTATTCATTATAATTGAAGAATATTATATAAAGTTGACAGATGTAGTTATTTAGATTATTGAATTGTTTAATAAATGGTTCATTGCTATGCTCTGCTTTCAGCCAAAAAGCGGTACAGGGAGTCCTACATCAGTGACGACTTGGACATGGATCCTCCGGGGAGTGAGAGTAGCCCTGGTCTGTCTCGACACTCCACCAATAGTTCTGGTATTGAAGCAGACACCCGCCAACACAGCATCTCTACAGACCAAGCATCCATGGAGGAGGAGGGACACATCCAGGCAGAGCAGTGTATAAGCTCTGCCGACAGCCGGGGCAGCTTCCGCACCTCTGGAGTGGTGGCGGGCTGTAAGACTCTAACAGAAAATGACGAGTGGCCACGGAAAGGTGAGGGAGACTACCTAACTCTTTTATTGATTCATGAATACATTTTCTTTGCCTCAACATATATAGAGTATTGTATAAATAGCAATTTGTGAACAAAGCAGTCCACACGATGCATAGACAATGTTATTAAAAAAACATTTTGTCTTTTATATACTGAGAGCTGAGTGTTAGTCCGCTTTATTACTGAAAATGCTGATCTAAAGATGTGACAGAGGCCAAAAATGGATGCAGTTATATGCATTGGATTACATGGTACATTTTGGGGATTTCAAAGTTTAGTTTTGAATTCTGGCTCACATGGGAAAGTTTGTTTTAAACTTGGTGTGAAACAAGTAAACGCTGGTCAATGAGTTGCAAATGTCAGTTCACTTCCTTTGAAACAGATGAACTGCCATGAGAACAATTTCTGAAGTGAACAGAGTCTAGTTTACAAATAATTGTGAACGCACTCTATTATAGTGGCCATAGCATGAGAAAGTAAGTAAGTAATGTTTATTTATATAGCGCAAAGCCAGATTCCGTCAGACATCTAATAGTAGACTTCTGGGAACACCAGGTGCCACAGTGGGCGGCTGCAGCTGTAAAGTGTCAAACTGTTGTTGTGTCCTTTGGCAAGACACTTCACCCACATTGCCTAGAATGAGTCTGGTGTGTGAATGGTTGGTGATGGTTGGTGATGGTTGGAGGGGCTGATGACACACATGGGTTGCCTTTCCTCTGTCAGTGTGCCCAAGGGCAGCTGTGGCTACAATAGTAGTTCATCACCACTGGTTATGGAGTGAAAGAATAATGATATGGGAAGTGTTTGAGTGTTCTGAAAAGCGTTATATGAACCAATACATTACTATATTTATTATTATAAGATTAAAAAAAAAGGGTTTCAGTATTTTTGAGGCTGGAATATTTGTGTACAATTTTACTTTTCCAGCTTCTACTAGTTCTCTATGTTGTGGTTTCCGTTCAAACATTGGTAAACAAATTAAGTACTTTGACTTTGTTCAGAAAGAAATCTAACATTGTTTTTCATTTCAAACGGGCTTTCCAATTACTGCAGTTGGATTTGGATTTGTCAACAATGCAAAACATTCAGTAAAGCTTTAAGCCTGTTTGGCTTTGATTTTCCTTTGTGGTTTGCTTACATACACTTGTACGTGTTATATTATGCATTAGCTTTGTGTGTTTACATGGTTGTACTTCTTTTGTATTCTTTTAAAAGATGTCAATAAAGCATCAAAAGAAGAACTTGTAGATGACCCCAGCGACATACTGGCAGATTCCCTTGTTGGTGTGTCTGTCGACTGCACAGATCTTTCATTGTCAAATCACTCAACAGGTAGTTAGAATGGACTGAACCTTTATTTGAATTTTGTTTTATTGATTTGTGTTTTAATACTTGTTTGTGGTGTTTTAGAAAGTGAACAAGAAGAGGAGTTTGTACAAGATAAAGATGCAGGCAAACAGGTTTGTCTCCCCACCTTAGTTGCTTTAACTTGTATTAAAAAATATACGTATGAACAGTGCTTTCTGCTCATTTTCTTCACAGTTGCCTAAATCCAGAGTCCAGTTGAATGTGGACCGACAAAGCCAAAGCCTTGATGATGTCCGTCTGCTGCCACCTCTGGCGCCTTTAGGAACAGCGCTGTCCCCTGACTCCTCCCACAGTTACACCTTTGGGTTTCCTGATGCCCCTTTAAATGTAAAGACTCCCATTGAACACAATTTTGACCCACTCAAACTGTGCAAAGACAAACCTACCTTCTACGGTCGTCGATCTACAAACTGCCTTTCCTTGGACTTGTTGGGAGATGAGCAGCTACTGGAGTTCATCTTCTGAATGTCACAGGAATGCACTAATCCCAGAGCAAATTTTGGAGTGCTCAAAGTAAAAAGACATTACTTGTAAATCTAGTCAAAGGAGCACATGGTAACTTCTGTGGCAGGACTTCCACTTGTACCCATGTAGATGCCTTGACAGATGGCACATCCATTCTTTTGTTGAGTGTGGTTGCCTCGCTACAGATCTGACCTATAACTTTACCTGTTGTTACCGGCTGCTGTACATGGATGACTCCAAGGCATGACAATTTAGTCATGGTTTGATCATTGCGTACAACACAGTAACCATATGAAACAAGCATGTGGCTGAGTCATCATAAGAAAAGTTACAATGTGACATTTTATTTTTAACTTGCAACAGGAACCCCTCATTTCATTTTTTTTGTATTTTTTTCTAGTGACCAGTGAGTAACTAGACTTTTATTTATTAATGTACTATGTATTCATATTTGCACTGTTTTATCATATTTTACATCTGCAAAACAATCATTTTAAGTCTGTTAATCTCGTTGGGAATTTAGTTGATTATGAGGTCAACAGCCGGTCTGATCTCATTGACTGTTGAGGCACTTACTGTGTATGTTGTGTTTTGCACTGGTCTCATTTTTAAATGCATTGTTGTGTGTACAATTATGTTTTCCTATAAGTCCTCTACAGCAATGTGTCTACTGATGTGGAAAATTGAACCTCTTTAAAGCTGGAAATGTATTCATCCAAAGCCTTGTTTGTAGATTCTGCTCTCTTCGTATCACACCAGTAAGCATTATTTGCAAAGCATTATGTCTGTATTCAGCTTATGTATAATGAGTTTGCAGTACAGTTATATAACCTCAATACAAAGAGCCTTTCTGGTGCATTAACAATATTTTGACTGTTTTGTGATTCATTGTAATGGACATTAAGGATCTTTTTAGCCATATGCGCTTTACTGAAAAGAATGTTACTGGATGCCTTGTATTTTAACAGCTGATAGTAAAAGGATATTTAAAAACTTTTTTTTTAAATACAGAAAATAAATTCTTATTGCTTTAAGGAAACAATGTTGTGTACGTGTCTTGCTGAACTAATATACAACTTCATTTTGGTAAGGAACTTGTAATAAAAACACTTATGAATTCATTTGTATTGTGTGGGGCAGTGTCTCCCAAAGTGGGGTCCGCGGCCCCCTGGTGGGCCGCGAGGGTACTGCAGGGGGGCCGCGGGAGGTCATAAAAAAAATAAAAAAATAATATAATTATTTAATGTTAAATTTATAATGTTTTGTTTGTAATATTAAAATATTTGTGTTCATTATTTGACTTGAATAATCCACTGTAATCATATTTTTGTATTACAATGTTTGTAGCAGAGGCTATTTCCCCAAAATAAAATAACCAGAAGAGCCTATTCTTAATGTTGTCTTCTTGGTTATTATTTTGGGGGGCCACGCAGACCCGTCAGATTTTTAAGGGGGCCTCGGTGTTACTGAGTTTGGGAATGGCTGGTGTGGGGTATTAACAAATTACATTCATTTTGTTAATGGATATTAATATTTTAGATATGTTTGTTTCATATTTGTAGTTTATAATAATAACATTGAACATGGTTAGCACATACCAGTATGGAGGACCAAAACTGTCAAAATTATAAATAAATGAATAAATAAATAAATGTCACATTCTGCCAATAATTATTAAGATAACACAACAAATCATGCGATTTAATAAATACATATTATTATTATAAGTTTTTTTGGTTTCAAACAAAATAATAAAGCTTTATTATGTTCCTGTTCGTTCAAAGGTCAAGATTAAAATAAATATATTTTTATTATTTAACTGCTGTTTTGTGCCCAAAGAGATAATAAAATCTCATTTTTTTCTTTACCAATTAATTTATTTTCTTTATATTTTTATTTTTATTGACGTTCTGTTTTATTATTTTACGACACATTATTCCTTTCTCGTGTCTTGAAAATTAAATGCAAATTAAGGGGGCGGAGCTACAGAAAGTTAGACCAAAGCAGTCTATCATCAGAGATCGGCTGCATACATACGTTTCCTTGATATCTCTCCATTCCCCACAGTGTGAGGTCTGACCCACAGAGAGGTCTGACCTACAGAGAGGAGGTCTGATCCACACTTTTTGATGGATTAATCCATAAATGTCAATGAGTACCTGCCATTTATGTGCAAAAACCACAATGTGAAAATTATCAGACTGTAACTAAAGACAAATCTTCCAAAAAATGTTTACGGACCACCATCTTGTCTGTGTGCCATAACTGCGAGCCTGCTATTGTGACATTTCAATGAATGATGTGATAATATAAATTTGTATTCATTTTTTTAGGTTCATACAGGATTCAGTTATTTGACATAAATACATAGATATATATTTCTTCTTCATCCCTATAAAGACCTGAAATAGAGTGGGAAGAGTCTATCTTATCTTAAGAAGTAAGACTTATGAACTTCTAAGTACACATACATTCACTTAAGCTGCCTGGTCAGTAAAACAATTATTTCAACAACGACAATTATAAATTATATCATTATCATTAGTCTATCCTCATTCTCGTCACCATCACCATGGCAAAGGAAAGTGAACATTGGTAAGGTAAAGGTGCACATTAATCCCAGTAGGGCACTTCATCCTCTGCATTTTTTGACCCATCCTGTTGCCGCTAAGGCTTACGTCAGGAGCAGTGGTCGCCGTAGTAACAGCGCCCGGGAATCCATCTTGAGATGTTGATGCTCGGCTTGGTCAGGACCACCGGAGCTGGAGGATTTTACCTAGTGGTAAAATCTGCCGGTAGTAGATGATGTCAGGTACTGGCCAAAACTGACTAAGGCAGGTAATGACAGGACACTGTATGACAGTTAAATGTCGGGCTTAAATAAGATAAATATGCGTCAATTGAGCAGTATGAGTTGAGTCGTTGACCGTGTTAGAGCCATGTTTACATGATGCTGCCATTAGAGGTCTAGTTGTGACAATGTAGCCCCAGAGACAGTAGAAAATACGCAGTTACAATTTTATATTAAGTGATTGTGGCAAAAAGTCAGCAGGACTCTCAAAAGTTCCCAGAAAGTGTCAGCACATACACTTGTGTAAAACAAAGTCTTTCTTATCTAAATGCTCCTTCATCTTAACATTACTGCTGAAACTAGTTGTGATCTGGCCACTGGACTCCAACATCACACGTCAGTAGAGGGATTTTCTCCAAATTATCTTCATCTTCTCCAGGTTCACGTTCAGTAGTTGAGTTCTGGTGTACAGCCTAAACACATCTCTTTTGGGGGGGTCTAGCAGGTGTTACCTAACAGAAAAAATGAGCTGTATATTAGTTAAACAAAACAATGAAGGATATTAAAAATATCATACTTACACAACAATCATAAACCATAAGTAACACAGGACGGAAATTTTCTCATGTGGGTTGCCCATCAGGAAAATGTTTCCCACATACCTGGAATTGATGAAAAATACATTAGTAATGTAGTTTTAACATTTAACAGTTTTATCTTAAGGTTTTTATTATACTTAATAAGGATGATGTGGGATTTGAACCCAGAACTGTCAACTCGTGACCCCCACGTAATTAATTAATTGATTATTGAAAATTCATATAACGTTCATATAACGAATGTGCTATTATTGTATGTGTGTAAATGCTTATCTAAAAGCATTACTGTGCATTACTATTAACAGTTAGCTAACTTGTAATAATCTGGCAAATTCCAGAACGAGTCTCACAAGCTCCACTTTGCAAATTACTTTTTTAGCAAACGTGTAATCCAATGTAAACAAGAACTAACATGAAGTGAACGCACATATACAGAAAGTGCATTACAGGTCCTGTCAAGAGCAATGTCAGAGCTTTTGTATCTGGCTAACAGGCTAACGAGGCTAACAGGCTAACAAGGCTAACAGGCTAACGAGGCTAACAGGCTAACAAGGCTAACAGGCTAACGAAGCTAGAAAATATAGCAGTTACTTTTTACATTCATGTCATTTATAGACAGCAACCAGTGGTTTTCTCAGATGTAATAATCAAAGCTAAACTTACCACTGCTTTCTTGTTTGGCTTAAAGCCATCTAGGTTTATATTTTTCATCCACTTCAGACACACATCTTGTTCCTGAGCTGGACCAGGAGCTTTCTGCAATCCGTATGGGGGAAGTCAGTATGGTCAGTATGTTGTAAAGGTTTAAGAAGTTCACACACGGTTCTGTTGCAGGCTTGCACAGCCGAACACACAACACGCTCTTCCAGGCATTATAAAAGACAATTCCATGACAGCCACGGGACAAACAGCTTCACGCAGCTAGATGGCACTGCTATAATGGCAGCACTGTTTAGCACGGTTTGGCCTGGTCAGTCTGCAAGAGGCGATTGCTTTCGTCTTGCTGTCTGTGGCCCGCCCCCTTCATTTGCATTTTATTATCAAGACACGAGGAAAGAATGTGTCGTGAAATAATAAAACAGAACATCAATTTTAAAAAAAAGATGAAGAAAATAAATACATGGGGAAAGAAAAAAATGAGATTTTATTATCTCTTTGGGCACAAAACGGCAGTTAAATTATAAAAATATATTTATTTTAATCTTGACCTTTGAACGAACAGAAAAATAATAAAGATGTATTATTTAGTTTGAAACCAAAAAACGTTGTATAATAATATGTATTTATTAAATCGCATGATTTGTTGTGTTATCTTAATAATTATTGGCAGAATGTGACATTTATTTATTTATTCATTTATTTATAATTTTGACAGTTTTGGTCCTCCATATACCAGATTGGGTGAACTAGAAAAGTGGAAAGAGTGGAAAAACCATAAGGCGCTTTCCACCACATCCCGCGATAATGTGCGCGATTACATATGCGGAAGTTTACATTTTGGGAAAACGTGTTGTGACGACTGCTGCTGAAAAAGTCGACCAATGCGACTAACGTGACAGTTGCTTTCCAAAATGAGCTCGTTTTTAATAGAAACTCTTTTGCTGAGCTGTCCGGATCACGAGTCCGTGTTCAAAGCTCTATCGTGGGAGAGTGAGTCGTGGCCGCAGACCGGGCGAGTGGAGGCGCTTACAGCTTTCATTGAGGGACTCCAGTCGCTCTCTGGAAGCTCTCATGTGAAGCCCACACACCACAGCTTTGCAGTTAATGTAGAACGCATCATTTGGTCTCAGTGTGTGCCTTTACTCTCCAAATTGTCCAGTGAAGTCGGCGAGGATGTCCAAAGCAAGGGCAGTGTGACAGTGGTGTGTAAACTTCTAAAAGCATGCGTCCCTCTGTGTGATGCCGCTTCTACGGCTAAAGTGACCGAGTACGTGCTGCCTTTTCTGTCAGATGAAGACGTCACACCTGGACGGCTCAGTGTTGAGGTGGCGTGTGAAGTCCTCATAGTTTTACTACCTACAATTCATCCTATTGCAGAACTTGTTCTCAAAATCCTACTTCAAGCCTTGTCCTGTGTCAAAACCCTGCCTGATGCACAGGTTTCCAAAGTGGCCGTGCGTGTGCTGTGCACGCTCCTTCACTGCGGCAGCGGCGTCTGCACAGACGACAAAATGCACAAGTTAATCCTGGATGATCTGTGTCTTTGGCACCGCAATGAGCCCACACTTGCGGTAACTGCGCGGGCTGTAATGTGTCTGGCCGCTTTGTCTGACCACATGCTGACCCCAAACACTCTGACCTCGGACCCACCCCTGCCCATTCAGTTCTGGAAGATGATCCAGGATGGATTGATGCACAAAGACAGCTTGGCACGCAAGAGGGCGCTGTACCTGTTGAAAAGATGTGTCGCACTGTCCCAAGACAGAAGTTTTGGATTTCAGTCTGCAAAAGAAGGTGGAATAACGTTTCCTATCATGGAAGTAAATATACTATACTGTGTTATGGCCATTAATCCAAGACAAGCACCTCAAATTGGTATTAGGATCTTGTAGTTTATTAATTCCCTACTTTTTGTTTTGGTTACCCCAATAATTTCATCTAGCGCTCCAAGGACCCTTTAATTTTTTAAACATTGAAATTGGTTTATCTATAATGTATCTCATTTATCTTGGAATACACTCTAAATACATGTGAATGACCTTATGTATGCCAAATTATACTTAAAATATCTGTGTTTGCTGCAGGAGAGGCCTTGTTTATGTGGGACTGTAAAAATAAAGTATGGAAAGAGTTCTGGGAGGATTATGTGCTGGTGATGGAGACTCTGGAAGAAAACCAGGTAAGATTTTATGTCATTATAGTATGTAAAATACAGGTATAAACGTGATCAGAATTTAGCACCTGCTACTTAATCAAATAAGATGAAGATAAAATACATCTCTCTGTCTAGATTCACATAATTTGTCCAGTTTTAAACCGAATAGACACATTGATACAAATCGTCAACAATTCTGAAGGTAAACAAACAATTTCAGATCTCTTGAATGCATTCCACATTATTCTAAAAAACGTATCTCTTCAGGAAGTGGCGTCTTGCACCCATCATGGTTACTCTGCGTTTACCAGCGCATTTTCCACAGTGAAAACAAGGCTCTCATGAAGGAGGGAGTCTGTCATTTGCTCCAACTGCAGGTTCTTCAGGAGCCAAAGTTCACCGTGGCCTTTTCACAGGTGCACTATATACACTATGTAACTGCTGCGGTAATTGAGACGATATTGCAGGAGACTTCCACAAAATTGTGTTCGACATACTCATCCTATTTATTCAGTTACAGGTGTTTATATTTACCCATTCTCAGCTTTCTCCCTCCACACTAGAAATGTTTAAATCCTTGCTGTGGATCACAATAGCATCACCGAATACACACATGCAAAGAAGGCTCAACTTAATAGTACTGCTTTGAATCACTAAACCTGGAACTATTGTCTTCTCGTCAGTTCATCATAGGACCTTTTTTGGATGTTTTATCAGAAACCTCACTCTTTCAAAGGTGGGTCACAACTACTACAGATACAATGGAAAATACACACTTAATGAATGATCACATGATTGTGTCTGTGTTTTCTATTTTGTGGTCAAGAGCTGCTGGACAGAATGTAGGCGAATGTCCAGAGCTCGGGAGCAAACTTAAAGTATTCATGGCCAACTTTTTTACAAACTTGCCCCCAGAACAAAAGGGTAAGGGATCCCATATATGATACATTTCCAAGTAAATTGTAACATTTTTTCCCATATATTTAGCCTCTCAGTTGCTGAAGCTGATTCAGCATCTCTCCTCAAAGCAGTGGTGTTCTGTACCGGTCCTCTTCATTTCCCTGGCCTTGTCGAGTCTCTCTCAAAGCCCGCTGCTGGACGTTAATGGGCTTGTTGCTCTGAGGTACTTCCAGTTTTAACTTGTTAGGCACTGATGTTTTTTCTAAAACCATTTGAACTTTCAGAGAGGTTTTGCGATCCACGATGATCACTCATCAGGTTTTGCTTAGAGGAGCTGCGCAGTGTTTCTTGCTGAACAGCGCCCTCTGCCTTACAGATGTGGTAAGTGTTTATATTGGGTCCATCTAAAACATGTAAAATGCTCTCTCATTTTCACATCTCTGTAGAGCGCTGTGTCACTTGATGATATGTTTGGCTTCCTGATGTATTTCCGCTCTGATGAGTCTCTCTGTCGTGGGACAAAGCTTTGGCAGCAGGTAACATGCGTACACCAGCTTTTATCTTGAGTGATTTTCAAATACAGTAGAGTATCCATATTGGTCTTGTGTTTAATTTTGTCAGGTGTTTATTTGGCTGATGAAAAATGAACACAATTTCAAAAAGGATGAAGGAAATCAGAGTATTAAGCTTTACGTTCAAAATGAGATTTACAACTACTTCAAAGTCCCTGCCAGCACAGGTGAACCCTGCTCAGAAAGAGTACAACATTCCTAAAAGGTGATTGTCATTTCTGCTGTAACAAACTGGGTACATTTTAGGTCAAAGGGAGAGGTTACCTGATGTCAGTGAAGCGGTGAAACTGGCCAGGGCAATATTGCTGTGTGCAGACATCGAAATGTGCCAACCGTCTGGAGATGTGAACAGCACTTTGGAGTCTTTACTGTCGCCGCTGTGGGACACTCTGAGCCGCATTAGCACCAGTATCTACCTGCCTTTAAGGAAGAGTGACAAGAGCCTACAGCTCCTGCTCCAGTTACTGCTGCAGGGACCAATAACTCAAGACACTAACGGTTAGATACATTTGTTATGTTTCATTAATACTCAAATGAAAAGCCAGCATAAACTTGGATGGAATAAGTAGGCCTATTTCATTGTTGTTTGCTTTCGTTGCAATCAAGGTTCTAAATACATTGTATTTTTGTGCTTTGATATTTTCAGAGGATAATGTCTTGGTTGTTTTGAAGAACAACATATTTAGCATATTGGATCCAACATTAGAATTCATTGTGAGGCAGCTGTGTGGACAACTGCAGGAGGTAGGGCAACAGAAATGTATAATAATCAATGTACAAAGAGTTATTGACGAGTTCATATTTTTCTTCACAGCTGTTTGACATCGAGCGGGCTGATATGTACACATCTGTCCTGAAGCAGCTGGTTGTCGTTTGCCGATCTGTTCCACAGCATCACAGCAAAATTCAACAGACTTATTTCACTAAGCTCATCAGTTTTAACCTAAAAGTCTTGACAGAACCAAATCAGCAGGTGCATAACATAATCTCAAGACACCAGAAACCAGTTCTGGCACTTTGGTTGTATGATTATTCATGATCTCCTTTCTTTGTGTTTCCAGAAGCCATCAGTGTCAGCGCAGGTGTCTAGAGTTGTTGCGATGGCTTCTCTGGTTCTGATTTGCAGTCTAGTTGAGCAGAACGTGATTGACATTCAATCAGTGTCGGACCTGAACAAGCTGAATGAGTATTTCTACGACCCAATATTATTATCCCCATCTTCTGTCGGGCGCTTCAACGAGACCCTGATGAAGCCAGCCGCACTCGACAGTCTAAAGTAACGTTTCATCATTCTAATTAAAAGAAAAAGAGTTTGGCATAATCTTTCTTAATCAGCATTTTATTCCTATAGTGGTGCAAAGGGATACAGTCCCATGCGGCAGGACTGGGGACGTGTCGTTGCCCACTATGTTAGAGACCAGTGGGTTTGCCTAAGTATCCTCTCCAAGACTTCTGAAAATTCTCGATCCACTGAAATTCTGAGGTCATCCGTGTCCTCCGCCATTGAAGGCCTATCTCTTCTACCTAACAATCTAGTGCTGCCCATTTTTGCTTTTCTGGAGACTGCACTTCCTCAAGTAAGTGCTATGGCTTTTATCCTTTACCGTTTTTATTGTCTTCTTGATTTAACCTTTTGTAATTCTCCCAGTTAGTCCAAGATGAGGAGTCTCTCTGTGCAGATGCCGTTACTGTGTCCTGGGACCTTGTTCAGGGCTTGAGCTCAAATCCCCTTGACTTCTGGCCATCGCTAAAGGCTTTTGTCTCAATGGCTTTTCATTGTAAACTCCTCATGCTGACTGAGGCACAGGCAGAAATCCTCTCAACAACTATGAAGAGGGTACCAAGAAGTCCCACATTGTAGAGTAAATGCAACAAACATCTTTCAATGTTATGTGTGTTTTTTTAATAGATAGCAGCTGATCTGATGGAGCTATCGCAGTCAAAGAGTGGCGTCTTTGGACCATTGATCCAACACTGTTGTCAGTTATGGCTGGATGACTCCATCTTTTCAAGTGTGTTCTACCATATTGGAATTCTCATTGAAGCGTGCGTCCATGGACCAGTGTTTAGAAGAGATCAACGGTAAGTGGAACCTTTTTGGCAATTCAAAAATGTATATTGTGGATTATACTTCTATTTATTACCATATTTGGGTTTTCTTTAAAGGCTAATTCAGGATGTCCAGAGCTATGTTGAGCAACTTGGTGAAGAGTGTGCTGCTAATGTGCTTTGTGGGTAAGAAATACAGCATTTGTGAGTTTGGGCTGGGACCTTAAATTATGCTTTCAAATATCAATTGAAATGTTATACTTTTCCAGGGACAACAGAGATGATCAGATGCCCCGCACATGTGCCCTCTCTTTCCTTAGCCGACTAGACCCTTTAAATCCACAACATCAACAACTGATTCAATGTTTAGTCAAAGATCTCTTGAAAAAGGTAGGCAAGTCTAAATAATTAATGTATAAAATGCCGAGGGATTGTATATTTTATGACACATGATTTATTTTTTTCCCCAGGATAACAGCATATCATCTTCTAAAGTGCGGTACTACAACAACTCAATGCAACACAGAGTTAAAAATAGGATCTGGCAAACTCTACTGGTGCTGCTTCCTAAACTTAGTAAAGTAAAGACGCTTTCCCTGAAATGTGCATACGTGAGTAGGAAGTTCTATGCAAAATATACTCAACTACTTTTGTTCCCTCAGGATTTTGTCTCTTCCATGTTGAGCAGTGTGTATCAGGCTGGATTCTGCAGTAATCAGGCCTCTGTGAAATACCTGATTGAATGGTTGATGATTTTGATCTTAGTTCAACAGCCTGATCACATTAACAGCTTTTGGGAGTGCTTTAATGTGGTGAGTTCTTCATCTGTTACATTTACAATCACACGGCCTACTGTATATGAATTATGTTTGCTTTGTTTTGGGAAAAGGACCATGAGAAAACCAAGGTCAGCATCTGCACTTTCCTTTCAGTTTTGGTTCATTTTAATGTGATCCTTCCAAACATGAGAGACCAGGTAATACTTCACTATACTTATTCAGAGATTGTCCTGATTACTTATGGAATGTTGTATTTATGGTCTATTCTAAAGGGGGCACAGTTGCGTACAGCCTTGAATATCATTCTTCAGTGCTGTTTTAATCATAACTTCAGTGTGCGACTCTACGCTTTGTTGGCTCTTAAAAGAGTTTGGAGTTTAGCAGAGGAAAAATCGCTGAATGAAGAAGAGGGTGTTCACCCTCTGTCCTCTGTGATTACGGCTTGTCTGGACCAGGCCGAAGCCATGCAGAGTACTGGGTAAGCTCAGCTCATTGCGGCATCTGAGCATTTGACTATTATTCATTTATTTATTTATTTTATTTATTTAGAAATGCAAACAAAAACTGGATTAAAATTCAGGAACACTTCTTCTTTGGAGCATTTCATCCTCTCAGAGATTACAGCCTTGAGGTAGGTTCACTGTTTCTAGAATCCTGCAACAATCAACAATAACTAAGTATAACTGTATTTAAATGTTATTAAACAACTTATAATAGGAAATGATGTATGAAATAATTTGCATTGATCAATGACAGTATATACATGTGCATATTGAGGCTACAGTATTGTGTTTTTGGGTGTCTTGTAACTCACCCTTTTCATTATATGCTCCAGACAATCTTGTATACGTTCCCGAGCCTCTCAGACGTAGCTGATGACGAGTGGATTCCTCCCTGGAAGTTTGAGAAGATGCCATGTTTTTCTCACTGTCAGACTTGTCCTTTGATGAATCCTGCCTCTGATCTGAGAGAGCTGCATCATGGAGACTGGATCCAACAAGACAAAAGTAAAGTGCTGTTGTCTTTTCAAAACAACACTATCCATCCATTCATTTTCACGGTCACGGATGCAGCAGTTTGAGCAGACACTCACTTCTTATTCCCAGACCAGCTGAGAGACTGACAAGAGTGTCTTGGAACTTACTGACACACACTAGTAAGTTAACAAATAATAATAACCTGATAATTACTGTGACTGACCTGCAGGTGAGCAGGACAAAGAAGAACGTTGGGCTGAAGTGCAGAAGAAAATTACTCCATGGAAACTTGACATTCAGGAGCAAGATCCAGAGCTGCAGATTATACCCCAGCAGAGAGCCGCTCGGAGGGGGAAAACCAATGGGGCTCTCATAGTGGTGGCTTCACTCATTGACAAACCGACTAATTTAGGAGGTATGTTTAAGTTTATGGGCTTGACTTATTATATTTGACCCTTATGTCTATGTGCGCGAAAGAAAAGATACAATATAAGAATAAGAATAAGATACAATCTTGAATTTGAAACAGTTCCTTAGTGTTGAGGTCAAACCAAGCCAATTATCCACTTCTTATCATAGTTTATGCAGGGAACAGATGGTATACAGCCTTTTAGTTTTCTTTTAAGTGTATTTTACCACCTTTGCATCACATGATAAGAGTTTGAATCAATAATAATGTGTTTATGAAACCAAGCATTTGAAAAGACAATATTTGAATTGTATTATGTAACTGAACACATTAAGCCCTTTTTCTTGGTTAATGTTTCACCGGAAACATTAGCCCTCTTGTCTGTCATTACAGAGGGCACTGCTGATTTAAGGATGTAATGGTTCCCTTAGCAACAGGACAGTCATTATTTCCAATGACTAAAATGGTCCTAATGACATTATTAGAGTGTTTCTCAAAACTGAAGAAATTATGGTTTCATATCTTTTGTCTTAGGTCTTTGCAGAACTTGTGAGATCTTTGGAGCGAGTGCGTTGGTTCTTGACACTCTTCGCCACGTCGATGACAAACAGTTTCAGTCACTGAGTGTCACGTCTGAGAAGTGGCTGCCTTTGTTAGAGGTAATGTGAGATCATAAAAGTTCATTAACAATGCTGTAGTACGTTTGTTATATACACACCTACATCACATTATATTCTGTCCAGTGGAGATGAATTTTCATAATATTTCAATACCAGTAAAAATGTAAACAAACATGTAATAAAACAAGAACGTGTAGAAAACAGGTAGTAACTTATAATTACAAAAGTCTCTCAGTCGTACATGTACAAGACTTATTTACTGCATGTGGTGGATAACTGAACTTCATGTATAATTAAATGTACACATACTTGCAGTATAATGATTCTTAATAAGTTGATCACTGATTGATATACATTAACTACTGTATTTTTTACCTTTTAGGTGAAACCAGTGGAGCTTACAGAGTTTTTGCAGTTGAAGAAGAGTGAAGGATACTGTATTGTTGGTGTAGAACAAACTGCCAATAGCCACAGCCTCGAGAGCTACACTTTCCCCGAAAAGACTCTGCTACTTCTGGGGTAAACGATCATTTATCAAACATAATATTGATGATACAGTGCAGAGGAAAACGTGTCCTGTCTGCTCCCTGTGCTCCAGTTCAGTTAAACGTGTTAGCTGACAATGCTATTCAATGTAAGTGCATGTTTTCAGAGCGTCCCCCATGGGGCCCTGAACCTCCTCTATCACCTGTGCACCTGTCGTGACATGCTGAGATATAATTGGACGTCCCAGTGGGAAGAGCTCAGGAAATGGGTTACGCAGACCCCGATACGAGCATTGTGACAGCAGTGCACAGCCACTGTTAATATGTAGAGTTTATACTGACTTTGTCTGTTTACAGTGTGTTACGACGGTAAAGCAAAATGCATGACAATGATTCTGCGCTGCGTGTATAAACCCACTGTACATCCTTTTCTTTATTTTAGGTAACCAAACGTTGCATTGTTAGATAATACTCTAGCACCTTAAAATATGCATTGAATCACTTTAAAGTTGGCTCATTACAGAAACTCAAATTATCATGAATATGTTGCAGATTTGCATTATTTATTCTTATGGTTTTAATCATACAGTGACTTGTTTGTGTATACAACATTGCTGCATCCCAAGCTTATTCCCATGTTTACACATTTAACTTTTCTAACTACAAGCTTGATTTGCCATCCTCCTAAAGCATCCATACAGGAAACAGGATAAAAAGCATTTGCTCTTGGACAAAGCAAATTTTGCCAAAATATTTGAAAAGTTAATCCAGTTCAGGATCTTGTCATTACTTTGAAATTCCTGGATGAAAATATAATATATCTCTGGAAGAGTTCATGACTTTTTTACTGTTTGTAGTTGAGGTGGATCCTGAGGCTTTCACAGCACTGCTCTCTCTGTGGCACAGCGTGAGATGCCCTTGATCTCTAATCAGTTCTCTATTATCTCTCTCAGGTACATGCTAGATAAGTGTAGCTCTTCTAATCAGAGTGGCATCATTATTCTGTGTTTCTTTTTATCACCAAAACACTACCTAATACTACGACTAACATGCAGTGCAGTGTACGACTAAGCACCGGGCGTGTTTGTTCTACTTGCATGTCGTAGTATCTTTATATGTTTACTGCAGAGTGAGTGTCATGGAGGCCTGTCATGATAAGTACGATATAAACTGTGAAACATTTAAATGGTTCTTACAGAGGCTTCACCCCAGCTGTATTGTATTTTATATATAAAAAGGTCAATGTTTGAATTTTAGTTATAGTATATTCCAGGGTTTGTGGTCTTAGTTGATCTCTTAATTTTCAGAGATTTGCATGAAAGTGGCAATTGTCCTCAGGTCATTTATTGCTATTCTTTCAGGAGAAACTGTTGATGAACTATGATGTGATGGCATCCTTTCTTTTACCCCTCTGCAGTAATGAACGAGAGGGTATTCCTGCAAATCTGCTCCAAATGTTGGATGTTTGCGTCGAGATCCCTCAACAAGGAGTCATCCGGTCCCTCAATGTTCATGTCAGTGCCGCACTGCTCATCTGGGAATACACCCGGCAACATCTCATCCTTCGAGCTGGAGAAACCAGCTCCAAAGAGAAGTGCCATCAGCCTTAAAGCATTCTAGAGTGGCCTAAGCTTTTGTTTTGCCAAAAAGCAAAGTATAAAGTTATGTGTGTAATTATATGTACATTTTAGTGCATTTTCAAAACTTTAATTACAAGCATTGAATCCGTTCTGTTATCAGGACTGTTCTCTGTATCTGTTATGTTATTTGTGCGATGAAATATTTCTGAAATACATTTTAACACATTTGATGTAACCACAATTTATTTTATCCCTGCAATTCCTCTACAACATATTATTTTCTGTTCTGCCTCTACAGATCTAACCTTCAAACTTAACTTGCCATTTTGGGATATGTATTTATGCATTTCTCCACATTATGCGACATTGTTTTCAATAAATGTACATTTTAAGTTATAATAAGCTGAAGAGTGGTTTTGGTTTTTATTCTATATTGCAAAGATCAGACATGGACGTGCCCCCTCCCTGTCCTGCCTCACCCCCTCACACCCCCTCCCTGTCCTGCCTCACCTGCAGAGCAGCAGCACATGCAGACATGATCTCACTGCTGTAGCAGTCACTCTTCTGAGCACTGTTATTATCCACCATGTGTGTTTAGCTCTGTCCGCGGAGAGGATGAGCGGTCTGGCCCCTGGCCCCTGGACCTCTCCCCGAGCCGCGGGGAACTACTCCCAGGACCCGGAGCCTCTGCCTCCACGGGCTCAGCTTTTCCTGCAGATCCTCCTGGTGCTCATGTGCGTTGGAGCAGTCACAGGTACATCCATTCTTACTCTTGGTCATATTCAAGCAAAAATACGTTGTTTAATAAGGAACCTATGCTTAACTCGAAATAAGCTTTTTACCAGTCAGTCAGTAATTATTGTAGTGCTAGGAAACCTTCTGGCCGTGCTCACTTTTCAGTATTCAGTAGTAGTTTCATAAGTAAACTGTATAATGCGTGTAGTGTTAGACAGTTTACTGTCTAACACTACAGTGGGCCTACAGGGTGTTCATATACAGTGAACACTGTATGTGAACACATACAACATTTGTAATAGAACAAATGTTATATTTTGCATGCTTGAAAGCGTCCCTGTGAGTAACGAGTTGACGTTTTGGGCTGAGAGCTGATTGGCTGAGCATAAGTTTTGACTGAGAAACCTTATTTGAATATTTGACAAAGGCCAAAAAATGCATGCACGTAAAAAACAGAGATGGAACTAAACTGAGAGCGAAGAACTATATGAATGGATTTTTTTGGTCTGAAAAGGTGTGTTATAAATGGGAATTTTTGAAGGGAAATGATGTGTCCTTAAAATATGTATATATAAAGATATACTTTATATAAGTATAAAGTATAACTTCAAGATACATGGAAATATTATGTACTATTGTTTTAGTGAAATTGTGTATTTACTGTCTTATTTGACCCATAATTTGTTTTTGATTGTACTTTGTATATAGAAATTGTGCTTGATGTCGTTTGTTATTTTTTCACTGTACAGTGCTTCAGAAACTGTTCAATCCGTCTTTACACAATGTGCTAAAAAGTGGATTTGATTTTCTTGCCATATACCTCACACCAATTCTCAACACACAATAGTACAGTAGGTCTGAATTCTATCTAAAGGCCTTTTGTGTTTTACAGGTAATATTCTGGTCATCATCATCGTCGCCGCCACTAAAACGTTCCACTCGGTGACATCTGTGCTTCTCATGAACCTGGCCGTCAGTGACCTGCTGGTGGGGGCAGGTGTCATGCCTTTTGTCGCCCTTTCCCTCATGAACAGCGGCTGGGAGCAGTGTGCCGTGAGTAACATGTTTTCTACACCAAACCATTGTGCAACACTGAAGAGGGAAAGTAACGCATATAACATGGACTTCAGTAGAGCACATACACAGGACTAAAGCATAAGTATTTACAGCATTGGGAGGCAAAATAAGTGTCGTCTGTATTAAATGTGCAGACTTTGTATAAGAGGATCCAAAAAGTCACCCATGGATATGTTTGTTCAGTTGGGAAATATAACTTGACAACAACAGTCAAAGGTTGTTTTTTTGTTTCTGCAATGGATTGAACACATTCTCAAGATATGTTTTTCTACCATTTATTGTATGGTCAAGTGCACTGTGTAATCTCCAGGTTACAATGAGAACTGTTTTCCCATTCATAGAGTAGGCCTTGAATAATAATAATCTATTTTCTTGTACCATTTCTCATCATTCAGACTAGGGGTGTGACGATATATCGATTTTTTTGATATATCGCGATACTTTCTCCCGCGATTCGATTATCGATATGCATTTGCCAAGTATCGATATCAATTTTTAAAAAATTAAAAAAAAAAATTTAAAATTGGTATCAATACTTAATATATGGCTACATTACGCATCTCCATTCTATTTATCATGAAATAAAGAGTATTTTTTTTTTTTATTTATGCCATAAATTGGCATATTGTATATTTCTGACCAATATATCAATAATCGTCATATCGTGATAAAATCGTTATTGTGATAAAATCGTTATCGTGATATTATCGTTATCGTGAGCTTTGTATCGTGTATCGTAATGTGAGGTACCCTTAGGTTCCCACCCCTAATTCAGACTGAGTGCCATGGATAAACCCATAGAAAACCAAAATCATGTTATATGTTCTCTTTCTCTCTAAAAGTCCACAGTTAACTGAACTCTTTCTTGTTTTCTTAAGGACCTGTGCTTGTTTGTGGGCTACACGTCCTCTGTCTACTGCACCGCCTCTGTCCTGACACTGGCTGCGATTGCCCTGGATCGGTACTTCTCCATTGTGGACTGCTTACACTACGCCTCCCGCTGCACCCTGTGGAGAACCTGTGTTGTTGTCTTGTGGATTTGGCTGCAAGCCCTGACCACCAGCTGTCCTCCTCTCCTGGGCTGGGGGTCTGTTAGATATGTGGGCCCCATGTACAACTGTGCAGTAAACTGGGCTTTTAGTCCAAGTTACACCGCATTCATCGCAGTCTTGTCGTACCTAATCCCAGCAGTGGTCATCCTCTTTTGCTACTTTAACATAGCAAAGGTGGCACGCAGTCATGCCAGGAGAATCCACACTCTGGAAGACTCTGTGCAGCGCAGCAGGAGCCCCAGCACAGCCTTTGCCTCAGGTGATCCATCTCACCAGCGCTGTGGTCGTCTGCACACGCCTTCTAAACTCATCTATCATGTGAGCGGACAGTTTGTGTCTGAGCTCAGTGCAGAGCAGGACCCATCAAACTCAAGACACCACAAATCCACTTCTAGGCGCTTCTTCTCATTTCTCGCTCATTCTGTGTCCCCACAATCTTTTCTGATTCACCAACAGAATCAACACGGTGTAGTTCGTCTTATCCTGGTCATCTGTGCCTTCTTCCTCTGCTGGACACCTTATGTAGGAGTATCTTTAGTTCAGGCAGCAGACATGGCAATCTCAGGCCAGACTAATCTTGTCCCACCCTACGCTGTCACCTTTTCGTACTGGCTGGTGCTGCTGAACTCAGACATTAACCCTTTACTGTATGCTCTGCTGAGCAAGCGTTTCCAGGGAGCTTTTCAGGCACTGAGGCAGAAGATACAAACACGCCTAGGGGCCGTGATGGGTCGAGCTGATGCGGATGAGGGTAGGAACACTGAACCCAGTACTGTCACTACACATCCCAGCCTGCCCTCCTGTGCACAGGGTACAGCCTGTGACTCCAAGTATTGCTCTGCAGTATTTACAGTTAGTACAAACTTCAAACAAACTTCTGAGGAAAAGTTTTACCAAATGTGTCATACAGACCAGGCCTCTTCCTCGGGTTCAGTGTGGCAGCAGGACCCCGGTACAAGGAGGCTAGATTGTCTGCAGGTGCCTGCTCGGCCACTAGAGGGCAGCAGACTCCCTTTCTCTGCACTGACCAAGGAGCGCGAGGCCACCTTCTTTTATGGAAAAATTACAGTCAGAGTGGAGCATGATGTCTTATAAACAGTATCACTTTTCTACAAACAATTCAACAGGATAAACTCAGATGTATGAAACACCAAAAATACATCGTACATAGTATAGATATTATAATAAATTGGACATCCGAGCTATTAAACTCATAATTTATTAATGTTTTTACACTTCATCAGTTGTGATAGTCATATGTTCATATGCATTGTGTAAAAATCATCATTCCTTACAAAGGTTTACATATTTGACTAGCAATAATTCCAGAGGAATACAATATTATTCATTATTGTCATAAAATGACAATGAGAAACAGTGCTAATGTACTCCATAGCAAAACAAAGTAAAGGCAGTGAAGTGGTTCAGTTTATGCTCATACAGTATGTGCATGCCCCTCCAGATGTTACTGTGTCCAGACACGTTTAATCAGAAACAAAATGCCAAAGAATAAAAAGTCATGATAATGAAAACGTATTCAGAGGTATTGTTGGGCCTCTTCGCTGTAAGAGGAGCATCATGTGGCTCAATGGTGAGTGTACATTCATGACAAGTCCCCAGGCTCAGAGCTGCTGCCGGGCCGTTCTGCTCAGCTTCAACCACTTTCTCGGATGAAAGACCAAACACTAGTGCGTTGTGGAAATCAAGAGTTGCAATGCTTTCAACCCAATCACAGTGAATGACCACAAACACAGTTTATTGGACAGTGTTGGGGAGACTAGATTCAAACTCATGTTCCAACATGATTGCTACATAGTCCAATCAAAGTATTGCTAAAGCATACAACGTTCTGTGTTGTTGTACATATTTTGTTATTTTTGATTATAAAATGGTAAAATACTCGCATTTGCCATTATAGGTGAAGTTTTCATTGTTTAATACAAAAATGACTTGATGGCCTTTAAAACCTGGATTACATGATCAAATACCAAAATGTACTTTGTTTTTAGTTACTCCCCAACACTGACATAGACATACTGAATGTTTGAAGTTACAAATTGTGCGTTTTAGTCTCATGTAATTCACTAAATCCAAACTATTATAAACCGTCTATATATTTATGTGTGTGTGTATGTGTGTGTGCGTGCGCAAATAAGTTCAATTTGTCTAGTTTTGTGGATGGCATGAAAGCATACTATAGCTATAAATAGGCATCTCTAAGTTTCCATGCAATACAACAGTATGCTGCTGGTTTTTATTGTTTTCCCCAGACAAAAGGTGGATTGAAGTATAAACTATTGGTTGACTTTAGCCCCAGGACAAGCATAGCATCCGTGTGGATGTAGAAAGGGTAGTGAAGGCTTCTCAAACTGAGTGATCATAAGATGTCCAGACAGGGCTCTTCACACCTCCCCTCTCAGCAGGTCTACAGCTGCAGTGCATTTGAGGTGTGAAGCAGCTTATGTACAGCGCACAAAGGCAGGTAGTTAATCAGGGTCCCGCTAGAAGTGGACCACTTTTGTATCTGTCAGGCATTTACGTTTAGTTCTTTGGATTGTAATGATGTATAAGCCTGTAAGCCAGCATGTAGTGTCAAGACTTCCTAAACATGTCTGAAAGCAAAAATGTAAAATAACCAAGTTTTCCCAGACAAAATAACACAATCAGTTTTACCTGATTCATTTTGGGAGAGAAGGATTACAATTCAAATGGCTCCATGCATCATCTTGAGCCATTTCTAAAGGAAAACAGCACGACAATGATACATTATTTGCCAGCCCCTTTTGTCTTTCACCTGGCTTACAGCAATGAGAAGCCATCACTACTGACCCTTGAAGCTGCAGGAGTAGCAGGCAGGTAGCGGCTGAACTCAGCAAGTTGACTGTCCAGTTTAATGCGTGAGAGTTTTCAAAACGAGTCAATGTGCAAATGTTGACATGGATGTCCTGGCTCGAGTTTTCCAGGAAATTCCAGTTCCTGCCTCACCGCTGCCATCTGTCGGTTCATCACGTTTTCGTAGCTTGGTGTTTAGCTGGATGATGCACTGGTCCCAGTCTTCAGGGAGCAGTAACATCAGAAATCCCAGACATATAATGGAGACCGCGATGAGACGAACTGTGTTGAAGTCTATTTCACATGTGTAGAAGTCCACCACTGAAATACATTTAAAAGATTTTTTAGGAGAAGTCAATTTTTTATGAATATGATCAGTTATATATGGAAGAAAAGCCAAGACACTTACTGGCATTTACAGGAACGCTGAGAACAATGCCAAGGGATATTAAGGTTGGATATGTGATTGCAATGCCAAAGTTGACCAGGACACTAAAAGCTGAAATAATATGTATGATTAAAATTAATTATTCATTTAAGCTGGAAATATATATCATGGGTTATTGTAGTAACTACACATACCAAAGAGTAGAGCTGATACCCCACAGAAATATGGCCAGGGGATGTTAGCCAGCGAGGCAATGTACTCGACATGTGTGAAGTACAGAATGACTGGCACAAAGCTGAGGAACACGAAGTTGGCACTTCCTACCAAGCTCAGAAAAAGAGCAGCTTCTCCAAATTTGGCACTGCCCAGAACCATCTTGAAGAGTACCTGAAAATAAAGAGGGAGGAGTTAATAACATGGACTGCCTGTGACATTTTCCCATTCAAAGTTATGCAAAGTTAAAGTCTGCACATCTACATGTTAGTTTTACTCTACAGATGGTGTATTGTTGCTAAAGTAATAGTGCTGTTGTGTGTGACCCTGCCTGATCTACACTGGCACAAAATGCAACAGACACTACATGCAGTCTACAAAGATGGCAACCCGCCTCCTCTTAGCCATGAAGCGGAGCCATCCGCCAGACTTACAAATGCTGTGTGTCAAGAATACTAATATATGACCTCTTTAAGTTTGGTTTGGGAGCTCCACCTGCCCAAACCTGCCATATCTTTGGCATAGGGCTGTGGTTGTCTTTTTATCACATTAGGCAGCCCTGACAGCAGGGCTGTGGAGACAGGAGGCTGTCAAAATAATACTTTACTACACATTGAGGAAGCTGTAGCCTGAGGTCAACAACTAAACGTTAATCTTGTAAATAAATAGTTTACATACACACATGTAGGTGCTGGTGATGTTTCATTTACTATCACACAGCAAATATACAATACTTATGTTTCTGGAAATGAATACCTTGTAGAGTGCTGACATTGAAGCAGAGGCCACAACCAAAGTGATGCCTATGACGGAGTGACTGTGAAATCCATCAGCGTAGGTCATCATGACAATGCCTGCTATAGCCAAGATAGCAGCTACTATCTGTACACAAAGCAAAGGAGGACATTAGAGAGTGACGAATGGGCAGCATGCTGTTCACAGTGGGGTAATAAAGAATCACAAGCCGCTACTGCTGTGTGAGAGCAGCAGGCACACGTGGCCTCCTCTCAGACGCTCAGAACAGATCAGAGGGAAATTAATACAGCTTTATTAGATGTCACTTGTCTTATACACCCTTGAGATACAATCATCCCTCTGAGCACATTTGTATGATTCCTTGTGACTGTCAGACATGGATTTCATGTTAACAAAACAAATAGCTCCTAGATCCACATCCATCCTTCTTGCTCCGCCTCTGGGATTATCTAGGAATCTCCGTTACAAGACTCGCTAACCATCTGTCTATATCCACAACAGCAACACACCTTGTACCAACCCTGGTACATATCTTATGTGGTTATAAGTGCATGTGAGGCTGCATGGTGTGAGTTACGGTGAGAGGGACTAGAAGCAGTCCAGCTGAGTGGATTTGCTCTGCATAAAGGGTGTCAAGAAGACAAATGAGCCATGTGCTTTTGCTTGGCCAAAACCTTTGGACCCCGTTGGCGAGGCGGCAGTTTCTGCACCGCAGGCAGCATGTCACTCACTGCAACACCTCTCATTTAGTGTGAAGATTGTTTGTTTAAAGGGTCACTGACCCGGGGCAAAAGTGTTTCAAAAGGCTTCTGCAGAAATGTAGAAGGAACATCAGAAAGAGAACATTTCTTTTTCCATCAGCGCATGCATCTGGGCCACAATGTCAGAAACACAATTACAACTCATTTTGTCACAGCTGAGATTTTAGAAATAAACTATTTAAATCATGTTCTAATCCCGTTATAAAAGCGGCTGTTTTAGTGAAAAAAGACATATTCCATGCTAAAGTTCCCCCATATTCTTTCTAGTCTTTCTAGGTTCTAGTCTTTCATATTCATGACAAACTCATCGAGGATCGCCCTCATTGCAGTGAACAGTCAAATGCTGTACTCCCTACTCTGAGGCTCGAGATGGTGGTGTAGTGAGGGGGAGAGAAACAAGATTATTACAGCTTTTCTCGCTCACTCAGGTCTACATCACACATATTTATGGTGGAGAGAATGTGGCACCGTGAAGGGGAAAGGGCTGTTGGAGAAAGAGGGAAAACCTAAAATTACAAAATATATGAAACAACCAGAGAGACCTAATTCTCTCCTTCCTGGAAAAAATATATATTCCATAAGAGGACGGTGTCACAGTAAGCACATCATATTTGTTTGAGATGAAGCAAATTATTAAGGTGACATGTTTAGGAACGACGAAGGAAGAATATGCCAGTCAACTGGCAACCCTAAGTGGAAATACCCTCTGTAGTTTGTTATAATAAGGATAGTTCAATTTCTCTTCTATCTTCTTCTGCTTTATACATTGCCAGGTGGCAGAAGCAGCCGTCAGAGCCGAGATGCTCAGACGTCCCCTTACATGCACTTCCCCAGCTAATCCAGGGAAATGCCTGAGCCACCACTCAATAAAAGTTGGATTGAAAAATCTCAGCTCCTGTGGACTCACCACCTGCAGGAGAGATGGTGAGGGGCTGGTGCTATGTGTACTGGGTGCAGCTCTGACTGCCACCCCCCCGCGACCCAGAAATTGATTAAAGGGAAGAAAATGGATGGATGGATTTATTTAACAAATGTACCATTTAGAAATGTGGAATGATAAAAAAATATAATTTTAGTTTTCAGAGCAAGTACATTTCATATTCTAATTCTCATAGAATAGATTGTCTTCCAAAGTAACTGCTCAGATGCTGCTTTGTCTGTGTATTTTCAAAGGAAAAACAAAACATGAAATAATCGGATTGATTCTATCTTGTCTGTCTGCATGAGATTCCCTCTTCTTTATTTTACAGTCCTTTTATTCACTCTCCATTGACGTATACGTGGTCGTTTTACAAAACCGGTGGAGAGAACCTTCCAGACAGGAACATACTCCATTTATGAAGACAATAATTATCATCAATATTATCATTAAATAAGTTAATCAGTAAAGCAATTAACTGATTATAGCACACAAAAGACAAATTATACTAATCCACAGAGAGTTATAATAACACAAATCAAACAATGTGGCTTGTCTGGTTGGTCATTTGTTGCTCTTGCCGTCTTTCTTTGCACATGGCCTTACCCTGACCCCCATGAAGCGGTCTCGAAGCACGATCCATGAGAGCAAGAAGACGAAGGCCTTGTTACAGCAGAAGAGCACAGACACATCGGTGGTGTTGATCTTCCTGAGCGCCTGCAGGTACAGGTAGTTGGTGAGGATCCACAGGAGACCAAATGGAGCCACTTTAGTGAAAAACACTTTGGGGGTGAGTCCGTCGTCCCCAAAAAATCGGCTGCACTCCCTGTAACAGACACATTTCAAAAGAAAGTAATTATACATTCCGTTTTTAATTGTGTCTGCATGTAGTCCATTTTTATTGTTGGCAAGAAAATACACATATTTCTTCCTTTCCCATATTTCCCAAAATATATTGAGCTGATATTTGTTTTATACAAATGATTACCTGCAATAACACAATGTACAAATAAACATGTGTTATCACTCCTCTGATCTCTTAATGCCTTGGATCTTTTGGCTTGTGTATAAACGTAGCATTGTTCACAGTCGACTCCTCTGGTCCTTCCTGTTTCCCAGTTGGAAAACAACATAATACATTTTTCATCCACACGCTGCTGTTTACACTGTTTATGATGTCGCTCTCCCTAAAAGCATCTGGCATTTTTGAAACAGGCAACCATACAGCCAAACAGAGGATTTACCAGGGCACGAGGTGGTTCAGCTCTGCTCAGCTGACTCATCCACACAAAATGATCTGTCGTTGGAAAGAGCTGTTCTTAGTATTAATATAATTGTGTGTCACTCACAAAATACTTTTAAACCACTTAATTTTGAGTGCTTCTGGATAGTTAACACATGGTAATACTGGAATACAGTCTTCCAGCTTCAAACCTTTCTGGTTTGTTAGATGTATGTTCAATATAATGAAAGATACTGAATGACAACAATGAAGTCAAAAAAGTTCCAAGAGACTTTATATGTATAAGGTCCATGTCTCCAAATTATATGTACAAGTATTTCAAAAAGCACAAGATCCTCTGGAGTTCTCACGTTTCATGTTAGTGAATCGCTGCATTGGCTTCCCGTGTGTTTCAGGATTGATTTTAAGGTTCTTTTAGTGGTTTTTAAATGTCTTAATGGTCTTGGGCCTTCTTATCTCTCAGAACTACCATATGAACCTTCCCGGCCCCGCGCTCCTCCGGCAGCAGAATCCTAACCATTCCCAAAGTCAGGACACACATTCACGGCGAGGCATCTTTCCACCCCCGTCTCTGGCACAGTTTGCCGGAGGAGCTCAGGGCCGCGGAGAACATTAAAGCAGGCTCAAGACGTACCTTTTAAGATTAGCTTTTAGCTGTGTGTTTGTGTGTGTGTGTGTGTGTGTGTGTGTTGGTGTGTGTGTGTCTGTCTGCGCGTGTGCTAGTTCTTTATAATATATGTGGTTTGGGGTGGGTCTGTTGGGTGGTCGGGGGGAGGGGTCATGGGCCGGCGGGATTGTTTTCAACCAAACTGTAAACCACTTTGTGTTGCATCTTCTGTATGAAAAGTGCTTTTTAAATAACATTTGATTGATTGATTGATTAGTTTATCAATCTAATGCTAACCCCAACAAAACAACCAATTTGTCACCACGATGAGCTTCTGGGCATATTTCCCTTTATACTAGGCAGAGTGAAGAGCCTAGCTCAGTAATGAAAACAAAAGGACACTGACAAATATCATTACATACTTTGCTTGCCTTATTGGGCTGTTCTGGCAGGAGGTGAGGCAAGTGTATTTGTATAGCACAGTTCATACAAAAGGCAACTTAAAGTGCTTACCATAAATAAACAGCAAACATTCAAATTCCACAAGGCATCAAAAGTGAAGATGCAATGTATGCTCCATTTAACAGAACTGTTATAAACCTGGATTTGAACATAATCAGATTAGAAGTCTGTCTCTGATGATTTTAGCTGCATACAGTACATCTGAGGCATACAGAGTCCGGGTTGGTTTATATGGCACTAACCCATGTCACAGATGTACTTTGGTGCGAGGACTTGGAAAGTCTTGGATACAATCAGCGTCAGAATGAATGCTAAAGATCCTTGTGTAAAACCTCAGAAAGGAAACACTGACACCACATTGGGTATAGCAGCTTCCTTTCCCCGTTCTATCCATACATCATGGCCTCCTTGCTGCAGTCTTGTCACTTTTCTCACAGCAGGTAACAGCACAGAAATCATTTTTTGTGAGATTAGTGGACTTCTTCAGCTCGAAAAAAGCTGTTTAATGTCATTAGGGGATTTGTTGGTCTGTTTGCACTCTCTCTCCTTGAGCAAACATAGCCTCCAAAACCGATTTCACAAGTTAAATATTTAGTGAACATTTTTGTAAATTATACAAATTGACTGTGCACGCAGGTTATTTATGTCCACAGATATAATCATTTGTCTATTGCTGTACATAAATAAGCGTTGTATACAGTGGAAATATTATGATTCACATTCACATTTTATGTAGAGGTTAAAAACACAAATATTTTCTCAGTTTTAGAGGGTTAGTTCCATCACAACTTTGACCTCTATGCCATAGCAGATTTGTGAACAGATGTCAAAAGGTGTGTGAAAGGGAGATGGCAAAACTGACTCCAAAAACTGAAATCTAGCCAATAAATTGAGCTTCATTGGTTTGATCGGAGAAGTCGTTTGAGAAGATTATTGTTATTGTCAAATGTGTCGATTATATTTGACCCCTCCTCCAATACTACATAGACAAAGTCAAGGGGATGTGAGTGGGCGACTGAAGTGCAGCACCAAAGGACCCGTGTCAAATGGACAGAGTTTCCTTAGCTAAATGAATTATTCTTGGTTTCCTGTTTTACGCAGATGCCTCACCTGAATCTCTGCCGGAGTGTCTGCCGCTCTGGACTCTTGCACGCATGGCCGATGTAGTAGAGGGGGAAGAAGAGGGAGTTCCATGTGGTGGCGAACCAGGTGAGTGTAAACGGGGCGTCGAACTGTTTGAATGCCAGTTTGGAGATCTGCGTGAAGCCAGCCCAGGACGAGCACACACAAATGACCATGGCCACCCCCCACAGCGCCTTGTGCACCTGCAACGCGGTGACTCTAATGCAGCAGCGCAGCCTCCTCTTGGTGGTGCTGGTCTCTGCTCCTGCTACTCCTACTGCCGACTGAGCCTCTGCAGTGCCCACCACAGCCTCCCGGGGGCGGTCTTCTCCTATGGGCAGAAACACAGGTGGTGTCAGTCACCCTGGGCTTAGGGAAGCTAGTAACTAACATTTCCAACTCTTAAGGACAAAGCTAAGTAATCCTCCATTAGTTCTGATGACAAGGAGTTCAAAACAACTCTATGGAGCGTGTGGGAAAAAGTTGTATGGTTTCAAACTCTTTGAATCCCAAGTTAAATTCAACTACAGTATATAACTCAGTCACTGACACATATAGTCAAATCATCTGCTCATGCAATTAGGTTTGATTCATGAGCAGCATATAAAACAGACAGACAGAAATGTGGAGATAAACAATTGGAGATTCTTCATTATGGTTTGTTAGATTTGTCGGAGCTAACGTTCAAGGCTACAACTAAACACAAGAATCAAGCTGCTAATCCTCTGACAGGAGAATGCTCATGTGTGACTGTACAACTGCAATATGTTAATTTCTTTCTGAATAAATAATAAAAATAATAATAATACATTTTATTTAAAAGCGCCTTTCAAAACACCCAAGGACACTGTACAGGCATAATAAAAACATTTAAAAACAGGATAAACAGAATAAAACAGTAGTCAGGTGCAATATGGGATGGTGTGTGTGTGTGTGTGTGAGTTAGGAGGGTGTGTGTGTGCGTGTGTGTTAGGTGTGTGTGTGTGTGTGTGTGTGTGTGTGTGTGTGTGCGCGCGTGTGTGTTAGGTGGGGTAGGACAGTCTGAACAGATGGGTTTTGAGTCGGGATTTGAAGAGTGGAAGAGAGTCAATGGTACGGAGGTCAGGGGGGAGAGAGTTCCAGAGCTGGGGGGCAGAGTGGCTGAAGGCTCTGTGTCCCACGGTGATGAGTCTGGCTGGGGGGACGGAGAGTGTGAGGGTGGAGGAGGAGCGGAGTGTGCGGGCAGGAATGTGAGGGTGGAGGAGGTCAGATAAGTACGGAGGGGCCAGGTTGTGAAGTGCTTTGAAGGTGGTGAGGAGTATTTTGAAATTGATGCATTGTTTGATAGGAAGCCAGTGGAGTTGTTGTAGTACGGGGGTGATGTGGTGAGCTGTGGGGGTCCGGGTGATGATGCGATCGAGCTGCAGAGTTTTGGAGGAGCTGCAGTTTCTGGAGGGATTTGTTGGGGAGGCCGAAGAGAAGTGAGTTGCAGTAGTCAATCCTTGAGGTGACGAGGCTGTGGACGAGGATGGCGGTGGTGTGGGGGGTGACAGAGGGGCGGAGACGAGAGATATTGCGCAGGTGGAAGTAGGCAGACCTAGTGATGTTATTGATGTGGGATTGGAAGGAGAGTGAACTGTCGAGGATGACACCCAGGCTCTTGACTTGAGGGGAGGGGAGGACAGATGTGTTATGGATGGAGATTGAGAAGCTGGTAGATTTGGAGAGAGTGGAGGGGGTGCCTATGAGAAGGACTTCAGTTTTTGAGCTATTGAGTTTGAGAAAGTTGGAAGAGAACCAGGAATGAATTTCTTGTAGACAGAGGGTGAGGGAGGATGGAGGAAGAGAGGAAGATGGTTTAGTGGAGAGGTAGAGCTGGGTGTCATCAGCGTAACAGTGGAAGTGAATGTTGTGACGGCAAAGGATGTGACCGAGTGGGAGAATATAGATGATGAAGAGGAGGGGCCCCAGGACAGAGCCCTGGGGCACACCAGCAGAGACAGGAAAAGTGCGGGATTTGTGGGATTTGAGATGAATGAACTGTGAGCGACCAGAAAGATAGGAGGTGAACCAGGCGAGGGGGGTGTGGGTGATGCCGATGGAGGAGAGTCTGTTCAGGAGGGTGGAGTGAGAAATGGTGTCAAAAGCTGCAGTGAGGTCCAGAAGGATGAGGATGGAGAGTAAACCGGAGTCAGAGGCTATGAGGAGATCGTTAGTGATTTTTAGAAGAGCTGTTTCGGTGCTGTGGAGGGGACGGAAACCAGACTGAAATTGTTCGTAGATGTTGTTGGTGGTGAGGTGGTTGTGGAGTTGAGCAGCGACAGATTTTTCAAGTATTTTGGAGATGAAGGGAAGGTTTGAGATGGGACGGAGGTTGTTGAAGTTGGTTGGATCCAGGCCAGGTTTTTTGAGAATGGGTGAGACTGAGGCGGTTTTGAATAAGAGAGGGACAGTACCAGAAGTGAGAGATGAATGAATGATATTAGTGATGAGGGGGGCAGCTGAGGGGAGGCAGGATTTGACCAGAACGGTAGGGAGAGGGTCGAGCTGAGAGGTAGAAGGTTTGGATTTAATGATAAAGTCGGAGATGGCTTGGACGGAGGGCAAGATGAAGCTGGAGAATGTGGCTATGAGGGATGAGTAGGGGGCTGGGGGGTCCACTCCAGAGGCTGCAGCTCCATGCGGGGTCAGGTGTTGGTGAATGTCAGAGATCTTGGAGGTAAAGAAGGACATGAGTGAGTTACAGAAGTCAGTGGATTGCATATGGTGAGGGAGGGAGTCAGGGGGTTTGGTTATATTGGTGAGAAGAGAGAAGAGAGTTTTGGAGTTTTGATGATTGGAGTGGATTAAACCGGAGTAGTAGGTGGATTTGGCAGCAGAGAGATGGTCCTTGTATAGCATGATGTGGTTATTGTACATTTGTTTGTGAATGGTGAGTCCAGTTTTATTGAAGAGCCGTTCAAGTTGACGTCCTTGGGATTTGAGCTGACGGAGGGCAGGGGTGAACCAGGGTGCTGAGAGCGTGAAAGAGACGGGTCGGGTTTTGAGAGGAGCATGATTGTTCAGGAGGTTATGGAGAGAAGTGTTGTAGTGGGAGACCAGGTCATCGGGGGAGTCATTGGGATCAGTAGTGGGGAGGTTATTGATATCTGAGGCGAAGGTGGCAGTGTTTATGTCCTGAATTTTACGGAAAGAAATGGTTCGGGGAAGGATGGTCTTGGAGAGGGTGAGGTTGATATTGAAGGTGATGAGCTTATGGTCTGTGTATGGGAGTGTGTGAGGTTTACAGTCAGTGGGAGTGAGACCAGAGCAGCAGATTAAATCCAAAATGTGACCTTTAGTGTGGGTGGGGAAATTAATGTGTTGTTGTAAACCAAAACTATCTAAACAGGAGGAGAAGTCTTTGGTGAGAGGGTTGCTATTATTGTCCATGTGAATGTTGAAGTCCCCAAGTATGACTGCGTTATGAGAGAGATAGATGAGAAGTGTGTTAGAAGGTGAGAAAAGTCATTTAAAAAGTCCTTATTAAGTTTTGGCGGGCGGTAGATGGTGGCAACAACAGTAGGAGAAGGTCCAGGCAGCAGTGAGGCAGAGTACTCGAAGGAGGAGAAGACAGGGGCAGCAGGCACAGGTGTGACTTTCCAAGTCTCGCGGTGAAGCATCGCGAGACCTCCGCCCCGGCGGCCACAGCTGCGGGGCTGGCAGATGTAAACAAACCCCGGTGGAGTGGAGTCGTTCAACGCGGCAAAGTCATTTGGCTGCTGCCAGGTTTCGGTCAAACACAAGAAGTCCAGCTTACGGTCGACGAGGACATCCCGGACCAGATGGCCCTTGGTGTTGAGGGAGCGCACGTTGAGGAGACCGAAGCTGACGGTGGTGGAGCTGTTCTTGGCTGCCGCGGGCTGAGCCGATCGGGCCACGCTGACCAGGACACTGTCAGCGTCCCGACCAGCGGTGCGGGAGCAGCGGCGAGTGGTGGACCAGAGGGACTTTATTGAATGGGAGTCCTTGTATTGGAGCTTACGGCGTGATCCACGGTGAACGTACCGCCGCCGGGGCTGGAAGGCGATGCCCGGGGGGATGTCATGTCCGCGCTCCGGTGGCTGAAGAGGAGCGGGGACGTGGTGCCGAAGTTTTAAAAGTTCAGCAGCGGAGTACTGGAGGAGAGCATTGGCCTGCAGATGGACCAGGGACACGATGAGCCAGATGACAACAAGCCAGCGCGTTATATGGCAGACACACATCGTTTCCCAGGAGGGGAATACGACAGCCAGGGGTCCCAGGTATGAATATGTCCAAAATGCTTATGACAACAGCAAACTGTGGTTGATATCGAAAGCAGGTAAACAATCCTTAAAACACAACGTAACCACGACATCCAATATTGCGTAAACAATGTTTTAGCCCGTGTTTGTTCTGTGAGCAGCGGCTGCCAAAGCGCGCCAGCGTTCACTCACCGAACTCTGTTCGGTGAGTGAACGCTGTTGAACGAGTGAACGAGTGAATAAATGTTATTCTTTACTTGGGATTAGCCCAAGCGAACGCAGATTTGTAAAGTTCTCCATTGTGAAATCAATAAAGTTTATCTTACGAATGAATGAATGAAGGAATGAATAGTTGCATCATACAATCATTTTTCAATTTGTTGACCAAATCATTTACATCTCTACAAAATGACTTCCAAATATAGTCTTGGGAATTGTAGGAAAATAAAACAAATAAAATAAATAAGATAAAATACTGCAATAAACCTGTCTGTCTTGGCAAGAGCCTCTGGAGACTACTTTAAATTGCATTTTCTTCTCTACAATGCAACTATTTCAGGCAAAAATATGAACACGATTCAGCTAAATAACAAGCCCAGGGGCATTCCCATCACATTTCAGTTTATTTTACCTGCCAAAAACTGTTCTCACAGGCAGACAGGCGCACACTCTTTTTTGAGAGCAGCCAGCCTGGGTTCTCTGAGCACATAACCAGCAGGAAACAAGAAATGGTATAACCGCCAGGGCTGCAACACAAAACGTGATTGTCCCATGAAAACTTTGGAAGATTGAATGTTTATGCAAGTGAAATCTTGGTAAAAGGGTGCTCTTGGAGGTCAGGAACAGAGAGCATGACAGCCAAATTAACACAGAAAGATTTTGGCCAGGTAAAAAAAAAAAACTTTAAACACACGTAGTTCTGAATATAGACATTTCAAGTATAAACCACACATGTAATCCACTGGCTTCAGCGATAGTAAAACTCCGGGGACAAGGTGTAATGGCCTGGATCCAAACAGAGGAAGAGACAGGAGCATTCGATACCTGAGACAACCTCTTCCTCAGCCACATCTCAAAGACATCCCAC